TGCTACAGTGCTCTAGAGGGTGTAGTGGCAAGAGCGGCGGCCGCTTACATTGGGCCGCGTGAAGACGGTCAACGTAGATGCCGCGAGTGGCGCTGGAGTTCTGTGCCCGTGCGATGAGCGAAGAAGACGACGAAGCTGAGGCGGTACACTTCTCCCGAACGTAGCACCGTAGCACTTTTCTTTGTGGTGCAGTGGTGGGGAGTCTTTCCCGTTCCGTTGCCCGTCTCGGTCATAAATGCAAGGAAAAAGGCGGACGCACACACTGCTTCGCGCCGGGATGCAAGTCGGGCTACCCGGTCAACAAGGGCAGCCCGCTGTTTCGTGCGCCAAAGGGGGAGTCACGTAGACCACAGAGGGGAAAAGAAAATCTTAATCAAGAAGATAAACGCCTCGCCGAGACATCAGTGGTGTGCGAGAAACATTTTGAACCGCGCCTTATCCTTCGAGACTATGTGCACATCGTCAATGGCGAAGAGGTTAGGATTCTACGCCGCAATATATTATGACTATTTTGTAGTCTTTTTGCGTACTATGTTGCTGGATACCTGTCATGCGCTTGCTGTGTATGTCGATGAAGTGTATTACCACCTTTGAGAAATCATAAAGCAGTGAGTTGAGAATATATTTTTTTTTTTCATAATAAGAGTTGTTGAAGTTCGTGTTCATATAATATTTTAATGCTTCATGTACTCCCAATCGAGGTATTTTTTCTTCGTAGACTGCCTTCCACAAAAAAACAATTTGTTATATGTTCGCCAGTTGCAGTGGCGCCTTGGCCGTTCCCAAACGCACTCCGCCTTGCTCCTTACACAACGCTGGTCCCCGCATCAGCAACACGATGACAAAAAACAATACACCAGTTTATTGTTTCTCTCACCATTAAAAAAGTGAGACATTCATTGAAATTTATTTGTCAATTTTTTCTTGTTATATCTATTGCGTGGTTTCTTTCGCAGGTATTAAGCGTGCAGCCCAAGTGATAGCGCTGCTGAACGACCTGTCAGAACTGAAAAGGGGGGGGGGGGGGGGGGGGGGGGGGTCGATATCAATGATCTCCATCAAAAACACGCGAATAATAAAAGTAGAGGATAGCACACACTATAGAGGCATTAGTCAGGTAAGTAGCCAGGAGTTTGTTTCGGGGGGGGGGGGGGGGGGGGGGGGGGGGCATGACAAAATATTGTATGAGGAAGAGGGGGGAGAGGAGGCCCCAGCAAAATGCAAGATTTCGGGGGGGGGGGGGGGGGGGGGGCACCCCCCTGTCTACGTGCCTGGCATTAGTGCAAAGGAAAACCTGCAATTTTTTACATTAGCACTTGTTCTGCGTCGCGAAAAGCTCCAGTCGAAGTCGAACCACGTAGTACGCGCCAAGCAGCGCCGACGACGATCGCTGACGGAGGCACGTTCCTGTAGCAATGAAGGACGAGACGAGGCTAGTACGAGGCCATGTACGCTGGGCTCTAGACATGAAGCGCGTGTGTCGCCGGCGCTTCGTTTTTCTTTATTCAAGCCTCTTGCCACAGTTCCTAGGGCTCAGAACAGCAGCGCTACGGTGTCGTCTACGCGCAAAATCTTCACGCGGTGGCCGCCGCTCTTGCCACTACAACTCTCTAGACCACTGTACTCCTGCCCTAGCTCAGTTGGTATCGTGTTTGCCTAGTAATCCCGAATCTCTAAGTTCGAATCCAGCTAGGAGAAAATGTTACAGGGGTATTCACACGAGGGAGAAATCCCGGGGATTTCTCCCCGGCACGCGCACCCCACAACGAAAACGTCGGGCTTTGCGATGTGCAAAAGCCTCGCGTTTTCCCCTCGTGATGCGCACGTGCCGGGGAGAAATCCCCGGGATTTCTTCCTTGTATGAATACCCCTGTTTACATGCCCCACAGAGAACAATTTAAAACACGCGATAATGCATTTCTCGTCACAAATCCCACGGCGACGGACGCACAACATATTTCTGCCGTCATCGTGACAATGCGTTTTCCCCACCGCACCACCCTCTGGCATATGACTCAATAATCCTGAGCTCTAACGTGGACTAAAAGGCGGGGGAGGGGGGCATGGGCGTGTGAAGTCATGGTCACGTGGGAGACGATTAAACCGAGGCGCGTGCCGAGCATGTGCATTGATTTGGTTTACGTCTATGTACGTGACGATCCTTTGTTTATTTCCGGTTCAGTCGGGGCCCCATATAACACCACAAGGCATAGAGCCAATGGAATGTGCCCCTGGTAATTTCTACCATGGAATGTGTATATCCTTTTTTCTACCGGTCAAGTCGTGTACAAGGCTAGTTTGAACATTATTATATGTTCTTATTTGTTTCTAGAGCTGTGAAGCAACGTTTTTGATGATTAGCCACATAATTGCAGTTCAAAGAATTGTTTTCTGTGCATCTTTTTTTAAAGTATGGAACCACTGCCGTATAGGTATCTTTGATATTCACCTCAAGATCAATTCTCTGCCCTCATTCCTTCAAATGGTTTTGTTAGGGTCACGAGATGTAGGAATGAGCTCCTAACGACAAAGACTACATTCCGCTTTGCCATAACAGCCCAGGGGTCTCCCCAGGAACTGAAATTAGAGGGGGGGGGGGGGGGGGGGGGGGGGTATTGAAGATAGAGGAGTCATTGCAAACTAAGGGGATGCCTTCAGAAAAACAAGAACGGGTGTACACCCCCCCCCCCCTCCCCCCTTTTGGGAGTGTGTAGGGAAATCACTGAGTGAGCCAATTAAAGCGACAGAGCAAAGTTCCTTACAGGACTCCACGGGTATGGGAGAAATGCGCAAAAGTGGTAGATTGTCATGCGACTTGCTCTAGCTGTCTTGCGGGGCAGCAGCATTCACTCTTTGCCATGTAAAGGCCCGTTCACACTCTTGCGACCGAGTACGACTGAGAGCGACTTCTTAGGACCGGATGCGGTGCAGCGGAGCTGGTCCTAAGAGATCGCAAGAGGCTTAAAAACCGGTCTGGTCTCTCTCGGTCGTACTCGGTTGCAAGAGTGTGAACGGACCTTTATGGTAAAACAGTTAGTACCCTGCACTGTGCCAGTCTGCTACTAAAAGGTCCCAAGCATGGTATGAAATTTGTCTGCACTCGTACTTCCTTCAACTTGTTTTGTTAGGTCATGAGGTGCAGCAAGGGCTGCTCCCCACGCCAGGGAGTAGCACCCTAGACCATGCCACTCAGCTATACAGGTACGTTCTGACACTGGTGTGGAAGTTGCGTACACACTCATCCCTTCATCTTACTGCACAAACGACCTTGCCATATGCCAGGAACGAGCACTTTACACTACACTACTCAGCAACAGCGTACTTTGAAGTGTTACGAAATTTACCGTTACTCGTCCAATATCATCTCCAACTTGTTTTGTTAGGGCCATACAGTGCAGAGAGACCCTGCTCCCGCTCACGCTGGGGACCGTCACCTTGCAGTATGCCACGCAATTACAGGTACTTTCTGTATGTACAGTGAAACTTCACACTAATACCTTGTTTGACTTTTTGCTAGGGCCATGGAAAGACAGCTGCAAGATGACACAGGGCAAGATGGTTTCCTAACGCGTAAAGATTGCACACTGCCCTCCGAGATATGACAGAAGAGTAAACCAAAATTTGGAGGTTTTACGTCCCAAACCTACGACGGGCATCTGGCACGCCCCAGCGGAGGATTGAGGATCAATTTCGACCACCTGGGGATCTTTTGATGTGCAACCGAAAGCTCGGTTACACGGCGCCTCCTCCGCAATAAGCCTCCGTCATATTGCGGGCACCTCGGTCGGGATTCTAACCCGCCACCTGGGGATCCGTAGGCCGGCGCTCTCGCCTAGGAGCCATCGAGGCGGCACAGAAGAGTAGGGCCACCAGAAGCATTAATATGGATAGGACACGAGTAATAAAAACATATTGCCAAAATAAATTGGCTCAGAAATGTTCTGTGCACAGTTATAGCAACATCTAGGTGAGTAGAATGAATTTAGGCATCCATCCAAATATCCGAAACAGGTCTGCCAAAGGATCCCAATACGGATGATGTCCCACGGATGTTCGATAGATCTGAAGCGGATGACCATGCATCGAACGCTCGCAAAGTATCTGAAAATGCTTTAATATATACCCAAGCTAGAGTAGAACGGATTCAGGAATGCCATCCGAATATCCGTAATTGGTCCGCAGAAGGATCCTATTACAGATGTCCGACGGACGTGCAATTTTGTTAGCTTTAGCGTTTCCTCGGATGTCTTGGGGCCGTCCGTCGAACGCCTATGGATGTCCCACTGATGTTCTATGCACATTTGCAAGTCCGGCTTCAGGACGCTGCCATCTTGCTCGCTGGGGTGCGCTTGGACCCGTCCTAGTCCGATTACGAAGCCTTGCTAAAGCATCATAATCGGAATATGGCCGCGCGCACCCTACTGAGCAGGATGGCGGCGCCCTGAGACTGAACTTGCAAACATGTATAGATCTGAATTGGATCTCCATTGGATGTTCGCGGGATGTCTGAAGATATTCTGCCTAATAGAAATTGGCTCAAATGAGTGCTTTGATTGGTTTACAACATAGGCTAGAAAGAACGGATTCAGGCATGCCATCCGATCATATCCGAAATTGGCATGCAGAGGGATTCCATTACGAATGTCCGACGGACGTGCAAATTTGTTACCTTTGGCACTCTGGTGGAAGTCCTGGGGACGTCCATCGGATGGCTACGGATCTCCTGGGGATGTTTAAATATCTTGAGCGGATATCTATCGGATGTTCAGTGGACATCCAGTGGTTCGTTGGGTAGTGTAGCAGAATTTAAAATAAAACTCGCGCCTTCAATATTGCTCTAAAAATATATACTTTTTTTTCGCTTAACATTTATTTCTTGACACCGGTGTCCCAACCAGACTCTTTAAAAAAAACATAAAAAAACCCACAAAAAAACGGCATTTCAACATTTAGAGCAACAATTCCTTAGCACATACAATGATGGCACCGGACGCAGCAGCTGTATTTATGGTAAATATTTTTATTAATCTATGAAGTAAATACACTTCTGATGGACAACAATTTATAGTTTCTACAAGGACGTGTTTACAGGCTGCACTAAAAGAGCAAAAAACATTATTTGAGTGCTGTCAAGTAAAGTTAACATGGCACTTTCCTCACCATCCTATTGTCTAGCTTGAAGAGAAGATTGCCTAAATTTCCTGCCTGCATTTAGCGTACCATCTGAAGAATGCAACTATTTACCTCGACTGAGCTATTGGAAATCGCTATAAGTTTTAAAACGACGGAGCGTACCACTATGCTTGAGATGAGTTTTAAAGAGTGACTGTACCTAATTGGAAGCTTCAGAGGTCCCGTTAAAACGGATAGTTGCTGAGCTAGACTAGTCGTAGCGGAGACACGGTCAAACACCCGACGACAACCACTCGGAAAGAAGCCAAGGAGGATGGTTATGTCGACTCAAAGAAAGTTACATGTCAGGGTGGTGTCGTCAAAAGGTGTCTGAGTGGTGCCTCGGCTTAACATTATTAGAACATCAACACAGCTTAGAGATAAAAAGTTCAGCGCTCTTTTCTTTCTTCGTTACGGCCTTAAAAGTCTCTCCTGTGCTCCGAGGAGAAGCACAGCTAACAAAAGTTGATCGCTCCTTCGCAAACCCTTTGGCGATGCATCCAGCCCCTGTGACTAACGTCGCAACCAAAAGAAAGCTCTTGCCATTTTTTTTCTTCTACTGGCACAAACACAGTCTACTCTTGGACACTCAGAGTTGGTAAGAAACACCACATTGACGTCTCCTGTTGCACACCTTTTTAGAGTGCGGCCTACCTAGTAAGCTGCTAGTATACTGTCGGCCCTTCTTGTAGCGAAGGAGCAGCGGCACTAAAGTTGCAGGTTCGTGTCACACCCAATTGCACCGTGCCATTCTTCGAAACCAATGGACCAAGAAGATGCACAAAAAGCGGGCCACCCAAAACACGAAAGCACATATCGCACTCCTAAGACATCAACTGAGACATTTTTAAGACAGCTGGATGGATTTTTTGCAATTGCTCTTTACGGATAAACGGTAAAACATTGGCTCGTGATTGGTTGCAGAAACGTGTGCCATCGTCGTAGACTCTATTAAAATACTATACAAGCATGAAACAACAATATCAAACTCCAAAAAAACAGAAATGACGTCGCACCCAACTACGCCACGCAGAAGCAACGGAAACAAGCCAGTCATACGCACGCCGATTTACGAGAAACGAAACAATGTGTCGTCAACATTTGTAAAGACGTAACGGGTGTCGAGAGAAAATTAACAGTCTTGGAACACCAGCTGGGTTCCCACAAACGTTTTGCGCAACATTGACACCATACTTCTAAGCTGCATTTGTCTTGGCAAAGAGAATGTGCTGGATGCAATTTTTTTTACTTGTATATGTTAATGCCTGGAGGATGGTAGTAACATACTTGCTTGTGAAAGACTCGATTTGTCGTCGTGTGGCTGTCTACAATAACAATATCTCTATACAAACTGTATACCGCTATGCTCTACTACAATAGCGTGAGGACACTTGCTTCCTACAGTCATTTCAGTAGTTGTCATACGTAGCACTTTCCAAGTTGCTTGTTACTCTTTGCACGATAGTTGAAGACCTCTGATCATTTGAGTCTGCGAGCCTTGAGAAATGTCTGCAGCCTGTCCTTAATGGTATCAAAAAGAATGTGTGCACACTGCTCTCGAGCCAACAAGCGTGTACTGTCTGGGAAGCAGTCGATGCTGACATAAATGTGCCAACAACTTTGCAACTCGCAGCCTCAACCGATCTGAGTGACTTCAAGAGGCTGCTGCAGAAACGATTGGGATTTATGAATTTGGGCCCTTAGCTATCGTGCTTCAAAGAGGGCATGGTTTTCTTTGCTTCTCGATACTGAGGCTTCAACTTGGAAAGAACTAGGTGGAGGTAAAACTGCACTTGTCGGTGGTGGAGACGCATAGATTCGCTAGGTTTGTCGAGAACTAGGTAGTTTGTCACTTGTGGCAAAACCAAGTTTTCATACTAGCCAATCTAGGGCTAGCCGTATGTCGTTCCACAAAGGCGTTCGAGAATTATCGCTGCGATCGTCTGTAATCAAGTCTGACTGGACAAGCTTTGTTGCTCACTCACTTTTGGTGTGAGGGGGGAGGGGGAGGGAGGCTGGAGCAAACTGCTGTTGGGAAGACGCAATCGTGAGACCACCCTCAACAATTAATCTGCATCTTTACAAATGTTGTCGTTAACATGTGAAGCAAGCTCTCCGTCAAGTCTCCCTTGCCCCCCCTTTTAAAAAGGCTGAAGTTTGAAAAAGTTGGCTTTTTTTCAGTGGCATTTTCGGTAGTCTATTAGTACCCAGTGGAGGGGTGCCAGCGTAAGCAGACCCAGTTGCTCAGTTCATGACTAATCTTACTGATTTCTGGTGCTCGTCCTTTTTGCCTGAACTATGTTCGTAAAAAAAAGAATAGATGGAACGACGGACGTTTTATACCGTTATGTCGAGGAATCTTTTTTCGTTTAAAAATGCTGGGCAAGTTTATTGTAATTCATGTAAGTATTAAGCTTCATCGGGTGCAAACAATTTATGAGTGCACGTCATTTGCAGATTCTTCTTGCCCTTGTATAGGTACTATTTCTAGCCGTATGAAAAAGCCGCTAGCATTATCATTGCGAATCTTTCATCTGGAGGGTGCATCCGTGAGCACGGCCAAAGTAGACCCACTCGTGGCTTTCCGAAAATGTTATTATTCGTAACATGGTGCAAATGCCTAACCTTAAATATCGCCTTGATTGCACAGAAATTTTCGCAAGAGCCGTACTTCTTGTTACAATGCCCAAGAATGCCTATTCACAGTCTATAGTTCCTGAATCTTTAAGGTCAAGGCAACTATAGGTGCAAAGAAAGTTACCACCCAGTTAAAAAGGAGTGGCCTCGGAGTGGCAGCTAACAGTTTGCTGAGAAACGTGCTCCGAAGTAGCCAAGTCCCGGTGAAACGTCAACGGCTGCTTCGAGGCTTCTGGGACGTTCCTTTTCAAATTCAATCTACCAGCTTTGACCACTTCGTGGTTTGTTTGCACCATCCGGTTGCGGAACCAGACTGTAACTGCGGTACCTAGAATTTCAATTTGGTACGCAGAACGCGCCTCGAGCGGAAAAGGCGAATTTTGAATGCGGCCGTCTTTCTCGGTCTTGAACGAGCAATCCTGAATGCTGGTTCCCACATTTGCGATTGCTCACAACCGAGTGCTTTAAAACCTCTTGTGATCTCTTGTGACGAGACAACAGACTAGTGCAATCTATCGGGTAGTTGCGGCACGTTAACGGCTTCCATATATTTTTCTTTTTTTATTAAAGTGATAGCTTTAAGAAGCTTGTGTCACTAAAAAGCCGGCATCAGTGGCTTTGAGACAGGAAAATCCAGGATTGGTCGATAGGGTCATGACGTCACAGCCACATGACCTCGCATGGGAATTTCAAACAATGCTCATAGGAAACGTGACATCGCGCATGGAATGAAAATGATTAAAACATGACATGTAATGCGAATTAAAGGCCGCCGCATGCTCAAATGATTTCCCTTTAAAAAGTAATTAATTTGCCTTAAAGAAAACATTTGAAGAGTTTTAGGCAGAGGTGGGATTCAAACCCAGGACCCTTCGGTTGCGAGCCAGACATGCTACTGACTGGGCCACGCAGACATGCTTACACAGCTCGGGGACGAGCAGAGGTTTATGTGCTTACCTATCGCGTTCCACTCTTAAAGGCGAAGCTTAAGTGTCCTCCTGTACTTTTTTTCAGAATATTCTATTTTTATTAGCTTGAAAACTCTTTCGAAATGTTCCAAACTACCATTTGCCATACGTAGCATGTGCATTTGATCTCGCAAATATACTTGGAAACCTTGTTCCAGAGAAATACAGTTCCAGGGCCGCCTCATTGACGGTGCCAGTGTGCCTCTAGTGCGCCTAAAGTACAAAGTGTTTCCAACCGCTCGACCGAGGTCGCATATTTTAAAGGCCATGTTTACAATGCGAGCTGCAAGGAGGTGGAGCATCTCCATCCACTTTCCTCCTTGCCATGCAACAACGCAACGCTTGCAACCGATTGGCGCAGGAGGCGTCCTCCATTAAATTTCATACGCTCCCTATGGTTTTAGTTGCTCCCTCTCTTAAATCTAGGCTCTCTGTACTCCATTTCATTATAACTTGGCAAAGTGTGGAGGCTGCAGCCCCTGCGATCTAATAAGGGAGTCGGAGCAAGGCATGTGATAACACCCCATGGTCGAGGCCACCGTAGCAAGAGCGCCATCCATGACAAATAGTAGTTCTAGGCTTGTTTTTCTTTTAGAGGCAATTGAACTCGCACAACGGCATCTCTATCGACACTACACAACACGAAAGAAAGACAAAAACATGTCACTTTTCAACAATACTTAATTCGAATAAACCCTTTTCCGAGAGCAACGTGGCTTTTGAACAATGTTTGAACGACAGCAGCCCTGTAATCGACCGCTTCCACTTGAAACGTTAGATTGATCGTATGGTTGCCTCATGAACTCTTCTCAACGAGCTTGCTGCTCTAGCGGACGGCAATGTGGACATTCATTCGAAGTTGGTTGGTTTCACAGCAGACAACTCTTGACCAGCAGACGACAGCCGGTTCCTTCAGGCTAAACATGATGAAATACAGCCTCGGTAAACACGGACGACGAACATGACGGTATGACAACTGCCATTGTCCTGTCGCGTTCGTTTCTTGTTCGTCATCCGTGTTTACGGAGGTTGTATTTCATCATGTTTAACTGTTACTAACTGGCAAACCTTGCTTCAATTCCTCCAGGCCTCGCATTTGGCGCAGTGACACAAACGCTCCCGTGACGTGTTGTCACGTGCCTTCCTCTGACGCTCTCACTGGGTCACGGGGGCCGTAGCCTCCACAGTTCACCAAGTTATCGTGAAACGGAGTATAGTGTTCTTTCGACTAAGAGATCACAAGAACTCGGTCGTAAGCAAATGTGAGTGCGCGAAACTTGGGCTTACTGCAGCACCTCTGCCCCAAGTTACCGGAACTGGGTTCTTCCGCCGACACCCCCCCGCAGGGCGCGGAGGGTGGTGCTTTCTCACGATCGCGCTGGGGCCGTGCGGGGTCAGTTGTCCGAGTCAGAAGCGCTGGAGAGCTCCAGCTGGGAGCCCCACCACTCGTGGACTTCTCCGACGAGAGAGCCCATCCTGAGGGCCTTGTAGCCGCCGCCGCCGCCACCGTTCTCCTCGTCGTCAGGCGTGGGCGACGACAGCTCGCTGCCCTCACTCACGTCTGGCAGGCCCTTGGTGCCTGCAGTTGGGGTAATGGGAAGGACAATCCACGTTTGGCAGCCATTTTCTGCACTGTGTTTGCGAAGGGGGCAGGGGTCAGTTCAGATTTGTCGGCCTCTGTCTACAACATTCTCAACAGGGGAAAGGACAGACAACCGATGTTCGGCAGCCATCGTTTGTGACGTGTTCTCAACGGGGGTGAAGATACAGACAACCATTGTTTCACAGCCATTTTTTTCCATGTGTCCTCGAAGGGTAGGGGGGGAGGAGACGAACAACCAACGTTTGGTGTCCATTGTTTGTGACCTGCTTTTTACGAACAAAAGACGATCGGCAGTCACTGTCTGCAAAGTGTTCTCAATGAAGGGTCTCACGCCCGAAAGCTTGCAATGAGTCGGAAACTAGTGCATAGATGTGAAAAGGCAAAACTTGAAAGGAAAGGAACGTTCAATTCGTTCATCGACCAAAGAGCTTAAAGTAAGTTTATTGTGTGTTATAGTGCCTTTATTATGACAAAGGGTGTCGGCTGTGTATGGCGATGGCAGAAATAAATTAATTGTCATCCTAGTGACGGCATTACACTGTGGAAACGCATCAACGATGCAGACGCTGCTTTCTTGTCGGATCGGCCTTGTGTGCTTTATAATTGAAAATGGTACAAATGTAATGCATACATGACGGGTCACAGACCACAGTGTCAACATGGCTGTCTCAGCCATGACTATAGGTGACAGAAAATATGACATCTCACTTTTGGTAGTGCACCTAAAGTATACTGCAGTAATATTGCTTCTCTTATTCCATCATCCCATTACACTGGGACCCTTCAACAAAGGCATAAAACTGTCTGTTTAATTATAGAATGTGCACAAGCAAAGAATATGAAGAAATAGTATGGGTTTTGCTTGGCTGTGATTACAGTAGAAGGCAACTCTGTATCTGGCGGTTCAAGTGGTCTGGTGCAGATCCATGGCAATCTTAGTTGTTTTTGTTTTCCAAGTTCAAACTTCGCTATTTAGTACATTTCTTTCTATACCAATTCACTTTGCTGCAATTTGATTCCGAGCAAATCTACAGATAGCAAAGTTGGAGAATCCTTTTGCCTGATTGTTGAGCTCACTAGCAGACCCCGCTTCAACTACCCACCTGCCATCTCAGTCCCGAGCGTGTCTCCTTGCGTGCCATAGCCTTAACGAAGAAAGCAATACGAACCAACTGGACGCGAAGCCCACTTCTTCATCTGGTATCTTTCCTTCTCGACTCTGGTGGCTCCTTCTGAGAGGGAAGGTATGAGAAATTTTCTTCCTCCCTGGAATGTAGACAGTGCAAGGTTATTGTCTTTCTCAGGAACTTTGCTGCACACTTCAAAGCACTGTGAATTGGAACCTACTCTGCAACATTTTGATAATTCGTTTATTTCCATCTACATTGATGGTGGAGGTTGAGAGAAAAAGCTGTGAAATACAGCTTGACAAGGCCCTCAACGCCCTACATAGGCACAACAGCAGAGGTACAGGAAAAAAAAATGCTACTTCATGCGAAAGTACAAAACAAGTGGATAATATACGCACAGAACGCACAAATAAAAAATATTGAATAATCCTGGAAACATTAAACAAACCACCAGATCACTGGTATTTTACCTACCTAGGTTAACAAAATATTCTCTAAGTTGCTTAAATGACATCCTAATCAGATCTAACTCACCAGCATCAAACTGGTTGAGCAATTTAGGCAGCGTATATCTAATCATCTGAGAGCCGTGATTTGTCCTCCGCGCTACCATCTCCCGATGTTCTGCGTGACGGGTAGGGTAAACCGGTTCCTTCACAGATAGATGTGCCAAATTCGTAAGAAAACGCGTGTTTCTGTAGCTTTCCAATTTGAATATATTGCTAAGTCTATAGTTGTATAAATTGTATATATTAGTAACGCGGAGAGCCGTAAACGGACCAGCTGTATGAGAGTCAAACAGGACGCCACCAATAGACCTCAACACTCTTTTTTGTAATAAAAGCACTTTCTCAAGATTGAATCAAGTGGTTGAGCCCCAGACGAGATGGCAGTAATTTAAGTGGGAATGAAACAGTGAATTATAGATAAGTAACTTCACATTCTTTGGCAAAATTGATCGATGACGGTATATCAATCCAGCTATTCGTGACAGTTTAGGGATAATAAAATTAATGTGGTTGTCCCAGGACATATTTTCAGAAAAAAATTACTCACACTGCCCTGAAATGACTAAGAATCTCAACTGGAGTTGAATTTAGAATATCTCACGTTAGTCTGACCGATTCACCTTTGGTGTGAAAAAGTACAGGTTTCGTTTTGTTTATGTTTATTTGTAATGAGTTTTTCCGACTCCAAATTTCCAGTTTGGACAATGTCAGATTTGAGGTGTCTACTAGCACCATCGCAGTCCACTCCCGAAATAAGTATTGTTGAATCGTCAGCATAGTTTACAAATGTGGCATTTGGGTTCATGTTTACGACGTCATTTACATTTACATATAGGTTAAAAAGGAGGGGACCTAATATGCTGCCCTGATTAACACCACAAAGTATTGGTTTAACTGAGGAAGAATTCCCATTTAGACAAACATACCGGGCTCGATGCCCCAGATAAGCTCCAGCTTTATACCTGCAGTTAATATCTTGTGACCAAATTTAAGTTAAGGATTTTTGGCGTGTTGGCTAGTCTGTGCGGGGAGCTGCTTGAAGGTTGCAGTGTAGTCCGTCAGTAATAAAAACTTCGTCCAGGGGCACTGGTGTTGCAGAGAAAAAGGGTAAGGAAGGATGCGACAAAAGGGCAGAAAAAGAAAGCAGACAATACGCTAGGCAGGCTCGCTTTGCCACGACACTCTGAAGTTGTTCGAGTGCTTGTAAATTTTAGTCTCTTTTTATACAATGCAGGACACTGGTCTTTTCTTGCAAATTAAAGCTGAGAAAGACCATGTACCAGTGGCATAGACAAGGGGGTAGTTTGCGGGGTCGAACCCCCCCCCCCCCCAACCCCCCCCCAAACACACGCTGAAATCATGATTTTTTTTTTTTTTTGCTAGTGAACGATTATTAAATTGTTTCAGCCAGCCGGGGGGTTCGGGATGGCCGTGTTCGTACCCATGAATTGTACAGTAAATTCACTACTACACGCACAAATTGCAAACTTTAGCAAAAAAAATTCCCCGCTAAATTTAGCGGAAAATATTTTCTCACTAAGTTTAGCGGGAAAATTTACCTGCTAAATGTAGTGGGAGAATTCCCGTTTAGCAAAAAAAATTTCTCAGCTAAATTTAGTGCAAAAAATTTCCTGATAAATTTGGCAGAAAAATTTCCTCGCTAAATTAGGCAGAAAAAATTTCCAGCTAGGTTTAGCGGAAAAAATTTTCCCGCTAAATTTAGCGGAAAGAATTCCCCACTAAATTTAGAGGAAAAATTTCCCCATTAAGTTTAGCGGAAAAATTTTTTCCTAATTAGCAAAAAAATTTAGCTGCTAAATTTAGCAGAAAAATTCCCCGCTAAGTTTAGCGAAAAAATGTCCTCGCTAAATTTAGTGAAAAAATTTCTTCGCTAAATTTAGTGGAAATAATTCCCCGCTAAATTTAGCGGAGAATTTTTTCCGCTAAATTTAGCGAAAAATATAGCAAACATTTCCCGCTAAATGGGAGGGGAGCAAGAGAGGAGAAGGGGAGGGGCATAACCTCCCCTCCTCTTTTTTTCTAGATTCACTAGTGCAATGATTCTCAACCACTGATGTTTCAGGAATCCCTTTGTGATCAGCAGAAGTGATGGGGGAGCCTATCTGCCAAAGGTAGGGGGACGGGGGGGGGGGCTTGGACGATTACAATGACAAAATGGTGAATGAAGAAAACTAAATTCAAGCAAACCATCTTTAAAGCTCTAAAACGGAGAGTAATAAGGACTGCTTGCCTTGTGCATAGGGTCTGGTCTGTCTAGCATTGTGAGACAGTTAGCATCAATCAAAAATATATTTATTGCTCGGGTTGTCTGATGGTTGAGGCCTTCAGGGACCCCAAGAAGGCCTTCAAGGGCCCCAAAGAGTCCGGGGACCCCCTCTTTGAGAACCCCTGCACTAGTACGTCAACTCCACGGCTCCGTATGACAGCAGTAAAGGGTGCCACGGTGTCACGCCCTGTCCCACCTGTGAGGAAATGCTGTCGGAGCGTCCGCCCAGCCCTTTCTTGCGCAGCCGTAGCGAGGAGGAGGTTTCCTCCTTCCCTTCGTCCTTGACCTCGGAAGTGGATGGTTTGTTGGGGGTCAGGTCCACCCCTTGCAGAAGAGCCTCGTTGGTGGCACGCAGGCTGTTGATCAGGCTGTTCTGCTCCTTCTGCTGGAAGCGTTGCTGAAACGCGAAAACAGCAGCGCGGCATCCCCACCCCACCGCGGGGTCAAGCCTCCATTGAACCTCGAATGGTGCTTTTCCCCTGGCATTTCTGGTGAGTGCTGCAGAACAGTTTATTTATTCTGCTAGTGGATAGCATTGCAATACTTGGAGCTGGTCTGCTGTAATCGAAGTGCCCATGTGAAGTGTTACGTTGAGGAGTTGACACATTACTACCACAAGGTTCGAAGAAGTAGACAAGACTATACTTCGTTTCACCTTTTGATAGACCGCAAGGAACGCTAAGAGCAGTCTCAGCTGTTCCAACGCTGCAAAAATATCGCGAGACTATGCGCCACACGCGTTGCTACGGCCCTCCTGAAGATTGTGTCGCACTCACATGGCACTGGATTGACTTAAATGGCTCGTAGCGTCTGCTATGGTCCTTTGTGAAGTGAAGTGGAGTACAATTCCAACCTTTCGGCACAATTGAGCTTCGAATACCACCACTGTGGCACTTTTCTATCGACTGAGTGAAAGATATTCCAGGGTACGAGATATGACAATACATATACGAAAGTATACTGCTCAATAAATGCATAAAAGTGACAAGTATGAGGTGGAGGTTACTGAAGTTTAGAAAGAAGTTAACAAGTTTGGAGGGTAGCAACAACAGCTTTAAGGGACTTGAGTTATGACGTTTTCAGAAAGAGAATTACACTGGTTTAACACGATGGAGTGCAAAATCTGGTCTTACTGCTTTGATTCTGCGGAGGCACTTGTCTAGCCATTCGCGAATGGTCTGCTTGGCAACTTCTTCTTCGATGAGGTATTCCAGTTCTTCACGAGCTAGCAACTCTTCCAGCTGCAAGGCTTTTCGAATGTCCACCGACCTATATGACAACATGCTGCAACAGACGAAAAGAAAAGTGGCACAATGACTTGCAAAGAAGCATTTTGCTAATTTCCCACGCTTTCAAATTTCAATTGGTTCTAGTACTACTATACTAACTTGTCCGATCCACCTTACAAAAGCAATCTTTTGGGACTCAAGATTGCAAGGTGCCTGCTTCCAAGGATCATTCTTTAAACTTTCAATGTCGTAAAAAACATGTTTACAGCAGCTTTATGCATCAACATGAGCTAATTTAAAGACTAGTTCTACTCAATCTTTCTCAGTAGAACAGTAGCATTAACTCTGTTTCAACACGACATAGGCCTGGAGGAACTCACTTGAGCACATCGTGAAATGTCACATCCTCTCCATTGTGAAGCCGCTCCATTTCGTAGCACATGTGTTTGAAAAGTAGCTTGTCTTTTTCTGGATCCACTTCGAGACGACCCTGACGGATTGACACAAGCAGTGGGAAAAAAGAACTTGCCAATCACAGTGGAGCCGATAAAAGCAGCCAGTGGGGGAAGCCCTTACCTTAAGAAGCCTTAAGACAAATTTCACGCGTCTTATTGGGATCAGCCCCTGGAAGTAAAGAGGCATGTTTGAAAGCGCGACAATAAATATGCGGAAAATTCATTACGTCCCGAGAAACTGCGGTGGAGACCCACTGACCCTCTGCTGTATATCAACCATGTTCCAGGTGTTCTGGAAGTTCCGTATGTCTGCGTAGCTGAGAAGTGCATCTTCTTCGTTGGAGTAAAACAAGGAGAAGTTCTCCATAATGATGGCTGAAAAGGAGATGCTCGAGTTAGCTAAGGCTTTGGCGAGTACACCGTCTTGCAGGTTTAAAATAGCAGGACAAGCCCCTCTCCCAAGGCTCTCTACCATGATTGGTGGCTTCCTCCTTTCCACTCATCTCCTCTACAGCGATTGCTTTGCTAAAAGGGAATGAACTACTTTACATGTATGTTTTAATATGTTACGGAACTGACGTATTGGCGCTTGATTGGTGGAGGCCATCAGACGCCAATACGTCACTTCCATGCTCTTTTAAAATGTACATGCAAATGTCCTACCTAGCCCCCCTGGAGGGCTTTCTGAGAGAGGCTTGCCAACAGACTATTGATATCCCTCAAGTATTATCATGACTTCAAGGGGCACAGACACATCAAAATCATAATTTATTTTATTATCCGAAACGATTGAAAATGATGCCGGGACATTACCCTCAAAATTCGAAACTTGGGAATTCAGTATTTGTGAATTAAAAAAACAATTTCCAAATGCCGAATTTGAAGTTCCCGCGCGATCCGCGCCAGTGCAGTAAGTCAAATTTTGCAGTCTCCTGCTACTCGACTTTCTTTCGGACCTCCGCACCACGCTGTGAAGCAAAGCGCCGTTGCTACCGCGACCCGAAGAGAGGAGGAGGTGAGCAGGCAGGATAGAAGGGAGCCGGCGTGGGGAAAAACCAGTTTCTTCCCCGACTCAGCGATAAGCCTCTGCTCGAGCGCCGCCAAGTTTTCCGAGGGAGAACACCAATCCAGGAAGCGACATCACACCGAAATCTGATTTTTGGTATTTCAAAAAGAAAGGCCGTAGTGCGTTCGTCATTGCGTTAAAAAACATGTTTTACGATTGCCGTTATTAAATGTTATAGAAATGTCGCCTACAAAGCTTCTAAATTTCCTGATTTTTGACGTCACCGATCAAAAGAAGCAAGGAGGTGAGCGCGGGAAATATAAACGCCAAAAATAAAAAGGCGCGCAAGGAATTTTTTTTTCGCGATGTGGTTTTCTTTGCGTGTCTATGACTACAACTTGCATCGTTTTAGACAATAAAAAAGAATACGACCTTTGGGGTGTCAGTGCCCCTTTCAGTATGCTGTACCTCTTTGCATTGTAATGTATTTGCCTTAGCTACTAACGCTAGGATTGGGATGATATACTAGTATGCATATGCGAGGGGATCCTGATCAGTATAAATATGTGAAGTACAACACCCGTATTCACCAGGCACGACTATCTAGCGGCGTTTTAAGGTTAGTAGCACGACTAAGTAGTCGCGAGCTAAACGAGAAATCCGCGACTAACGAGCGATTATGTTCTGCGGTATTCACGAGCACGAAACGAGCGGGTGACTATCTGGTCAGAACTAACAAGCGGAAGTGACGTAAAAAGATAGGTCACGCATATGCATACTTAAACGCCACTGCGTAAATGGGTATTTTTTCATATAAAAACTAAACTTTAAATGTTTATCAGGATAAAAAAGTTACTATGAGAGACATATTGTCCGAGACAGAGTTTTACAAAGACAAATTTTAAAACAATACCAGGGAGAAACACGGAAGCCGCATTGCCAGCGACATAAACAAATATGGAAGCGCCCGTAAATGCGTTTTTTCGCGCCGTCCAGCGCCCTGCTGAGATCGCTTAAGGGGGAACACTGGTCTTGGAGCTTTTTTTCTTATTTTATGACCAAACTTAATGAAACTGCACATGCTTGTTCAGCTTTTTGTGCTGATTTCATATATCTGCTCATTTTCTCGGTCAGTAGCATTGTCCCTAAAATAATTAAAACTTGCCTGCCTTTGTTTGGAAAAACGATAGAAAAAAACTGCTCAACAAAATATCCTTTTTAACAGATGGCTAGATACTACGAAGTGTAGAGAATACAATGTTGGAAGCACTTTTAAAATAAACTCATTATTAGAAATTTTACCACACATTAAAGTTCAGTGCTCAATGCATGTCTAACAAGTAATATAGCAAAACATCAAATAGAAATTTTTCTAGACTTATATTAAAAAATCTGCTCTCAACATTGTATGCTTCACACATTTAGCAACACATTTCAAGAAAGATTATATTTTTATCTGCTGTAGATGCTGAGATATCCCTCCTGTAAATTTTCAACGAGTCCAAAAATTGTGTTTTGTGAAAACAATGTTTTAGAGTCAACTTCAATGCACATGCAGCCCACATAGATATTATAAATTGATTTATAGCTCAAATATTCATTCACGAAATTATAAGCCTGGTAGATTCAGAAGAACAACAGCCATAGCGATTTTCAAAAGAATGCAGTTTTAGGAAGTTTTCGGCTCCAAAGACCGATGTCCCCCCTTAAGCAATACCTCTGGCCGTTGAACATGGATATTTACACAATATTTGCTCCTCCGATTCTTTCTAGATATGTCCCCCAGCGTTCCGAGACAGTAAGTGCTTCGTTATAGCGCTGGCGGTCAGCGGTGATACGAGTCGGCCATGGCGCTGAGCCGCTAGTCACCCGCTAAACACCGGCTAAACTAGCCCTACCCCATGACTAAGATTTGTTAGTCGACTTCTTAGTCGCACCGGGCGACTAGGCCCTAAACACGACCGGTGAATACCAAGCGCTCACTTAGCGGCGACTATCGCTTGCCACGTGATCATTTTAGTCGATGACGTCCATAGTCAGTGGTTAAACAGGCGCTACTCGCGCTTGGTGAATACGGGTGCTAGTGTTTGCTTGTTTATTTCTCTATACCGATATCACGTTACAGGAACGCTGGTATCTTTATACCTTAGTGCTGTAGGTCTTCGGTTGTACTAGTGCATGTTTTTTTTGTTCGTGAGTCACTCACCTACAAGTAGGTTCAAAACGATGTAGGTAATGATGACATAAAAGGAGCAGAAGAAGATGAGACTCCCAGTGAAGTTTCCACAGTCTGTTTCCCAGTAACTTTCAGCCAGTGTGCAATACGGAGGACTAACCTGGAAGAGAAGTAAAATACTATTGTTGGATACCACTGTTATCCCAGAAACACATAAGCACTTTGAATTCTTTTATTATTATTGAAATTAACGGAAACATAGCAGGAGTTTTCTCAGGCACACCATGGCTGGCTTGGCTTAAAGGTGCACTAAAGGTGGATTCTGAGATTGTCTTTTTAAGGAGCGAACATGCAGTTCGCACCATAGAAAGACAATCTCAAAATCCACCTTAGTGCCCCCTTAGTGGAATTTCTGTCAATACCCAGTATTATACCACCGTGAAATCCTAGTACCAGGTAGCACTTCTCTTTGATCAACTAAGTAACACTTTTGCTAAACTAGCACATTCCTCATTTGTTATTTAAAATGCACAACTTTTTAACATAGAGTACAACAGCACCATTAGTGAAAAGACTAAGTGCGCAGGTGCGAGCTAATCATGTCGTCTCTGTTCCTTAGACTAAAAGTATTTTTCTTTTCTGTACCACAGCCTCAGGTGTTAAACGACATGACTAACAGCACCATGTAATAGTATTAAAAACATGACAAACACTAATGTTGCGCATCAGCCAGTATTGCATATTTTTCCACACATACATTTGTCATAAACCCTCTACCGAAATACAGGACAAATTTATTTGATGCGAAACAGTTGAGTGTCTGCCACAAATTTTAAACAGAAACTTCAACGATACGTTACATAGTATGTTTTATGCTGGAAACTGGTTTAGAGAAACACATCTAGCCCCACCATAGCTCTGTTTCTTAGTGCACACTGTGTGTCCGATTATTTTGGATAACAGTGGTATTAACAGAGGCAGTGATGTGAACCAGCTGTCGACTTACCATGCAGTCGTGCATGATTTTGTTCCAGTCTTCGCCAGTAACAATCCTGAACAGCATGGCTATCCCGTTTGGAGCTGTCTTAAAGTTTGCTTGTCTGAATCAGTGTACATGAAAGGAGAGAGGGGCTCAAAAAGTATGCCAGTCGGCAACAGCGGCAAACACAAAGAAACTGGTGCGGTCCAATGGAACCAAGGAAATAACGCCAAGGAAGCTGCATGCTGCGCTGAGGGGCGAAGGCATGGGGTTAGAGCACAGCTGCTGCATGAAAGACATCGTAGCATGGTATTTCAGTGATTAGACATGTGTGGATAGCAGTGATTTTTGGAACAGAGTCAAATATTAAAATAGTCCCAGCAAACATAAATTCAATGATTACAGCATTGAAGTGTCACCTACAGACCTCTTCTGGAAACGTGCTAAGCTGTGTTTAAATTGTCACATTAACAAACATGCTTTGCATGTAGAAAAGTCAGTGCTTGGAAAGCATGATCATAGAGTTGGTACATCGCGAGTTAATTGTAATTTATGTCACTGACCCTTTTTGTGTTTGAAACTATTGTGGTTTCTGCATGCAGCTTTCTATTTTTGTCATAATCAAGCATATGCACCTTGCACAAATTTCTGTTAGTAAAAAGGCTGCTAGACATAGCAAGGTCTTGGCATGGTCTGTGCTCACTGACAAATAATAAGAACGATGCAGGTTTCTCAATCTCACCTCCCGATGTGTTCTCCAAACTTCACATTCCCGAAAAGAATGACTCCAGTAAGAGCATAAAAAAATATGAGAAGAAACATGCCCATGATGATGAAAAAGCTTTTGTACACTGAAACCACCACAGTCAGCATTAACATCTTCAAGGTGGCCTGAAAAAAAACAAATGCCACAATCATTGATTTGTTGCTTACGACTCTGTCCAGTTACAGCTTTACACAGAGCTCAAAATCTTCAAAAATGGGGTGTGCTAAAAAAGAGGCTCATCATCCTGCCTGCCTGCCTCCCCAAACATACTTCTGTCAACCTATAATCGTGCAGCTAATGTCCTCAGACTGTTTTCCTCGCCATCAAAAAAGTAGAGAGTGGAGAAAGCATCTTCCTAACCTTTAAATGTATTGGTGTTCGTTTTTCTGTTTACTGCTGCCATTTGAACTAAAGAGATAACTTTCTCAGAAAGATGTCTCTATGGTAGTGTGCATAATGGTACACTGGACGCTAGAAAGAGCTAGACTAGAATGCTCATGTACATGAACGTTCCTCGTGCGGGCACAAGACAATTATATTGCATTGCTACTTACATGTTTACCGGTAATGGTGAAGAAACGCAATATAACGACAACAAAACCGAAAGAGTTGCTGAAGTCATTCTGAAAGTGAGAGCAATTGCCACATTATTGTGCATGGTTCTTTTTTTATCGGTCAGCAGGAGAAACTGGGATACCTACCATCATCATAAAGTGCATGATCACCCAGATGACACCGAGAAATGTGACGAACAGATCATATCTATTTCTCCTGCTTTGCCAGTATCCCCTCGGTGTAAACGCAATGTTCTTCATGGTAACCTAGGGGCACATGGAGACTTCCATGAGCTATGAGAATATTAAGAACTAAGATACAGATAACTATTTCAACAGAATTAGAACTACTGCATCTTCTCACAACAGGAAATCACAAAATTAAAGGAGGAGGACCATACAGACTCACTTCAATGGTAAACAAAATCGTAAATCCGGCAGAAACTGTCGCAAGCGGGATCGTATGAGGTTCATCCGATTTCCACTGCAACAAAATATGAAATACAAAGGAGCAGTGAACTTGTGCTGATGCTAATTCAACATATCTAAAGAGGGTGTAAGGCACAGGACACGGAACAAGCAGGCTTGCTTTTCTCGCATCATGTGAATTTTTTCAGTGCTTATCAGTTATTAGTTCCCATGTGAACTTATCACCCATGTGAAAAATGCAGAGCATTTTTGGCATCTGTGGCATCTGATGTTCCCCAGAAGAAATCTACTATGCATGCATTTCAGCTGAAAGCCATCGAACAACCATGCAACATTTTCATACTGAATTTCATACTAAAGTTTTACGCTGGAAAATGAATCGGAACCAATTAGCCCAACTTGCGGTCTTAACTCTGGCTTTCCTCACACATGTGCGGCATTTGATATAGTGCAGAAGAGCTACTGTGCGTGCTCAGAACACATTCCGCAGGCCAATTAACAAAGGTGGCAGCGTGCAGAAGGGAATTATTGGAATGGTCTCTATTCCTTGAACAAGGCAGGACAAAGTACAGCTCTGTAAGTTTTAACATCATTTTGGTGATGAACCATTTTTAAGTTCCTCAGAATTTCAGTTCATGGTCATCAAAACAACCATGTAACATTCAACGCTTAATTCTCACATACATCTGACACGGCACATGTGACGGTTCACTCACGCTGACGCAAAGAAGGCTGCTGTTTGCCATGACAAGCATGGCAATGGCCCTCTTGAAGAAGATGTTCTGGGTGATGTCATAGATGAAGGCTCTGAATTTGTGGTGGTCAGGCCTTGGAGGCAGGTGCAACGGTTGTGCTATCTTTAAGCGTTTCTTCAGGTCACACCAACGCCTCTGGTCCACCGTCAAGAGGGCGGTGCCCTGAGGAGCAGGGTTCATGTTATTGCTTAGCACACCTTTGCATACACACATTATTGATTTCCCTACATGCTCTTATGCAGTAAGCTTGATAGTTAAAATATAATGCAGAGGTGACAGGGGATGTTTGAACACTACGATAAGAGCAAATCAACAGATCAATACTTGTCACAGTGAAATTCATGTGCAGTGCAGCAGTGCACGGAGGGAAAGCCTTCCTTTCAGGTGAGCAAGGACAATTGGTTTTATGTTAAAAAGGCTCGAGGTACACCTAAGCACTTCTTATGAGTTGTGAATGTGAAAGCACGCACGCCGCTCCTCGCTCCTTTTTTTTGTCTGCAGCGTTCGGCGCGCTGACCTTGGGCATGGAACGGTGAAGCCGCTGCGTTGTGGACACGCAGCACCGTCGGGTGAGCGATCGTTCGAACTGATGCACAGAGGCCAATGGGAGCCTCGTCAACGCGCGCCATTAATGGGACCGAAGTTGAAAATTAATCAGCTTTACATCGCTCCTTTGGGATCGGGGAAACTAGGTGCCGTGTCTAGGTTTTTCGCGTGGTTTCATAGCTGGGAGCTGGCTCTACTTGGAGAAAGGATTCAAGGTGCCGTTTTCGCGCTTCAAACTGATGACGTCGGCTCGCTCCACGAGACAGTAACTGCTTTCACATTAAAATTCGCACAGACACTTAAGACTGCTTACGTGTAGGAGTGCAAAAGCATTCCTACACCCACTGCATTTTTATAAGCAGCCCGCCAAGTCTTCCTTTTTCACACGGCGCTCTCGCGGTGACATCATGCTCCCCCACTGGAAGCAGGCGGTGAACCTCGCCGGCTTCATGACGGCTCCTGTGACGAAGCATCTGCGTTGCTGTGCTTTTCTTTGTATTTTATTTCTGAAGTACGTCCACTTTGCAGCCAATGAGAATTTATGTGCTGTTTCGCTCAACCAATAGGAGTTTACGTGCCGTTTCGCTCGGCCAATGGAAATTTTGGTGCCATTTCGCTCAGCCATTGGGTATTTAGGTGCAATTTTGCTCAGCCAAGGGGTATTTAAGTGCCGTTTTTCGCTGCTACAGACATCAGATAATGCCGGCTTCACTCCATGGGACAGTTAATGCTTTCGCGTTAATAATTACCCTTGTTTCACCAGCGATTTAAAGCAATCACTATGAAGGCCTTTAGAAAATCAGAAAACCAGGGCATGCAAAATAGAAATCACGAGCAGACTTGCAGATTCTGCAAAGGCCTTCACTAGAAGGCCTTTGAATTGCCTTTGATACAGAGGTATAACTATAATGGCAATCAAATGTTTCGAAGCGTGGGATTGTAAAATCACTATCAGTATGCCATTGTCTTCTAGTTTTGCAGAGCTTTCGTTTGTGCTTTGTGAAAGGAGGGTTTTGGGATGTGTTGATCCTTTTGTATGGAATCTTATATGTTTAAATACAAATTTAACTGTGTTGCAGGACTGTGTCTGTTATGTTTTTAGAGGACTTGCTCCATTTTTTATGCTTTCATGTCCCGTTTATAAACATTTCATAGACTTCATTTTGGTTGCCTCAGTTTGCACATTGACTCCATTGCTTTTCAAGAGGTGTGAGACACGGCTGTCTAGTTTGGATTGTGAACACTCTTCTCCGACTGCAAAAAAAGGTTCCCCAATGGAATTATAAAATAAAAGGAATGCAAGGGCTGTGGGCAAAGTGAGTTCTACCTTGTTCTCACTGTAGTTTGCAATGACCACTCCGACGAAGAGTGTGAGTCCGATCATGCATCCCAAGAAGACGAAGATGTGGATGTAAATGGCATGTACCTGTGAGGGAAAACTAAGTTAGCATATTTGGACACTTCTTAGCCCCAAGCAAGTCTTGCTTCCTAAATCCTGCTCATGAAACATCGACAGAACCCTTTTAAACTTGTAGGTGTGAAATTTGCACATTCCTGCCCTGACAAGTATAAAAGACTAGTAGTTTTAATATATCTAACCAGTACAACCCAAGTAAAAGCTGCATAGCACTACCTTTTAAAGCTCCGGCCATAATATATATGTAGGTAGTCTAATCTTAAGCCATGTGCTTCAACAAAAAAACAATTTTTTACAGGTACATCTAGGATTAAATTATGCATGTTTCATTTCTATCTGGTTTTACAAGACGTAATGCAAATTTTCAAACATGCTTGATGTCTACCAGAAATGTTAGTATATACAACATGCTTTCCAGTAAGAGTAAGAAAACAGCATGCCTTTGTAAACAGCAGGCAAAAGACAATTTTTGTGGAAATCTTGAGATAAACTGTAATTTCATAGCAAAGTCTGTGATCCCATTTATTTTACTTGAGGAGTATGCCCATTTCATGAAATGCAAATGGCAGGGACGTTTGTACATTCAATACATGAATTGCAAACTATTCCAGAATAGTGACCCAAATGAGCTAACTAGTGAATGATTTAACTAAAAAGAAAACTTGCATTAGTTTTCTTTCAAGCTGTCTATTTAAGGCTACTGATGCAGCAGGTTGTGAGTGTTTGTAGACCAACTGGTATGGGCCTTCAGCCTTTCTGCTCTTCTCTCAGCTCTCCTGAGCCATATAAATGAAAATAAATTAAATTAAAATACGTAGCCACCAGTTCAATGCAAACTTCTAGAAAATTAATTTGTAAATCTAACTAAGTAGCATCACATAGCATTGGACTAAGCTAGCAAAGAACTTAACACATTCTCTTTGAGTTTGCTTCTTTGTCCATTTCACAGAGGCATTTTGCTTCCCTGAAAATTTAATGTACTGCATAGTACCTGTTTATTCTGCTCTATTTACTCTAACTTGTCATTTTTTTAAAGATTATGTTGATGCATTTTCACAAAGAAACATAGTCTGAAAAATATTTTCTGTGTCAGTCAACAATGACTTTGACGTTGTTCTCAAAGAACACATTACCAAAGCGGACCCACTGCCCCTCGATCTGCTCGTGCGACCACTACAAACCATTATTCCCTCATTGACCTGGTGAGTTCCGTAATCTTTTCTCGTTAGTCAGTAAAAAAGAAAGCCGGTCGAAGCAGGCAACGCAGAGGAGGCGGAGGACGAGATGCTACGGCAGAGGAACACTTACGGGCCCCAGCCTGTGTAGCAGGACATCACGAATGTCAAGCCAGCCCTTGAATGAAAGCACTTCAAAGAGTGCTAGCATTGCATTGCCAATACTGTCAAAGTTGAACCTGCGAGGGTTTGCCCTGCAGGGACGGCCAGAGAGGGGAGGAGAGAGAGAGGGCAGGCCACAGTCAGCCATTCGGCGAACACACAGGACGGGTGGGAACGGACAAGCACTCTACGGCAGCGCTCTGGTAGAGAGCCTCGTTCTGCACAGCACCTAGGCACCTAATACTAAGGTGGAATTTGGACTTTTTGTGTGCAATGCAGATGAAGTTGGGAATTTCTCTGTGCTGCCTGGTCCTACAGCTTATGCGCTAACATGTGCATCCTGTGTGAAATACCTTAAAACATACATGTTCAACATGCTTAAGTTTAACTACGGGCTGTGCCAGCACCATCAGATAGACTTAATTAGGAATGGGATGGTAGTAATTATGTTTCGTACATTACCAATATAGAAAGATTGACCTTACTGCTCCGACTTTACTGCTCTTTTAGTCATGGGTGGCCACAGGCATAATTATAGATGTTTCATCTTTGGCCCAAAGTGGCATTATACGGTCAACTAGCTAGTGTTTAGGTTCAACAATAAAACTTTGTCATTTTTGCCTACTGAGACATTTTTCTCAAGGTGAAAAGCGTCTCTCCCAAGGAATTCAGAGACTGCTGTAAGTATGCCGAGTTTTCACCAAATTACACATTCTAGGTTTCTTTTAAAGTGTGTCCTTGCTTACACTTGTTTATGCTACTGCACACTTCAAGCATGTCTACAGGCACTCTATTCTAGCCAGTTTGAATTACACTAACCAAACCACTCTGGGAGGTTGTTAGTTGGCAGAGCTTGGATGACAGGCACTGACCTACATTTGTAGAGAGTGCAGTTAGTCCTAGTTTAGTGCTCTTTTAGGGCAATAGAAGCATGTTGCATTTCACGGAGGCATTGACCAGAGTGAACACACTTCTATCTTAATGTCCAACTGCCACTGCTTCAGGAGATGATGATCTGTGCATCCCGTGCAACATAAATCTTGTATGTATGCACAAACAGTATGCCCTGTTTTTTCACAGCATTATTGCTTGACTTCCTTTTTTACATTTGTTTTTGTGTTTCAATGCCATAGTTGCAAGAGTACAAAACTGTCCTTTAGGCAAGTTCTAGAAAATATTTTACATTGATTTTCTTCTGCTGGGCCTTCCAAGAGCTCAAAGCAAAAGTAGCTGTTGAGGCATTCAGGCTGGCTTTCCCACAGCACAGCTGTGTATTGCAATAAAACCAACAATTGTGTTGTTTTTTTTTTACATATTTAACAGTTGATTGCAGTTAAATATACAGTGAAACCTGGAGGGTATTCTTATACAAGAGAAAAAGGTAACATTAACTCAAATTAAATCATTGCTGACTTGAACAAAAGTGTGTTGCCAGACTGACTTGCCAGCTTTGCACACGTATTGTGCAGTGGCATCAATTTTACCAGGGGCACCAACACTTTGTTCTTTCCTTTCCAACTTTTGCAGCTGCCAAAGCCTGGTTCACACACATGCGTTTGGTTGCAACCGAATGTGCTGTGTAGCCCTGCGCTCTCTTACAATCTCTTATGATGAGACAACACACGCACTGTCCCCCATTTTCATTATTAATGGCTGCTTTGGAAAGGCTAATATGATTACTCATCAAATCTCTCTTAACGCATGCCACATATTCAAAAGGGTTAGGACTCGAAAATTTAATATGTTAATCTTGAAATGGGATGACGCATGCTGCCACCATCCATCAGGTGGCCCTGGAACTGCATTTCCCTAGAGTGAAGGCTTTCCAGTATTTACGAGATCAAATGTACATACTATCTATGAGAAATATTCATTTATAACATTGTCAAAAGTTTTTCAAGCCCAAGAAAGGAGGATGCACGAAAAAAAAAGGAAATGTACAGAAATTGTGAGTGTTCCATAGCTACTCAATGCAGAGCGCAAGTTCGTCTGCTTCTTTTGCGGGGGTTGCAGTGACGTCAGAAAGACGCCGAGCACTGACTGGCTCTCATCAAAGGATAGTGGTTAGACCTCAAAGCAAGCTGCTTAAAGTCTACCCCCTATCCTTCAATCAAAGCCCATCAGAACTCGGCGTTCTGACGTCGCCGCAACCTCCCAAAAGAAGCAGACGAACTTCGCTTTGCATAGGTGGTGCCAGTAAGTTTTATCATCGTAAAAGATCACAAGACTTCAGCACATCACGCTGAACTGCAAACGTACGGAAGTGTGTGAATCCAGCCTCGACGTTACGCACGAAGTTTCAGATCATCCTTCTCGACGCAACGGTGGCAGTTGGGCATGGCTTCCCGTTTTAGTAGTGGGCGTTTAGTGGACCAGCCAAGAGGGGGCAGCTCGTGCCGCGTGCACCGTCCCGAAAGACGAGGCAGCATGCTCGGTGCTGTACACTCACACGGCCCACTTGATCGATTATTATGTCCCTGACATCGGTATAGCCCTCTAGAGAGAGAACCTCGAATAAGGCGATCAGAGCGCTCCCTAGGTTGTCGAAGTTGAAGTTTCTCGGGTTAGCCCTGAGAGAGAAGAGAGGTACGTTGCCGTTTGGAGCGAGCCACTCTTCTGTCACCCCCCCCATTTTCTGAATCAGCAGTTTGGAGCTCCAGGCGAAAATGAGTCCACATCCAGCTGGATTATGAAACTGGAAATAAGGCAGTCCAGCTGAACCCAGCTGGAATCCAGCTGGACTGCCTCATTTCCAGTTCAGTATTCGGTTTATGGCACCCCGTGTTCCCTCTCTCCCTTTGGTGCTGGATGGGTGGGGAGGGAAGAAGGCTCCTTCGTCCGACAATTCGCAATGGGCAGAACAAAGCAATGTTTCAAGAACCCAATTTCTTTAGCCCACTGCAGCTCCGTAGAACCAACAGGATTTTATTGAAATTATTAAAAATATGTTTAGTCCTAGAAGAGTCACAGGATTGAGCTTCAGTACCTAAGCTCTGGTAACATATCTGTTCTATTGGATGTACTCTTGAATCAATAATTCTGAAAATGGTGGGTTGGGACAGCTAGCTTAGTACTTATTTACTTTTTTAGAGCGCAGCTCTTAGGCGCCCGTTTCCAGCTTGAGCGGCGTCGGCGTCGTCATCGGCGTAACCAAGGTCACATCAAGGTCATGTGACCCTCCAAGGTGACCCCCCAAGGTCACAAGGACCCCTTCCCTCCCCCCCTAAATCACGTGACACCCCCCCGAGGTCACGTGACCCCCTCCCCCCGAGGTCAGGTGACCCCCCAGAGCACATTAAAGAATGAGGGGAGCAGGAGGAGGGGTCTACCCTCCCCTCAGTACCCTTCACTCCTCCTCCTCAACAGCTGCGCTCCAATTCGGCGTTACAGGGTGTTGTAAACGGCTTTCACTTTTTTCATTCTGACAAAGCCGTACATAAATATAAAGCGCAGGATCTCCTTTTTCTTTTCAATCATGGAGCAAAACATGATGGTCTCTACACACAAACTGAAACAATGTCAGCCTCCTGCCAAGTAAGTGCCCAGAATTCCCTTTGTATGTAAGGAACAAGCCCACCCATTCAAGTTTTATTTTACTCTACAAGTTGATAACCAGCAAAGTCTTGCCAAGGCTTTTAATTTTTCTTCTTGATTTCTACAAAAACATGGTCAAGATCAACATGTTTTGTGCAAATTTGTTTATTTTTTTATGAGGTTATAGGGAGTATTCACTGGCGGCCATATCTGTGTGCGCGGCTGCTGAGCGCGTGCTTACGGCGAGCTACCGCAGTTTTTTTGCAACGTGCATTCCACACCATCAAGAGTGCCGGTCTTAACAGGCTATTAATGTGAGCTCGTTCTGAGCATGCGCTCTAGACATCGCCCTCAAATATGGCGTCCAGTGAATACCCCCTATATATGTATAACTATTTTAGAGTTATATTTAACTCCCTCTGCCTTTGGCTGCAAAGGTCGATGGTAAAGACAAAAATAAAAGTAATTTTGAGCTCCTTTTTGTTGTTAAGTAAAAATATCAGCTGTACAATGGAAGCATGGTTCTAGACTGAAACGCTAAAACTGCTTTACTGCACTTCTAAGATGACACTTGAGAAAAATTAACTTTCTATTGCCCAAGAAACAGGTAAGACTACTAGTTTAGTTTACACTCATTTACTGGTTGTAACATTAGTTTTCACCTCCAAAAAATGGCACCATATAAAGGGCACTAAAGAAATGTATTGCTTAATCTTTTTAGGACCTCGGCTTAGTTACATCTAGATGCTGATAAAATATTTAAAACATATTTTCATCAAAAAAAAAACTATACATAGTCTACTTTTTTGTAGTAATTCAGGCCATATTTGGTAGCCTGTTTACCTCCTAAGTACACCCAGCAAAACTCGCTTTCAATAAACTTTTCTCCCATCAAAAATGTGCTAGTCATTAGCAAACTGACATTTGCAAGTGATGAGCTTGGTACAAAATTTGTTGACCTCTCCTGCAGGCAATGGCTGTAACAGTGAGCCATTATAGCTGGGGCTGTTGTAAATGAATCGGACTGTGGCAAGCAGAAAAGTGTTGATGAAGGAACACACGTACCAAACACGAGGCACCAGAATTACAGGGTAGGTGTCGTTTTCTGCAGGCTGGAGCTTCATTTTGGTAACAAAGACCTTGCGCATAAAAAATCCAACACATTCCCTCTGCCAAAATAAAAAAAAAGCAGTTGTCGGGAAAGAAAAATGATAAAAACAAATCGTTAGCTGAACATTAGTCGTAAGCACCACACTTACCCTAGACTTGATTTCCGGATCGTTACAACGTGCCAACCTTCCCCCAAACAAATGAACGCCATAGCAGGCAAACACAAACATCAGGACAATCAACAGAATGGAGACCTGTAATGAGAAAAGAACAGAGAGGCACGCAATGTTGGTACATGAATTTCACAAATGCATCTTCAGAATATTGAGGAACTTTATGGCAGTGCTGTTATCAAACAGATGCTGTAATGCTACAGTTGCAGGCAAGTGCAACTCAAAGGAAAAAGCTGTATATTTAACATGCAGTGGTTTTAATTTATTTTCTGTTGTTTCTGTTCTTTGTTATGCATCCCACTCCTACACGGGCCTAAAAATTATTACTATACGCTTAAAACTGCATCTAAAATAACAAATTTTTCCTGAGTTTTTCTTGGGTTGTTTCTTTAGTGTCACACTTTTTATATTGTTAGCCCCATTTCTTAACTCATGGTTATGTTGAGTTAACACAATGCAGTCACATACTATTTATAGTTACGTTGAGTTTACACAATGCACTTGCATACTACAGTATGCTCGCAATAATTCAAATTCGGATATTTTATTTCATACTTCTAATTAATTCAAACGAATTTTAAAGTTTTGGTTGTTCCGCTAAGCTTTTAATGTATTCATAAGCCGCTTAATTCGAACGGCGTTTTTGTATAATTCATACTTTTTGTTTTTGCGGCCCCGTTGAGTGCGCTTCTTTCCGTGCACCAGTGAACTGCAGAGGGGCAATACCCATGGAGCCTGCTTCCACGGGTGTTGCTTCTCCAAAGCACACCGGTGATCAGTGAGAAGCGCACTCAACGGGCTTCCAGCAGGGCGCACATGAGCTATAAAATGGGCACCACGCGAAAATTTCCATGCCAACTTGTGCGGACGCTGCGACGTGGCAGCATGGCATAGGTCCACGTCACAGCATCTGCGGAAGTGTCCCCTGCTTAATAGTTCACACTAGACAACTTCTTGGCCTGATGAACAAACTTGATTTTGTTTTGAGTTGTTATGTACTGTCTAAGAGGTCCACAATAAACAACATGTTTGAGGGATAAATAAACTTTGTCATACATTTCGCAGATGTTTCATGTGTGGCACAGCTTATGATCAGTAGGGCTCTATTCGCGACTCCAGCGAACTACAGGGGGCGCAGTGGTCAGGCAAAATGGCGGACAGAAGGAGGCTGTTTTCGTCGTTCAGCACGCGGACCACCATATATTTCTATATATGGTGGTCTGCCATTTTGTCGGTGTGAGAACGTAAAGCAAAGCGATTTTTCGATGGTAGAAACCTTCTTCTAGTCAGTGCGTAGGAATGACACGATGGAAGCATAAAAGTAATTACTGGGAACAATGTTTGTTTCTATGCAGCCTATGAGAACCAAGCAGCGATAGCAGACGACAGAGCCGAAACGACCTCCTCTCTTGGGCTTCTTGGCGTTGCCGCTACGCGTCGACGATTTCGCTGGAGTGGCCAATAGAGGAATTTATCGAATATCAGCTTGTATGTATAGCCATTCATATGGTAAATCATAATTTTATCTTGCATCATATTAGATGAATTTCTGATAATTCAAACAAAATTTGTGGCTTCCTGGAGTTTGGATTATTGAGAGTACCGTATTCACAGTTACATTGAGTTTATACAATGCACTCGGATACTATTCATACTACTTACGTTAAATTTTCGCATGCACTCTCATACTGTTTTTCTTAAAAAAGCTTTAGTGCTTAGCTTTGATAGATCATCATATCCGTTTCTAACTGCAGACACAGTAGTTTGAAAGAAACTACCATATTTTCAAATTCAACACTGCACTTGCTCTACAAGCACCAAGAAACAGCCGCCCAGGGAGAAAAGACATGACCGGTGGTAATCCCATACGTCCAGAAGCTATCCCATAACCTCAAGAGAGTTGCCGCACACTTTGATGTGCCTGTGTTCTCTGTCCCGTCTAAATTGTCTAGCCTGTGTTCAACAGCCAACAACACAAAAGAAAAAAACAGGCACATACTAAAAGCACGCAGCACAAATTGTTGATTGTGCAACGTTAGTTGTGTACGAAATACCTGTGACTTTTGGTAGAGCGTACGTTGGGCAAACGTGGAGGTGCATAAATGACACGACACGTGAGCATGCCCTATCTGCTAGAAGCTTTCCATCAGGCAATCTCACCATTCAGCGATAGGTGTCCCTGTGCGCCTAATCTTAGAAACGAAAATTTTAGAAACATTAAAGATAAAACTGGAAGAAAATTATTTGAGGCCTAGTGCATAGAAGTGGAGGGCGAGGATAGCTGCGTAAATGCACCGTTGGTGCTTTTAATCGAGGAAAATTTTGCTTCTTTGTGCCGGGAGACCCGTTGCGTGTATAAAGAGCGAGTGTGTAGCGAAGGAGGTAGGAGTACAAATAAATAACCTCCTTGAGTACAAACATGACATCAAGGCACAGGGTTACTTGACAAACAGCCAACCCGCTGAATGCCCGCTGAAAAGCTGGTGGTAGCATTTTTAATATCAGTTTTGAAGTGGATTGTAGTTTTCCTTTAGTGTAACATTTCTGCAGTGCTCGTATTTAGTCTCCGTAAATAAATATTAGCCATGTATTTTGGTCCGACTTTCGACCGGAGTTATCCTTTAAGGGGATTTATATATTCTTGCTATATGCAAATATCTTTTTTTCAATCACCTATAATTAACATGGGTTGTCGGGCATCTCTCATGCATGCCAGTTTCATTTTTGAAATATTATTGCAATGTGGATTTCAACATTTATGAGGTTTTCGATTCCTTTTAAGTACATCAGGCTCGCACGTGCACCATCCCACTTTGGAAATGAGCTTTCCTCCTAAGCACGCAGCTACAGTGTTGATCGCGGCAGTGTTGACCGCGGAAGAGCTAGCCCCATTGAGTGCGCTTCTTACCACACACCGGAACACTGTGGAGAAGCCACACCCGCAGAAGCGAGCTCCTTAGATGTAGCTTCCCTGCACTGCACAGGTGCTCGCTAAGAAGTGCGCTCAACAAGGCTAACCTGCCACAACACTTCGAAAGATATAAATATAGTAGTTCATCTTGAATGGAATATTGAATAGCATACTATTCTAAACTACTATTAGAGAATTCAATTGGCACAACACTACCTAATGTGTTTTATGAAATACTACTGGCAAAACAATGTAACAGTCTCAGATCAATGTAAGGAACAAAACATTTTTTTAGTTTCATTTTGTAGCAGACGCAAAAGGCTCTTGCTTCTCTCTCCACAATCAAGTTGTCCACTCTGAACTGCCAAAGGACGCCAGTCCAACCTTGTGTGGCTTACCAGAAGTATTTCCTTGAAGCCCCTGCAGAGCTCACAGACCACCTTGCGCATGTGGGGCACGAGACTGAAAATCCTCAGGGGCCGCACACAGCGCAGCAGCATCAGCAGCTGAGTGCTTGACTGAGGCGGCACCTTTGTCGGCATCCAGCACAGGAATACGAGGCTCACCTGAAAAGATACGTTCATGTGCGGTCTACAGACGCACGCCGATATTTATCTATACTTATTTCATTTTGAACACATTGCCAGTCATGAGGCAAAAAAGGTGGTAGGCACGTTAAGAGTGAGGATTAAAAATACTATGGTGAAAACCAGTCCCATTTTCACTACTTACACCAGTCATTAAGACATTTCCATTTCTCGATACATTTGCCAAAAAAGGGTTCCTAAAGGATTCGGTATTAACGTGGCAAGGCATAGTAGATTTGTTGTGTTTGATTCTAGTTGCATTGTCACTGTCTGCATATGTAACTTATTTCTGAATATGAATAAAATAATAAGAATGTGGCAAGTGAAAAATAATTTCATCCAAGTCAACATCATCCTAGTGCTTATAGGAGGTTTGCATCATACTTCAGTTGGGAGACAAAGTTTGTGGATCAATAGCGATTCTAGAAGTATGCAGAGAGACAAAGGGCCAGAGGTGACTAACGATGTATATGAAGACATCCCCAATGCCTCCAACATCCTTGATCAGAGCCTTGGGTGTGAAGAACAAACCGTCGGCGAGGGTCTTCAAAGTCAGTTCGATGCTCATCGCCACCACAAAGACGTATTCTGCAATCTGGAGGAGGGTGTAAAGAAATCTTTGTTAGCCTTTCTGTAATCAAAGCTCGGTAATGGTTCAACGGGTTCTTCAGGTTTAGATGCACATGCTGCAAGTAAAGGGCATGGGAAGCACTTCGAAGTGCTTCTACTATAGTAGAAACTCGTAAACATCATCTCTTCTCTATACTTTGGTAAAAGTCATGCTTGGACCACCTTCTTTTGCACTGTTTATAAGATTGAGTTCAACTCTTGCTAGGTGCCAAAGAACTCCGTGCCAAGTAGCAGTGAAGGACAATGATATTATGCTTATGCCAATGCAGTTTTCCCAGCTTGAAATAGGCTTCTAAATTCAAACCACACTTGACAGTTGTAATTTTTCACATATTTACCAATCCAGCTTGAGCACATAGGACTTCTAGGAGCACTGAGATACTACAAAGTTATTACAAAGATTAAGTTTTGTTTTAAATTTCAGATTTGTGCAAAGTGAGAAAAGCGGAGGTTCATCAGCTGAACTTCAAGGTGGCTATACATTTTATTGTCAAAATGTTTGTAAACTTGTTCTATGTAGTCCTAAATAGCATGTGGTGACCACATTCATTCATTCATTTATTTTAAGTGACCCACAAACAGCATGATGCCTTTCCAGTGGTGCACTTTCCAGATTAGTATGTAACACCAGAACACAAATATGAATAGGAATAGAAACTTTAGAACAACACAATATAATCAACAGAACTTCTAAATCAATGTGCGTCATCAAAAATATCAAGGCTACTATTTGCAGCAATCTGTTCACAATGGTTATAGGTTCTCCACCTGAAGCATCGGTGTGTTCATGACCCGTTGAGTCGGGGTTTCCATCATCATGGATACACAGGACAGTGTGGTGACAAAGATCATCATCCAGTCCAGGTATGTGACGAGTCCAAGGAGGTTGCTGCAAAAAGCAGGAAACATCAGTTGGTAGGTCATGAACTTCGGCAACTCTTGTACGCAGTCCTGGGCAGACTACCTCAACATCCACAGTGCTGCAGCCACACCAGCAACCTCCTAGACAACGAAGCTGTCTTGCTGAATTTCTGGCAGCACTTAAAAAAGGCTTGAGCATTCGGCTGCTACTTCAGCATTCGGCTGGTATTCATGTTCTCAGTGAATGAGCACGAATCTTAGCCGAGCGCTAACACAGCACTCATGTTCAGTCTATGCAACGCGCTGGCCTTCTTTAGGCGATGCCAGAAATTTAGCTCTATGGTTACGTTAACTGGTAGGTGTTGGCCCCCTGCTAATAGAAGGAAAGGGGAAAACACAAAAACGTGGACTCTCTTGTCCATTTTTCTAATGCTGTTTGGTTTTCCAGGATGGAAACAATGATGGGACCAGTGCCAGACATAAGTGATATGGGTCTCTAGTAAACTATATTGGTCTCTAGCATGCAGCGACATCAGGCAACATTGTCACTGTTGCCTGGTGTACTGCTATACAAACTAAAAAAACAGTTGATATAGGAGAGAGGTAAGGGAGTGAAAAGAAGAAATCCTTATCGTCTACTCCATTTTTTATTCTTCTAACTACTTTTTCTTAAGAACACAGAGGAGCCGCCCATCATTTGCTACATGTCGCACAAACATGTGATGCCAAGCAAGCAAGGGGCTCGAAGTTAACAGGCTTACTGCATGGACTTGTACTTGATCTTGCGTTCTTGTCCAGTGATGGGGTCTCTAAAGCGAGGGTCGTAGCGAGCATAAACAATCGTCTGGCAGATCTTGCGGAACTTGCTCTCCCGGCCGACCACAAACAGGGGGGTGTCAAAGTATGGGTGGTTCTCCCGAAGGTCTTCCTCCCTCTGATTCCTAGAGATGATAGACTTGTTACCTAATGCTGGATGAAGTTTGACGTAATTGAGCTTGACTACTATCGTTCTGTCTGTCTGGCACCCAGGTCTCCAAATGGGACCAGCTTGAACCAGTTGGGTCTCCAGATAGGATCAACTGAATCCATGTTGGAGATATTAACTAGGGAAGGTTGTGAAATTGTAGTAGCAACCACAGTCAAAGGACTCAAAAGGCTCACCATAGAGTTGCATAACCAATTCCACACTTGCAGGTGTCAGTAGCTCTTAAACTGGCTACTCAACTCCCCAATTTCAATTTCAGATAACAAATATTCTTTTAGGTTTGTGCGATGCGAGTAAAGCATCAAGTTTGTGTCAAAACTAAGCATGTCGATCTGATCTCAAGAGCCAGTCAGCCCCACCTCTTCATTTCAGCCTGCTGACGCTTCTGCTGAAGCATCTTGATGTCAAAGTCGTGCAGGCTCCTCCCTGAAGTGGCGGCATTGACAGATCCCATGTCTCCATTTTCCTTGAGGTGGTCGTAGGTCTGCTTCATCTTCACCGAGCCACGAACGGACCTCCGCATGCTCCTAGATCGGGAAAACCTGCAGCAAGCACCAGGGGGCGAGCAATTTCTGAGAATTCTGCAGACTCAGACTGCTGACTTCGAGCTCGCCGATTCTGCTGGTTCAGAACCTCAGTCTCTAGGTGCTGAAGGCCTACAAGTACAAGCCTATAGCATTTCTGCAAAGTTCAAACTCACCAACTAAAAGAAACCAAAAACTAGTCTATAAATTCAAAAATTGAGAAAAGAAAAACTGCTTCAAAATTGAGGTTCAGGAACCTTTGGGGGTCTCTGAAGCTGTTTTTCTAATTCATGAGCTGATTGGTGTATACTACACCACAATGCACAGGAACATTACAGAGAAGTTTGGCTAGGCAATTTGGAAAAGTAGGAAAGCAACAAGAAGTGCGGCCATGCACTTTAGAGATACTGCCTATCACTTATTTAGGCCATCCAAAGAACTGATGATCAAATATGTTATTTACTCTAAAATTAAAGTAACAGTTTCTGAAAAATATTTTAGGCCAATAATGTGATGATTTATGGTGTCAGCTTTGAAATAGTTTACTAGCTGCAACTGCCAGCTTCTTACAACACTACTAAATCTTTTATGTAATTTCAATAAAAGGCCTTAAATATTTGCCTGGGATTTCTTTTTCAAGTATATGTTGATATAAATTCATCAGCTGCTTGATAGAGAGTTTAGGCGGTACCCTGTGGAAAACAGTTCTTTTCGAACCGCTATTGCTAGCTCATCAACAGCTGCATGTGACTCACCTACGATCCAATCTCATGGGTTGCTTCTGGGTCTGTTTTTGACCTTTGACCGCCATTGGAACAGGTCCCGATTCCCCGTCCAGTAAACGTTGATTGTTGGAGTCACTGTCGAGAAGAGTTGTTATCAACACGTGCAATCAAGTTGTTCTAAAATACAGTAGGCTCGCGATAATTCACTCAGATATTTCATACTTCTGGTTAATTCAAACAAATTTCAATCTTTTCGTTGTCCCGCTATGTTTTTAATGTATTCATAAGCCGCTTACTTCGAATGGCGTTTCGTGTAATTCCTACCTTTTGTTCTCGCGGCCCCGTTGAGTGCGCTTCTTTCCGAGCACTGGTGCACTGCAGAGAAGCAACACCCGCGAAGCTTGCTTCCGCAGGTGTTGCTTCTCTGCAGGGCACCACAGATCGGTGAGAAGCGCACTCAACAGGGTTCAAGCGAACACACGAGCTATCAAAACGGGCACCACGCGAAAATTTCGATAGCAGCTTGCGCAGATGCTGTGACGTGACGGCATGCCATAGGTTCACGTCACAGCGTCCGCGAAAGTTGCTATAAAAATTGCGGCGCGGTGCTCGTTTTCATTGCTCATGTGTACCCTGCTTAATAGTCCACATGGGACAACTTCTTGGCCTGATGAACAAACATAATTTTGTTTTGAGTTTTAACGTGCTGTCTAAACAGTCCACAATAAACAACATTTTTAAGGAATAAATAAACTTATGTCATAAATTTCTCAAATGTTTTATGTGTGGCATACCTGCTTATGATCAGTAGGCCTATGTAGAGGAAATCATCAAATATCTGCCTTCTATGTGTGGCCATTCATATGGCAAATCATAATTTTGTCTTGCATCATATTTAGATGAATTTCTGATAATTCCAATAAAATTTGTGACTTCCTGGAGATGGAATTGATGAGTCTCCTTAACTCTGCGCTATTATTTATGACAAGCATCTGACATAGGTATCTGGCATAAAAGTAGAACAATAGTTATAATCTGAACTGACCTTGCAAATAAAAATTGACTTCTCATTTACAGCACGTTGGGGCAACAGAGGCTACAGTTTCAAATTAAACTGTTTCAATTTTGACTTCTCAATGCAATATAGAATTTCAATATGCACACAGCATGGTACGATTAGGATTAGCACAAACACAACATAGCCTTTTTTTTTTTCAGATTTCGCTCATACAGTTTTATATGGAAGAATAAATTTACCACACCTAAGTTGGCATCTGCATTACTACATTCCCCTTTACAATTAGTCTTCATTACACCCTTCCAGCTGCCAGAGGAAGAACGAGATAAGCTGGTGCTCTCATGCTTCTGGTAACTGAACCATGTTGCTCATTGTACAAAAACAAAACCACAATACTTTTAAAAATGCACGCTGCTGCTGCAGGTGTCGCTTTGCCGCGGTGCACCTCAGCTATGGTGAAAGCGCACTTCAAGGAGCTTATATGTACACTTGGTTATAATAATTTATAAAACTTAAAGATACTGATGGACGGACAGACATGGACATTTATTAGGTGGTTCTACTCCTGCGTAAACCTGTCAGTCACGTGTTGAAAAGTTTTAAAATGTCCATAACTTAAGAATATGCAAAATAAATAGTAAACCAATATTTGGACAGACACTCCGGACACAGGTATTGGTTCTGTCTGGAGGCACCTCTGGTCTCTGCAGTACAACCTCCAAAAATATTTGTCCCGAGAGTAGACAGCGCTGTGTATACTCACACGACAATGCTTGTGACGCTGACCTTCTTGAGGAGACTGGCTGCGTTGCGAACTTTGCTGGGCGACGAGAGCAGATGGATGGGCGGCTTCTTGCGGTACGTCACGAGGCTTTCGGGCATGTCAGCCTTCTTCATGTCTGGGCACTCTTCTGGCAGTTCTTCAGCAAATTGACGCATAAAGCTCTCCCGAACCTGCATGGATGCAACATTTCCATGTCGTGCACCTCACTTCACTTTAAGAATCAATGAATCTTCCACTAACAGAGTTCAGGGCTGCAGAGTCTACTCATAACTCGTATAAGCATTCATCACAAAATTCAATTTCGACATTATCGCAATGATCTACTCTTTGGCAACTAGGCTGGCCCTTTACTTCATTTCATTTTTAAGTGAGCATAGCTGAAGCTTCATAAATGAGTACCAGGTTATATGATTGAGCTCCCTGTCAAGCATGTATGCTCATGCATTCAAAGCATTGTTCAGTGCAACATGCTCATGCTTGCAGCTCCGATTTTGCTTGCATGTAAAGTAAAACAAAGTTTAGCAGCAATTTATGACACACTACCTTGAAATCCTGAGTAAGCGCCAACTCAGAATTCGGAGAAAATCGTCTAAAAGTGGGGGATGGGTGCTCCTTAGGTAGACAACATGTAAAGGTATGTCCTTCCTGTATTTTCCGAGTGTTACAAAATTGAGGGGTAGATGCTTATTGCGAAAGGGGCAGACGCTCGGCGTTTTACAATAAATTGAAATTTAAGTTTACTGAACAAATTAACAAAATGTTACATTCAAACTCTAGAAACAAACAAACAAATACTTAATATAACATGAACTAAACTAGCTGTGCAATGTTAGAACCCAAACAAAGTAACAAATATTCTGGGCAACAGGAAGACAAATTAAGGTTTCAAAGCCTCTTTTTGTTCGAGTGGGAGTACTTATGTCGAGGCAGCATTGCTTACCTTGGGCACACCAAACTCCGAGGGTGCTCTATGGAGTCGTGTCATTTGTGGACTGTCGGCAAACCGCTCGAAAAAGCGGAGTCTTATCGGCAAGCCTTCGGTGATTCCCGCACTTTGTTCTCTCGCCTTCAACTGAAAAAAAAAAAAATATATATATATATATACATATATAAATATATAGGTATATATTTCATTTCATTTCATTTATTACACGATAAGGGCCCCTGGGGGGCATTACATAAGGAGGGTAACATAAAACACAATATAACACTTCAAGGGTTGAAATCAAATGTAGGGACAAATAGGTTGAAAGAACATCTGTTATTTTACAGTGCAATATCTTCATTATACAATCATATGCTTAATAAGTTCTGCTAAAAACCAGGCAGGATCAGTAATTGTTACAATGGACTCATGTAGCGCATTCCAATCCCGTATACACAAAAAAAGGGGAGAGTTTTTAAAAATGTTGGTTCTGGCAAAGGGCATTTCTATCTTCTGGCAATGATCACAGCGTAGGGAGACATGACTGGCTGAAGAGAAGAATTCATGGTCAGTCTAGGGCTTGTAAAACAGGTTATGAAAAAAGGATAATCTATCTACGGTGCGTCTAGAATTAAGGAGAGGTAGTGATAAAGAAGCCTTAAGGGCAGAGATGCTCGTGGGTGAGTAGTCAGCAAGAATGAATCTAGTTGCGCGGTTTTGGATTGATTCTAACATGTCGGATAGGTAAGCCTGATGGGGGTTCCAAATGGTAGAAGCGTATTCCATGTTGGATCTAACAAGGGTGCAGTATGACAGCTGTTTGATTTTCGGTGAAGCTTGACTAAGATGGCGTCTCAGAAAACCTAAAGTTTTATTAGCACTGGAAGTTATGTGTTCAATATGAGTTCTCCATGAGAGGTCAGAGCTTAAGTGCACGCCAAGGTATTTCAAAGATGAAACCTTTTCAATGGGCTGGGATGTAAGTTGATAGGTGTAATTTACTAGATTACGGGATTTAGAAAAAGATACACATTTACATTTATTATGATTAATGGACATTAAGCCACTCAGCACACCAGGTTTCAATTAGGGATAGGTCTTCTTGTAATGTTAGGCAATCATCTTCACTGGAAATAGCGTGATAAAGAACAAGATCGTCAGCAAACAGACGAACACAGCTTCCCAGGCGATAACCAATATCATTTATATAAATAAGGAAGAGCAATGGGCCCAGTACAGTACCCTGTGGTATGCCTGAAATATCTGGTAAGGATTGTGAAGATGTTTCACCTAGACGTACGGATTGGGTTCTAGTCGTAAGAAAAGTTTTTATCCAATTAACTAGTTGCATTAATTTTTAAGTTTTGTAATTTTACTATAAGTCCGTAGTGTGGCACACGGCCTTCGAAAAGTCTATAAAGAGAGCGTCTGTTTGTTTTCGTGAGTTAAGATTACTGTGGATATCGGTTACCAACTTGAAAAGCTGTGTTGTGCATGATCGATTCCTACGAAATCCATGTTGGTTAGAGAATAAAACATTATTGATATCAAGAAACTGCATTATGGCTGTAAAAAATATACGGAAGAAAACACACTTCAGATGGTTGTTGGAGTTTTTAAAACATATTCGTAAAGTTGGCCCACCTTTCGGCCTTAGACAGGCCTTTTTTTTCTCTATAGGTACATATATATATATTAGATACATTTGGTTTGAGTACTGCCATCCACATTTTCCCAGTAAAATGCACTGGTTGGCCAGAAGATAAATTGGTCGGTTGAAATTTTTTTCAATAACAATTATATATATGGCAGCTCCTATACCCCATTTGACTCTCTGTGCATTAGCTGGGAAGAAAATAAGACAACACAAACATAACCTCTGTCACAAACAGCTGCTATGCAGTTGATGCAGAAAGAGCAGTCAGCAGTGTCACATGCTGCGAAAATCTCAGTATAAACTTCTTGCGACATAGTAGCGATGTCGAAAGCAGGGTGTAAAATTTAAAAAATCAAGACAATTTAAATTCTGATTTAAATCATGATCCAAATTGTGATTTAAATTGAACCAGTTTTCCTATGATGATTTAAATCAAAACTTTCCCACAAAAATAATTAAAAAAAAAAGTTTTTATTTTCTGTTTGTCTATAATTTCATGCTTTCTATGCGCATTCGCTTTTTACTGAAATAAAAGAATCATTGAGCAAGAAATATTTATATCAGGCTGAACAAAATCAAAAAGTGCTGCCGTTCTGAAAAAATTCGGGTCATTGAGATTTCTTCCTACCTTCCACCTCGTTTGTGAGTAACGTAACGTCGTATTGAAAGAAATCCAAATGTGAAAGAAACAAACAAAAACTAGAAAAAGTAACGTTTTATTGCCAGCAAAGCAGAGTACAAACAAAGCTAACTAAAAAAAATCAAGCTGATTTTATTCTAGTATGGCTGGGGTTACATCAATAAAAAAAGTAGTTAATTAAACCCTACTCTAAATTTACGATATTTCTTTCTCGCACATTTTTATCGGTGGTTGGTTGGATTGAACAATCAATCTGCCGTGTTAAAATAGACATGTAGTAATAAAGAGTCGCTATTCTCTAGCTGCGGAGACCTTGATCAAATCAATCTGGTTTAAATCAAATAAACTCGATTTAAATCAAATAAACCAAACTTATTCGAATTTTTAAAAAAAGAAATCATGATTTTCTTTTTTACCATTGGTCGGGAATGTGCAGGCGATGGGAGGGGGGGGGCAACGGGGATTTCACTTCCCCTTTCTTCAGACTGTTTGCTATGGTCGCTGGCAAGGTGAGACTGGCAGGGAGGAGCTTCACTGTCCCGTCCTCAGTGCAAGCTTCCTGCCCTTCTCGCTCTGCCAGCGACTACAGAAACATACAAAACGGGGGGGGGGCAATGCCACATAGTCTCTTCATTCTTATGGTCAAAACATGTATCTAGTAAAGAGATGTAGTAAGACTAGTAAGGGTGTTACAGGCATTCGCAATACTGATAGTGCAAAAGTACTGACATAGTATATAATACTTGCGATACGCCTTACCTGTTTCAATTTTTTTATGTCTTCGTCCAACTCCAGGTTGTCGAGAATGACGGCAACGAAAAGACTGAGCACAATCTAGATGGAAAGGGGGAACATGGTGGCGTCACTGATCTTGAAAAGCAAACGTGGGCGTGTTGGTATACTTACCAAAGAAACAAACAGGTGGTAAAGAATGAAGTAGATGGCAACCAAAGGTCCAATTGTCTTGCTGGTGCGAAGCATGGTTTCGTTCATCACTTCGACCCAACCCTCTTGCGTAAGAATTTGGAACATGGACATGAACGCCTGAAAGGGACGAGGCGGCCTATATTACGCATCGCAATTACAGTCATGAATTTAGTATAAACATATTATTGATCATTCTATTTACCTCTCTGCTGTTTTCCAAGTAGCTTTTGGCAAATTCTCAATTATTCTGCTTATAGTTAACTGCTGAATTGAGTTGGGTGATATTATCAAGTAGTTTAATTGCTTTATGCAGTATTGCCACTTTTAGTAGCAATGATTTGTAAAGCCATTTCCAATGTGCGTAGATTATTTATAAACTACTTGGGTTGTAAGTGAAGTCTGATTCAGCTGTATTCATAGTGATGGGCTAAACCTCTGCCGAATCAATTCGGCGCCAAATCTTGGGATTTGGCAACGACAAAGTTTTGCCAAACTTGTCGAAAGATTCAGCAAAAATACATTGTCGCCAGACGTGAAAGTTTGTATTTTGTTTTTTAGAGCGAAAAAAGATTTTAGGTTTTTTTTAATGCATATTGACACAGTTATTACTAAATGAGGCGATATTCTACAAGATAATTGTATCAATGTCATTTTGGTGTGTTTTTTGGCAATTTTACAGTGACTTTTTGCAGAAGTGGTGTGACAACCAGGTTGGGTAGTTGTGGGTGCAGTCACAATACACGAGTTTCGGTTCTGAGGCCTCATCAGCACAAGCCTGCAAGTGTGCACATTATTAAAATAAAGGCGGTAACACTGTGTTCTTACTTTCTTCGAGAGTCACCGTTTCGTGCACAAAAAATTAATGCCGGTTGCTGAGCCTTCACCCGAAGAAATAACAATATTATTGTAAATATGCATGTTTTTTTTTTCAATTTGAGTCACTTGATGCCAGCTTTGCATGAAAATGTGTGTCCTATATTCGCAAAGTCTCGTTTTCAACTTTTAAAATTCCCGTTTTGATGTTAGGACATATACAAATGTTTAAGAAGATTGGAAGAGTTAGGAATGTTGGATGTTTAGTTTCATGCGGATAGATGAAAACCGTGAAATGACACTAGTTAAAAAGTAATATTCTGTTTTGGCACAGATCGAAAACAGGATTGCTATGCTTGCGGGGAGTGCTTTAAAGTACTTGTCACTCAATGTTTCAACTACCTCGTTGCATCACTGGAAATATCAAATGAAAATTATGTTGTTCAGAGTGCACCGCATCATTTGTCACTTGTGCAGTGAACTGCAGTGATTCCTAATCGATCTTCTGTTCTTGAGGCAGAAAATATTGAAGAGAACCAGATTCACAACGGCATAAAAAAACACAGTTACCATGTCGCCTACTCCGCACGTCGCCATAACCGCTGGTTGTACACTACACTGTATGATGGTAACCGCACAACCGCATGGCATCCATTTGCAACCCATGGCTCCGTCCATAGATTGCCGAATTTTCACCGAATCTTTGCCGGAATTTCCTTCAAAAGTTTGGCATGTGCCGAACTTTGCCGAATCTGAAGTTTGGCAGATTCAATCTATCACTAATTCATACCAATGAGTCAAGGTTCTAATGTTACGAACTTTGAGTCTATTGGACAGATTGTTCCTTAGCAAGAATAGAAGCATGACCTTACGAGTGAGCTTTTGGATATAGTAAATAAGGTGAAAAGCACCCCTTGTACTATTAAAACATATTTTTAACAGAAACTACAAATTTTGTTGCCCAGTTTTTACTTGTGCTGCATAGTAGTTGTGTTGTGTTTATTTCATTAGATATTTTATCAGTCAAGCTATCAATCTTTTATTTGCATAAAAGAAAAATGGAGAATGCATTAGACATGCACAGCCACCAGTCTATAAATTATTTGAGGTGCCAGAAATGATAAAATTATGGTCCGTGTTCAATAAGTACTGACATGAAAATTGAATGCATTTAAGGCATATCACATTGCATGCCAAACAAAGGGGTAGGTAGGTATTGCCATCTGTGTACATTTTGATCAGGTGTAAGCCATATATAACCAAACTTCACAAGTATAATAACTTTTCTAAATAAGAGCTAGCAGTTTGGTAATCAAATAAAGGGTCTCACCTCCGGAAATGATTCAAACTTCATAAAGTCCGAGAGGCAGCAGAACAGCTGCATACTAATGCTGGATGTGATCAGCAACAGACACATGGTAAATATAATCAAACTGCCCAGTTTCTTTCCCGGGCCAAAAATCTGAAATGATGAAATAGGATTACATCAAGTCGCACAACATTCAATCACAGAGCAGTGTTTATTTATAACAGCCAACCAGGTAGCTGAACACAAATCAATAGACGGATTCTGTCATGACTGTACCTTGTAAACAAAGTCTTCAAGTACTGGTGATGCTTTTATTAGTCGGACGATTCTCAACACCTGTTTGATAAAACATAGACAGATTTGAATCACAAAGGTATGTCTCTGCACCTCGTGATTTGACATTACAGCTAATTACTGGAGTTACCTGGAAATATGTCAGCTCAGAAGTGAAAAAATCTGGAATAAGGTGCAAGGTAGTTCCAATGGCCAAAATAAATTCCAACTTGTGCAGCGAGCGTTTGATGTAGCCATTGAAGCCGAGACACCAGATTTTCAGCAACACTTCTAGATCAAAGAATATTGTAAATCCAATCTAGAATCAAAGTGGAAAAAAATATATATATATATTAGTATATTATTACTATGTTAGCATTGCACAACTTATGCAACATTGCAAAAAATCAATGACATAATTTGGAAGAAAATAAATGCCTAGAATCAGTAGAAAGGCAAATCCCTGGGCAACTGTCTTACTTTCTCAGGCCTGTGAAAAACTATAAGTGCTTTAAATATTGCTTGTGCACATATAACTGGAACTATAAATAAAATCCAAGTCTCAGAAAATGGCAAGCCCACCCTATCCACACAGGTGCAGTTACCACACAGGCAAATGTTACACAGCACAAAGAAGCAAGGAGCTGTGTTTGAGACCTTTCAGTGTATGTGTTTTTTTTTACCTGCAGTGTCAGGGTTTATGTCATGTTCAAGCATATTACATGGGACAATGTAAAAAAAAAGCATTAAAATGCAATTTAAACATTTCTTGTTACGGTAATTTACTTGAGGAAAAAACTAGAATTTTCAGATTACCTCCGATTTTTCTACACTGTGATGTGCCAGAATGATTTAGAGAAGACTTTAGAAACCTATATCATGAGACATAAAAACCAAAAACGGTATAATGGAAAATAATCCCTGAATCTCAGCTGACCTTTTCTGCAATCCTCGTTCACTAATAAATACAGAAGCAAATTTTATATGAACACATGTGACAACTGATGAAAATGATAAAATCACAACTTGAGAAAGTTTTTGTTGAAAACTATGGGCCCTCAGTCAGCAACTTGCACTGTATCACACTCTAGCCAAGCAGTTTACGCAAAATAAAGCTTGTTAAAGGGCATCAACGAACGTCGTGAATCATACTGTTCAGTATAGTCCCTCCTATATAAGTGATGCCGGCAACAACCAGAGTATCAAGTGTCCGTGCACAACGCACACTGAACCTTACTGAACTGCCTTTGGATTGATGGATGTATGCATACAGCTGAGCCTTATAAATTGGGTGGCAGCTTGTGCCACCTGTGAAATAAAAAAAGTGCCACGAAGTCGCCTGGGGCACGGTGCCCTCACCTCTGCGAAGTAGTAGGTCTTGAAGAAGTCCTCTCGTGGTCGTTCGTCGTGGACAAAAGAGATGCTGGCGGCGACGAAAGCGTTGGCCACGTTGACCATCATGACGATGACTTGGAATGCGGCCGAGTGGATGACCACCTGGAGGCATCGTGGTGCCTTGCCCCGTCCTTTACTCTCGTCCACAGTCACCAACTTCCAGCCCGAGTCGTCCCCCCGCAACACCTGGGTGGGTCGTGCGTCACGAGGAGACGTCGGTTAAACTCGCGCGAACGGTGGCTCCGACAGACCAGCATGCATTATGACGCAGCGCGATTAAATCTGAATTTGATTTTAGTCAGGAGGCTTGTGCAAAAAGTTTGAATTGAATAGAGCTGCATCATAGAGCAGCACTATACAATTTAAATATGAATCGAATAGTATGTGCTACTATCTTTATTCAGTACCGGCTCTGTTTGCAGTGTTAGATACAGATAACACGGCACTAAGTATCCGATTAGAACCACCATTCGCACACGCCTAATTTTCGGATACTACGGTGAAAAAGTGTTTTTACAAACTGATCATATGCACATCAGCATCGAAAACTGACCCCAAATAGAAACTGTGTGACATTCATAATTACTAACTTAATTATTTGAGATCTAGGAACCATGTGCAATTCAAAACAATTCAAACTTTTGTGGATGATGGACTAAGTAGAGAAGCATGCAATGGTAAAGTGCCTAGGAGCTCACATTCTATAGCTCATATATCCTCTGTTCTTGTAGATTACGGTAATACCGTCTTTAGCACTCAGAGATACTGAAAAAATAATTCCAGTAGCAAACATTGCATGCCTAATTGCATCACAAATGTTGGAAAAAAAAAGTACTACTGTGGTAGTTTAATTCCACAAAATTTCTATATTTTTATGGCAATTAACTAATATCAGTGAAATCACCATGTATATTATTACACAATAGTATTTATTTTAATAAGGCTTAAGGAATTTAATAGCTGAATTTTTCAAAATTAGACTTCGTAACCTGAACACTGCTTTTCTTTCAGTGAGATTATTTCTTGAGCTTGAAGTAGAAAGTTGAAACTTTTTTCTTGCTAATTTGTCGTCTTACCTGAGGTGTCGATTCAGTTTGTATTTGAACTCTCTCCCCCCACATCTGTTGGAATTGCACTCGAATCTCGTTGAACGTTTCGGTGATGACAGCAATAAATACATTCTGGAATGGATAAACACAGCAAGCTCATAGGAAGCATTAAAATATTTCTATTGCCACAGTTGAAGCATGTTTTGCATAACTAGCAAGTGCCTCAGCATCCCTGTTTTGTAAATGAGCTTGTACTAAATCAATTTGAGCATGTGCTACAAGCATAAGTGCAAGACAAGTCATAAAATAAGTATTTAAATATGTATACAGCACAGTTTTCTGTTGCTTCTTAAATAATAATATGAAAAGAAATCCAAATAAATAGCTGTTCCACTAGTATAGAAAAACACCCAATCTGAATACTGCAAGTGACTGTTACAAAACTTAACTGCAAAACATGCATACAAAATTCAATATGACGACAAGACTAAAAAAAAATCCGTGACGTCCCTTCAGTCATATCACTAGCACCCTACTGACATATTTGTAAAGCCAAACTACTGTGTCCTAACTTTGAAAATATTTCTGGAAAATGAAATTCCAAGCAACAAGCACCAACAAAGTGGGGCTCACTTTGACCAGCCATGCCAGGAAGAAAATCATGGTGGTGAAGTAGAAAGTGGCTCTCCACGCTGGAAGACTGTCCATGGCTTGGTACATGAGGATGGCCCACCCTTCCGGGGATGCGGCCTGGTATACCGTGAAGAAGCTGTGGGCTGTGTCAAGGTGAGACACATCTCACCATTTCATCTGGAGAGCTTTCGCTTCTCTGATGCCAAGCACTCTGATGGTCACCAAAATATGAATGCTAAATATGGAGGAAGCAGCAAAAGTGAGCTAGCTTTTCACTTACCTAGAATCTTATATAGTACCTCACTATTATATTTTCTTGATTGCTTAAAATAGTAGCCCAGTGAAATACATTAAGTTTAGCCATATAGAGCAAGAAAATAAAAAGTCTAAGTAAAAAAAAATTATGAGAAGTTATAAATTGCGCAAACACCAACACATGACATTTGTACCTTACTTGTCCCCATTGTTTGTGTACAGTTCCTTTTCCAAATATTTTTTGTCCTAACTAATGTGACAAGTCATGTTTACAAGGAAAAAAGTAATGCTTATAAAATGGAACATGTGCAAGTCTTGAGAAGTACTTAAATGAAAATTAAACATTTCAGAAACAAAATCTAGATCTTTGTAAGCCTGTGGTGACCTTATATTCATACAACTGAACACTAGCACTTGCCAAAGCAAGAATCCTCTCATTTGTGCAGCCAAGTAAGCCAGATGGCCGACTGCATAGAAGATGATGAGACTAATGCCGTGCAAAGCGCACGTAAGGGAGGCCTACCGAAATCGTCGAAGCCATTGAACCCAGAAATGCTCTTTGGAAGATTCAGATCCATGCACACCATTCCCTGAGGACACTCATACCCAGACTCCTTGTCCATTGAACAGTAGGCGTCTGGCACTGCAAGGTCATTTAGCGTGACCTTCCTGCAATTCGGACACAAAAAGTATGACTGCTGTAATATCCCGGGATACAGCCTACCTAAAATCGAGAGCGAATTAGGTGAAGCCAAGGATTGGTCTATCTTTCAGTGTACAATCAAGAACAGTTGAAAAAAAATACTATTTTTAGATAAGATTTTTCTGCCAAACTTGTTATCACGGCGAAGTACAATGAAGCCAAGATGGCTTTACTTCCCAGTCAGCAATGTTCGATCATATCCCACCACAGCTACTAGCCACACTTATGCCGAGGACATCAGTGATCCAAACTCTATGATTACTAAGAGTGGGCTATCTCTTGGTGTTTAAAAGAAAATAGCAAATCAAGCCAAAAATAGGGGAGCGTTATCCTTTCTTTCGGGATATTAAGGTACATACCTTAAAATTAGGGCTGGGCAATTGATTGATTAACCTGCCGATTAATGCTTTAATTGCGATTAATTTTTTATCTTGCTAATTAATAAAACTTTGACTAACCAAAAAACTTTAAAATAATTGCTTTCACCACACAGACGTGGACAAGTACAGCTATATGAAGGGCAAACCTTTGGATGAAATTTTAACCGAAAGTCAACTGTAAGGGCGAGAATAGTAACTCCAGAGAAGTGCAAAAGGTTACACATGTCCGTTTAGCACAGCAGAAAATATTGTGAGCAATCAAAAGAGGCCACTCTGGCCGGAGAATATCCACAAACCTCTTTGCCTCATGCAACTGAAGTAGTAATATTATGTGAGTGAGAGTGTCTTTGAACTGTTCTAAACTATGTATTAAATTTGATTCATAATCAAAATTGTGTGCATTGTGGGCCGTTTATCACATACCGTAAAGTAGCGCAGAGGTGCCCACTTGTTCAAGCGCCCATTATTAACATTTCCCAAACTTTGGAACTCTGTAAATTATACGTTAAGCACCCGATTTGACCGGAAAAGCGCCCATGTCTAGGTCAACCCAGTTTTCAGTGAAAGTAGGTTGGGCACTCCCCTCGTATTTTACAGTATCCAGAAAAGGCAAAAAAAAAAATGTAATTTTGACTTTTTAAAGATATTGTGCATGGAAATTAACTAGAACGATTATTCATATAATTAATCGAATAAAGGGTGGCAATTAATCGTGTTAAAATTTTTAATCGACGCCCAGCCCTACTTACAGTATGTGATGAGATTGTAACTTTATAATATCATAATAGTGCGGTAAGCATGCAAGATATTAGTGCTCTCGATCCGAGCAAATAAGCGAGCAAGGCAACTTACTCGGCAATCGTTCCATTTCTAACACAGTGGCTGCTCATCTCGCCAAAAAACTGAACACCCAACAGACCGTACAGAGACATAAAGAACAGGAAGAACAGGGTCACATTGTAGATCTGTTGGCTTGATCGTCTGCAAGAGAGAAATACACAGGTCAGTGGGTCGGCCGTAGCTTTCAGGCATAGCTCTAGATCCCTTTATGTAAATTTCACAATCTTTAAACGAGGACAGAGGAAAGAAGGAACAGGACCAAGCGCTTGGTCCTGTTTCTTCTTTCTTGTGTCCATATATTTTTAGGAGCTTTTTTACGTAAACATGTACCAACTAGCTCACTTAGCCACTTTAGAATGAGCACAGTTTAACTGAACATTTTTTTTTGTTGCAACGCACTAGTGCTGTACCAAAGCCCCTGGCTGTCTTTAAATAATGTTGCGCTAGAATATGATCTCTTCAAGTGTTTGAACCTGCCCTTTGTTTGCATTTTAGGGTACATCAAGATAAAAAATTAATAAATGTGACTCAAGCAAGATTCCAACCTACAGTTTTGACACGGGCATCTTTTAGGGTTTAGGTACGCACTTGCATAAATCTCCTGATGAAAAAAACAAACAGTTTTATCAACAGTAGCAATTGGAACAAGTTTGCAACATAAAAACATAATTTATAAAACTAAACAAACATTCTTGACACTTGGAAACCATGACAAGTAGGTTTGGCTTCTGCACTTGTAGGAAAAGCAAACAGAGCACTAAGTGCTTTACTTTGAAATAATCAATTACTTGAATATTTGGTTGATCCTGGATTTTGGCATGGAAAACTTGAGGAAGACTCGAATGAAGCGGATCATGATAAGAGGTCGGGGAGCTCTCAAAATGGACAGGTAGGAGAACTTGGGAACCACCTCTGTGATTTCGAAAACCTGCAAAAAGCCAACAAGACAACCAAGGACACATGACCGCATCATTCAAATACAAAGAGGTTGCTAAAAGAGTAGAAAAAAGGCTCGAGGTACATTTAAGCACTTCTCATGAGTTGTGAATGCGAAAGCATGTACACCATTCTTCCGCTCCGCGTGTTGGCGCACTCACGGTGACGCAGCGTCATAGGGTGGCCTGTCGTTAAAACTGACGCTGCGCATCAGTTCAAACGACCGGCCACCCCATGGTGCTGCATGTCCGGCAAATGGGAACCTTGACGACACGTGCCAGCCAATGAGACCGAAGTTGAAAATCCACCAGCCTTACTCTGCTGCTTTGGGATCGGGGAATTTCGGTGCCGTTGGCTAGGTTTGAGCGTGGTTTCATAGCTGGGAGCTGGCTGCACTAGAAAAAAGGATTTAAGTTCCTGTTTGGCGCAGTTTGACAGTTAATGCTTTCACAATAAAAAGGCCTTTAGGAGGTAGCTAACGCTTACAGCATCAGCCGCTCTTCATGAACTTTGTGGAAGATTACCTTAAGGCAAAGCTGTTCGGATGCCGCTTTGCTTTCAGTCATTTGCATGCTGACGGGGGTTTATTGTGTGCTTTGATGTGTTTCAGATGACATGAAAGTTTCCTTACCTGAAGAATAACTGATATCCAAAGAAAAAACACCATGGTGGCATCAAACTGACACCACCGGTCTTTCAAATATGGTGTTTCCCCCTGGAAGAGATGCGTTATGTGTGATAGTTGTGTTAGTACTTGTGTCACTACAGCTCTGCTCACTAACACCAAAAGAAATGTCATTGATCGAACTTGGAAACCAGCTGAGCTAGTTTATTTATTTTGTATAGGTCAAGAACACTGAGAGTAACTTGTATTGTTCACCCTGCTCTGTATTGAGTTTTGAAATAATTCCTACTAAAATAATAAATGGCAATGAAAGTCTTAAAACCACAAAGATGAGAACTGCTCCAAAGCTGAAATGTATGTGCCAATGGAATTTAAACATTTATTTTTAGTGTATGAAGACAAAACAGTGCTTCAACTGTGACATGATAATGATAGATAAATAACAGAGTGCCTCTGATGAGAAATTATCATTTCACAATGCATCTGGTCAGAGCCATGCTAGCAAAAATTTCCAACCCAGTGGTCCCCAAATGTAGGCTACATGGCTTTTGAATTAAGGCACGGAGATTCCATTAAGAAATACTTGAAGAGTGCCAACACTTAAATTAATTTTCATTCAATTAATTATATCTTATCATGTGCAAGAGTAATAAATTTGGCTGTCCAAAAATATTTAAGGTGAAGACTCCTGAACTGCTGCCAAGCCACCATGAACAGTTATAGGTAAATTAGACACCCAATCTATTCCAAAAGAACAGAGTTTAAGAAATTGCCAGAGAGGTGTCAACAAAATATCAAAAATAATTCTGTCCAGCTGCCAACTTTTCCACAGTACACCGCTGCACCGTGGAGAGGTGCACTCACTGGCACCCTCCACCTGAGAAGCACCTAATTTATAATCAGTAAAGACTATTGGGACAGCATAGAAAATAAAAAAATGTACAGAATAATAATAGAAAATACTAGGTATCTGGGGGGTGATAAAGTAGACTACATTTAAAGAAAAAAGGTTGGTGCGAAAAATGTTTCTTGTACTAAGAGAGGGCTGAACAGAAGCTGGGAGTTTTGGGCAACTTACTGTGATCAGTCCCCGGATGTGCATCTTGGCAATCATCTCTGCGGTGAAAAGCAGAGTGGCAAAGATGTCCCAGGCAAAGGTGACGGCCATAAGAGGAGGGTGCTTTTCAAATGTTCGTGTTGTGTTGAGACTGACGGAAACCAGGGACAGGAGGGCACACAGACGAAGTACTCGACGCACCCACACCTGCAAACAAAAAATCAAGACGTTAGCGTAACAGGGTGTTTGGGAAGAAAGAGAACTGCGTCTTCCTCACCACAAAAATAAACACTGCTGAATGCAGTCTCAACTCAAATGCGGCGCTAGCGGTCGGGATCAGATGGCAAAATTCCAGTAGTTCCCGTTATTTGATTCAGAAGCCATAAGTATTTCCGAAAATGAATGTCAACAAGTACGAAGGTGAGCGACGTCTGCTACCTGGAAGATGCTGCATTTTCTCATTGAAAATATCTGAAACTCGCTTAAAACTTTTGAGTTAAATAACAGTAAGTTCCGTAATCTTTTTATTACCTAGGGTCCCAACAGCTATAGCAGTACATTTGAGAAGAGGCTGAGCATTCAGCGATAAGAAACTTATTTTTGTGATGAGAAAAGCATGTACGCTTCATTTGTCTTTCAAACACCCAGTATACTTGTTTTTCCATATTCTTCTATTTCTACCTCAGTGAATTTGTAGAGGTCTCTGTATTCCAAGGGAAGAAAAGGGCTCACCTTGTTAACCCACTCGATATCAGCATTTTCATTAAGGCTTTCATCAGGTCCATAGTCCGCGAGAATTGGCTCCCCCCGAACGCTTTGTTTTCTGGCTAGCATTGTTCACGTAAATTCTAAGAGAGGAGAGAAAGAAAGGCATAATAATTATAATCGTGCTCATCAAGATGCCAAATACAATTTTACCATGGTATGTGATATCTGTGCAGTGGCGTGACCAGAAAATTGTTTTTTTTTTTTTTTTTTTTTTTTGGGGGGGGGGGGGGGGGGGGGGGAGAGGGTGCTGAAGCCCCATAAGCCCTCCCCCTGGCTACGCCCCTGTATCTGTGCCATTAATTAAAATTTAGAATGAGGAAACCTCCTGCAAATTGTGGGGTCCAAGTGAATTATGAATGGACTTTATATCATATGAATGGCTATTAACATGTCACACATATTTGTACTATTGTCATCTGACCACATTTTAATGGTAAAATAACAATTCTATATAAATCTGGAAATCCGCCAAACAATTAGTTTACAGCTAACTTAATCAGAACTGCAGTAAGACATAAAAACTTTTAAACCAGACAAGCAGGGGCCCACAAACCAAATGCGACAAAACCCGACATATGTAATGCGTAAATCAGCCCACTTCCAGCTGAATTATGGAACTGGCTCCAGCTGGAAATGAGACAGTCCAGTTGGATTCCAGCTGGACGGCCTCATTTCCCACTGGGACCAGTTCCATAATCCAGCTGGAAGTGGACCGACTTTCGCCTGGGATATAACAATTACTCTACCTAATTAAATTTTTTTGGTAACGAGTAACATATTACTTTTTTTTTTTTTTTAGAAAAGGAACGAGTAACATATAGTTACTATTAAGGAAAAGTAACAAGTAACGGTATTTCTTTTAGAGCGAATAACGAGCAGTACGGTATTTAGTTCCTTTTTTGGTGTAACATATGTACATGAATGGACAAAACATACACACAAAAATGCAAAAGGACAGTATTTTTTTACCCTCGCCTCCCCTCTTCCCCCCCCCCCCCTTTTTTTTTTTTCCGTCTTCCGGTCGGCATTTTTCGGGCAATAAATCAATATTCTACGCGTATCGCAAAGAATAATAATGATAATGACAAAAAGAAGCAACATCGGACTGAAATGATCACCAAAATTAATCGATTTACCCCAACGAATCGCCCCAACAAAAACAATAATGCCCGTAAGAAGCCCAACCCCGCCCGCTTATCCGGGGTCCCGGGTTATCCGGCCATCTCCGCGGTCACCCGGTAAAAATGACGAAATCAACAAAAACCGCGAGAAATTATACGATTTTTTTTTTTTCCAGCACCATCATTCTCCGAAAGGTTTATGCAGAAACTGCGCATCCCCCCTCCACCACCCGATAAAAGAACCCGTGTTTACAGGGCCTAAATCGAGCCGCAGCTCCCAGCTGCAGCCATAAGGGCTCATGGCTACCTGTCATCGCTGAAGGAGGCATGTTTACAGAAGCGATACCGCACATGGAAACACGCTGTAAACGCTCTAGGTGCGTCGCATCCGCCATGTCTCACCTTGAGTAAAGATAGTCCTATTAAGAAATGATCAGGATAGGTGTGCAGGACGACGCTGATTCTCATTTTCCTCGTCGGATGGGCCGATCATTCCACCGGGAAGGGATGCGCTGCTCAAGGGATGGGGATGGGAGCAGCCTAAAGAGCGCAGGGAGAGGAGGAAGAGAAACGGGCGTTATCCCTTCCGAAAGTGCGTTTTATAAATATTAAAAGAAATCATGACATTATCGTTGTGTTTATACGAACAAGTTGGGTACCTTAAGTTGTGCTCAATCGTCAGGAAAAATTTATTGGCGTTATGTGTGGCTCGGGTGACTGATCACTAGCGCCGCGGTGGCGGCGGCGGCTGCTTTTTAAAAATGAACGCGGCGCGTGATCGGTTGACGGTTTGAAGTTTGAAGCATTTGAAGCTGCTTCTTGTCAACCCGGAAAGGCAGTGGGCGGTGTTTGGATTTCTGTCTTTTTCGTGGGAAGACGTTCGAAGGCCGTCAAAATTGAGGACCTCGAGTCTGCCATCTTGGTGAGTCAGTGGCGAGCGAGCGAGTCTCGAAAAAGTGCCTCGCTTGTTTGCTCTTTTTGGGTGTTGGTCCTAGTCGAGTACCGCTCATCATGGTTCATCGTATTCCGTCCTTGAAGTTGTAGTTCCTCGGTACCTCGTCTATGTAAAATTTGCACAAGAATCCCTGGTCCCATCTTTTTGTATATGACGGAAGTTGAACTTTTTTCATCCAGTATTAACTCAACACTGCTGCACAACTTTTCATAACTTATCGCTGCGTTTTTTTTTTTTTTTTTTTTTGTAGTTTTGACTATACATGGCTTGCACTGACGTCACATTGCATATTTTTGACCACCATGTAAGAGGAGGAGGGGGAAACTGCTTGTAAGAATTTTAAGTGACGGTTTAATCTTCTATAATCTTCTGGGAGGAGAATAGCGACGTCTGTGCAAGTCTGGGAGACACAAAAGAGGGTCCTGATAAGAGGGGGGCTCCTTCTCCCCCCTCTTTGCTGGTGGTCATCGGAGCGCCCTTTGAACGACGTCACGTGCAAGCCATGTATAGAAGCCGCATTTCTAGCTTACAAACATCTAAACCGTCTCAAACACTTTTTTTTCTTTTTTTCCCTTAACACATCCACGTTTTCAGGAACAATATGTATTATAACCATTGTTCAAGTTCCGACTCTTCCTTTTGTGCACCCAATCAAGTCATACCTTGGCGCACCAAAAGTGATCTGCTTCGTTCTAGTCCAAATATCTAAAGACCCCACCCTTGGCGACCTTTCATCGGGCAAGGCCTTCGAGCTGATTCACACTCGGTCAGGGTCGCGAAGCTCCGAGCTTGTACGATAGAATGACTTTGCGAATTCCAGGACATCTGTGCCCGGACCCAGGCCCGTGCAGAGGCCCGCGGCAGGATGCTCCACACGTCGCTTCTGTCGAGCAAACGGAAAAGGGACGACCCTGCCGCCCCTCTTCAAGACCATGGGACCGGTAAGCGTCGCTTTTGCCTCCCTATTTTATTTCTGCTGGCCAGGGTTCAACAGTGTCCTGTCTAAAGGGGTGGTAGAATTCTCAAGCCGTATATATTATGCTAGATAAAATGTTGTGTGTCTGGGATGGAACTAATACTTTTAAGGCGAGAGCCTTATATGTCCCATTTCGCGAAAAGGCGTTGGCGTTGTGCCCTAAAGATGGCCATAAAAATATGTAAAAAAAAGCACATGGTGCTCAAGGTCAAAGCGGACGTGCCTCAGAAATAAAACGCAAAGAAAAGCACAGCAATGCAGATGCTTTGTCACGAAAGCCGTGATGCCGGCAGGGGTGGCGCGCCTGCGCAGTGGGGAGCGTGATGTTGCCGCCGGATTCACGAGACTGTAATGCTTTCACATTCTTACACATGAGCAGTCGTAAGTGTCTATGGTGTGTTTTTGTCTGTTCATGTCACTATATCATGAGAGCATGTGCACAAATAGTGTGCCCTTTTCTTTCTTTTGCGGGGTGCATTGTAGCTTAGATATGCTACCGTGTTTTACGAAAGGAAGGCCACTTTGTCTGGCTTTCCTCCTGTTTATCTATCAAATTTAATTCTACAACTACCCTTTAAAAACACAAATCTTTTTCCTTGTTTTTTTTTTTTTTTTTTATCTAAACTTTTAAAAATGTTAATTAAAAAAAATTTTAAGATAAAACTTCAGTGGTATTCTGAGTACCTAGGATACAAAAAGCTATTTTCAAAAGGAAAGATTCTTAGAGTCATTTTTAGAGTCCTTGTTATAAAGCTTGTGGCTTTGATTTCGTCTGAGGATGTCAGAGTAATTGCCCGTATTGAAGATCACCATGTACACCACAGGCAGAACCATTTAATGACTTTATCTAAACTCTCTACTGCAGCAATGGAGTCACCATCGAAGGATCCTAGCAAGCGCCTGTGCTCGCCCAAAATGGTCCAAGACCTGCCCGATGAAGACAAAGAAAATGCGCCAGCACCGGTGCCACACAAGGCAACCAGGGGAATCGCGGTTGACTCACCAATGGAGATTCAAAACGGTGACACTACTAGATAGTCATAGTACAGATATCATTTCTAAATGTAGGCTACTACTGAAATTAAACTCTACACGTCGAACTAAAAAGACAAGGTGTTGCCAAATGTCTGGCCTGCATGTTGTTATTAATTGACAGATTTGCTCAGTCCACTGAAGCTTGGTTACATTTTTTAATTAGCTTGCTTAATTTAATTAGTTTATTTCCAGAATACATTTTACAAATAATCATGTCCCCTTTAGTCTCAATGATGGGAGGCTGTGTGTTCTTGTTGCTTCCTCGAACTGCATCACGGTATCAACAGTGTGGTCAAAATGCAGTAATTTACGAGCAAGTCCAGTTTAACTGGATACATTTATAATAATAATAATAATAATAATAATAATCCTTTATTTGTATAATTCCCCAGAACAACCTTTGGTTACAGTGTGGTGGCACATAAAAAGTTTAAAAAGAAAAAAAAGAACACCTAGAACAGTACACAATCTCAAGTGCCCCCCCCCCCTCCCTCCCTCCCTCCCTCCCTCCCTCCCTCCCTCCCTCCCCAACATATGCTCTCGAAATTAAAACATTTCACAATCATAAACCAAAAATATGCATATCAAGTAGTCGTTTGAACGCAGCAAAATTTAAAAATATGTCTACATGAGTCGGAAATTCATTTAAACAAATTTGCATTCTAGCCAAAGGAGACGGTCTCGTTTGGATAGATCTATAAAACACGCTTGAGTTTCTAACGACTCGGGCCGGTACATGAAAGTTCAAAGACGACACAAAATTGCTATCAATTTGGCCGTGAACCACTTTGTATAAAAATATAATGTCACGAGCAATCCTTCTTTTTGAAAGGTTCTGGAGTGAAAGTTCTTTAAGAAGGTATTCATAATCAAAATAACATTTTCTATCAAAATATCTATCGTAAACAAGGCGTATAAATCGCTTCTGAACTCTTTCTATCCGTGCAGCGTCGGTCATTGTTAGCGAATTCCACACTGAACTACAAAACTCAAGTTTAACTCGTACAAGGGAACAAAACAGCCGAACTACGCACATTATATTTGAAAAATCATGCGTCAAACGTGATATCATCCCCATTGTTCTAAAGGCAGAAGCAACAATTTGTGTAACATGATATGAAAAGGTAAGATTACTATCGAAATAAACACCAAGGTCATGAACTTGTTCCACACGTTCAATAGTGGAATTGCCGATAAAATATTGATGTAAAATTCTTTCGCGTTTTCTGCACATAGATAGCACTTTAGTTTTATCTGGATTGACCAGCAAAAAGTTACATGAGCACCAGTTTGAGATACGGGATACATCTTCTTGCAAAAGAGCACAATCATCTTCCGAATGGATACTAAGATAAAGCTTAATATCGTCCGCAAATAAGAGCAGTTTCGCATTTTGTATGCACAATTCTATATCACTGATGAATATAAGAAAAAGTAGCGGCCCCAAATTCGATCCCTGAGGGACTCCCGAAGTTGGAGTAAATACATCTGAGAAACTATTCAAGATTCTTTTTCTACTCTTTCTATCCGACAGATAACTACGGAATAAGTTTAAAAGAGACGACGAAACGCCGTATAAAGAGAGCTTATACAAGAGTAAGTCATGATTAACCTTATCGAAGGCTTTTGATAAGTCAAAATACACGATATCAACTTGCCCACGTGTAAGAACAAATGGGACAGTATAATCAAGGAGAGAACAAAGGTTCGTTTCTACTGAACGCCCTTTTATAAATCCATGCTGAACGGTGCTTAGTTTTCGACAAAAGTAAAAAGAAAGACGGGCATGTAAAACTATCTCAAAAACCTTTGAAAAAGAACACAACAAAGAAACGGGGCGGTAGTTATCTACCCTAGACGCGTCACCGGCTTTGTGTATTGGCACTATCACTGACCTTTTCCAAAGACATGGGAAAACACCATTTCTCAGCGATAGGTTAAATATGTGCATAAGTAAAGGGGCAAACAAATCAGCGCATCCTTTAATAATAAAGTTAGGTATTGTATCATCTCCCGCTGACTTCTTCGGTTTTAATTTTTGAATTGCCTCTAAAATATCATTTATGTCGACCTCACTAAATGTGAAATTGTCGTTGCAACCAGTAGCGCAGATTGAAGACTTGCTTTTGAATTCTTCCTTGGAATAGCATTCACGAAAGTAAGTTTGGAATAAATTAGCTACTTTTTCAGGGTTTGTAACGTAGTCCGTATCAGTACGTAAATAAATATTTCTTGCAGACTCTTTCGTGTGCTTCCTGACAAATCGCCAGAATTTATCAGGCTCACGGTAGAGACTATTTTCTACCGATTTTTTATAAATGAATTTGTCGTGTTTAAACAGTTTCTTTACAAGTGCTCTGTAAACACTGAACTTTATGTACCATAACTCAATGCCGGTTCTTTTAAACAATTTATGATAGTGTTCTTTTTTACGCATGTAGTGTTTCAGCTCCCTTGAGAACCAGAACTGGTATTTAGAGGGCTTAGACAATCGCTTTGGAATGAACGCATCGATTGCATTTTTAACTATCTTCGTCAAGGATTCAGTCGCAGAATCTACACAGTTATCATGAAGAACCGTTGACCAGTTATTATCACGAAGGAACGTATATAAACCTAAATAATCACCCTTATGATAGTCATATCTGGTAAAATTTTGTCTGTCACGAGACCTCACCGGCAAAGAAAAACATGCGATGAAGGGCGGGTGAAAAACGTCAGGTTTCACAAGAGTATCGCTAACTGGCATGACACTGTCTATAGGGCAGTTTGAAAGAAAAAGATCAAGAACATTCCCGGCCGTGTTCGTGAACTGATTATGCTGAGTTAGACCATTAAAATTAATGAAATCTACTAGACGTGACACTTTTACCACCGTTTGATTATTTCCACTACTGCTTATGCCGGTCGACCAGTTCACTCCTGGTAGATTAAAATCGCCGTACATATGTACTTTAAATTTCGAAAAATCAATTTGCTGTTCAAGCTTTTGTAAATGGTTTACGAACACACTCGAATCCGAGAGCGGAGGAAAATAATAGTTTCCGACGAGGTAATTAAAACCATCGCGTGTTAATAATTCAACCCATAAAAGGCGGTGTGACGTTGTGCCCGAAAGATGGTCATCAAGCACATGCTGCTCAAGTTCAGAAATAAAACACAAAGAAAAGCGCAGTAACGCAGATGCTTCGTCACGGAAGCCGACAGGGGCGTGGCGCCTTTGCCGTGGGGGAGCATGATGTCACAGTTGGAGCGCTGTGCAAAAGGAAGACGTGGCACGCCAGTTGTGCTTCAGACTTCATCTGTGCTCATTGTGTGCCTTGTGCGGTGGACTGTCAACCTCGTCGCAGTGCAGCATGAGAGCCCAAATGTTTACAGTCTGGTGGCCACCAAATACGCAAACGCACACCGAATACAATACCGGCAGAAACAACTTTAATACATGTAGAAACCTCACCCGTAGGACTGTAATGCTTTTGAATTCCTACACGTAAGCAGTCTTTGGCGTGTTTTTTTGTTTTTTTTTCCCAGCTGCGAGTTAATTACTTTTAAGTACAAGCAACTTCCACGTGTTATATTGTTCTTAGGTGCATCTATCTATAGATGGCTGCTAGGAAACCACAAAAGCAAAATTAATAGAAGTAGCTCCAATGCTTACCATATAAAACTGATTGTATCACTATGTTGGTTGTGGTTCTTTTTTTTTATAATCTTTATTATGATTATTTCAGAAGACGCCAAGGTGGGCCTCAGCAAAGCAGACGACGCAAGAACTGCGCCAGTTTCCGTTTTTAAGGAGCCGTCTGCCGTGAAGAAATCTGCACTGCTCGACGCACATCGTCCCGAGCAGAAGCCCTCGAAGGTCGACACTCTTCCCTCGACGGTGTCTGTGGCCGCCAGGGCAGCCCTCTTTGAAACCGCCATTGGCACGGTCACCGGCACCATGCCCGCTCCGAAAAGGATCCCCGTTCGACCAACGCTGAAGCAGGCGTTCTCTACTGTCGACGTTGCGCCAGCATCCGCAAAGAAGTTAATGTCGAGCGTTGGTTCCTCTCCATCAACGCCGCTTTCCAACCCTCCCTGCACGCCTGGTAAGCGGGCTGCTTGGTACAGTAGTAGATGCAGTAGTGTCTTGCTAGTTTTCTCTTGTGTACTGTATTTTCCAGGCTCTAAGTCGCACCTTTCTATAAGTCGCATCCCCTTAAAATGTGGTTTTCAGAAAAAAAATTGGTATCCAAGTCGCACCTATATATTCGTACCGTCGGCGCAACAAAACTGCATTGGAAAGCCCTCCTTTGTGTATTATGATAGCGATATATCCGCCGCAAGCGAGAGCAAGTTTCAATATTCTCATCAGCGAATCTAACAAGAAATATGACCCCCATGTCAAATTCCTGCTGTTAAGGTCCACAGTTACAGAAAGCAAATGCATAGAAGTCGCAGCATTGTATGATGCGTTGATGAAAATTTAAGAAAAGTGACTTGTACATTGGAAAATATGGTAGTCTTTATTCGTAGACTTCAGTTGATAGTTCAGATTCAGAAACAGACTGGCTGGTTTGATTCTAAATTTTTTGTTAGACATAGTCTAGTTATGTGATTGTTGCGCTAAACTGCGCCGAAGTGTTTACCCTGCTAGATCCTGCTACATTTTACCAAAATGTGAGAAATTTGCGCCAACGTTGCGCCAAATTTAGTTTTGGTGCAACGTTGCACTTTAATGATACTGAAAATATTATAGCTCAGGCCTCGCTGCTCAACCGGGCCGTTACGATATGCTTATGCGAATTCTCAGAAATTTTGGCTATCTTCTGAAATGAAGTACTATTCGATCGCATTTTGTATGAAAGGCTTACAGTACTCGGAAGTTTCGCAATAATCCTCATGTTCGTCGTCTGTTCTGCTGGAGGATTAGTTAGTCTGAGTGCGCTTCTCCACGCGCACTGGTGTACTGCAAAGAAGCGAAAACCGCAATGTAAGCATTGCGATTTTGCGTGTCTTGCTTCGCCGCAGCGCACTACCGTGCTAAGGGGAAAGCACTCTTCCAGAGTGAGACACGACACAGTTCCTGAATATGACTTTGACTCGTATGTATGATAGACTACGATATCCCGGTGGTACCTGTTTCCATATCGAGATTTAGCGAGGATACTCCGGTAGTGCAAGAACATTTATATGCACTCTTTCGTATGTTTATTTTTTTATTTTTGCCAACTAATTTGTTTAGCTATCACTTTTATATAGATGTGAGTAAATGAGCACTAAGTTGTCACGAGCAGTGTATGGAAGCTTGGGAACAACCTTAATGAGTTCGGCGGGATTGTTTTTTTTAAGTTTTGTTCAGATACAGTTTTTGTTATGAAGTTCTACACATGAAATATAATTGACGTTCATAATCAAATGACAAGTGCATTGTTTTTTTTTATCTGAATTATAAATTGCTGTTTTGTTACAACCTTTAGAACTCGAAGGAACCGTTAATTTATGGGCTCTATATTATTGTATTATTTCAGTGCGATTCCTAAAATAACCATTCACAGCAGTTTGTGCTATCCTTCGCTCACCTTCTCACCGTGTCTGGTGCTTCTCCACGCAACTAAACGCTAGTTTTGTGTTTGAGGGACTCACTCCTGCTCTCCGATTGATGCGAACTAAGGGTTGCACGTAAGTGAGAAGGCAATGTAGACATTGCCTTTTAGTTGGACGTGCCGACACATTAATCTTCACAATGTCTGCATTGGTATGAATAAGAATGGTGCTACAAAAGTTATTTTTGCTGCTCCAAATTTGACTTTTGGCTGCTCCAAGAGCTGCTCCAAAATGACCAGGACCAATCACATCACTGATAGTCTCACATTCTGAAAACGGTGGCCACAAGTTTGCACTTTCTTTCTCGTCTTCCACAGTGGGAGGTTACTCAAAAGGTAAGCCTTACCAGAATCCGTTGCTATGCCGTTGTAAAGTTTCTGTCAGTAGAGCGTAACTTGCCGATAGTTCACTTAAGTGAGGTCTTACTGGTTTTGGCTGCAATACACATTCTACAGTTGTGTGCCTCTCTCGTAATGTCAAGCAGACGAGATGGAGACTCCTCCGCCTGCAGTAAAGTCTGCTGCGACTAGACCTGGGACGCCGAGGCGACCAGAGTTGCCGCAGATGGCCATAAAGACCATTCCCGGTACTCCCAGACCCCAGTCCGGTGAGATTTCCTGGATTCATTTTACGGTCATCAAAGAAAGAGGCTCAATGACGAGTGATTAGAGATTTGCGCGAGTATTTTAATTATGCTTAGAAAAATGAACTCTCATAATTGTTATGTATGTTCTTGAGGACGTCCTTGTTGTAGTCAGGAAAGCCGTGAACTTTAAATACTCTGGTTTCTTCGTAGATAGTTGTAAGGAGCAGCACAAAAGGCTGCAGGGTGAATCCCAGGCAAAAGCGACACGGTGCCCCGTTAAACTCTCGACCCCAGAATCCTCGCTCTCCAAGGCACCCTCTGACGGGTACACAACAATAATGACCCATCGGATCTAACTTTCAGGACTAGTAGCTTCGTGTCTACTTCAAGATCGAATGCCTTTTGAACCGTTTTGAGATTTTCTTGACAGCTTGATAAGCTTTTTTGAGTGTTCTTCCACCTCAGCTCAGGTGCACTGTGTGAAAGTGATGTTCACCACTAGGCTACACATCCAGCACATAATAAATCACACATATATGTGTTGTCCTTTGTGGAATCTGTAGCACAATCTGCAAGATTGTATTCTCTGCAAAAAATCTTTACGTCCCAAGCTTTGTAAACAAGTGGCTGTCTGGTAGCAACCTCTGAATCGATGCTTTCCTGCATTGCATGCCTGTACGTAGGGATAACTTTTTTCGAATGAACTGAGCTAAAAACAATAACACAGACAGCTAATTCCGTCTTGATCAATGAGTAAGCTTTTGATGCTATAAAAGTTTTCTTTCAGATTAGGTTCCTAAGACTGCGACTTTGGTGTCCAAATTTAAAATAAAGAGCTCTGAAATTGTGGCTTTATTAATTGTCAACCCTCAAGAGTCACGGGAGTTTTTTCTTCTTAATTATCGATTTGCATTAAGATGAAGCTTCAGCTTCTTGCCTAATTTCGACATTACCATAGCAGCTTCTTCGATTGTCCGAGGTGCCCTTTCAGACATTCAGTATAAGTATTTTATTGCGTCACTCAAAAAAATCTGTATTTTAGCAAATGATGTCCATCAGACCGACGTGGGTGGTGCTGATCTCAAGAAGTGTGTGGAGAAGATTACAGGCACTTCTGAAGACGACCAACACCAACCAATTGCCACTGAAGAGAAGGAGAAAATTCAGGTTCGTTTTCACTATTTTTATTTTCTGCTGAGCAAGAAAATCTATCACAAGATTGGCACCAGCACAAGAATAGACCCGTTATTTTGTCATTTTTGTGTGGGTAAGAGTGCACCATCTTTATTATATTACATGACTAAATATGGCCTCGTGGGTGAGAATCTGGCATTCATCTCATTAATGGTTCTTCCAACGAGGTGTTAAAGGAATAGGCCTACCATTTGAAAGCTTTTGTTTGGCCTAACCAGTCATGTCAGTTCTGGGTTGATTTTGAAATTATTTTAGACGGATTTTGAAGCCGGTCTTCCCTCTGGCGGAACCGGAGTGCCGCCGTCGCAAGTGTTCAAGGCGCCGCCCACTCCCGAAGCTGTCGAGAAGCCCAGAGACAAGGCCTTTCCTGCAACTCCGCCAGTCCAGGAAAAGAAACAGCATCAAGTGGCAGAGGTAAGTGTGAATAGGTCGCCCTTTTCGGAGGTGCATGGGGGATGGAGGCGGAGCCACTGTGATGAGATCACTACTCAGATAAATAAACGAAGAGTAGTGGCCCTTAGTGTGGGGGCAGCAGCTTGCAACCACCCAGCCTAATTTGTCATCTTTTTTTTTTTTACTTTTTATCAATGTGATGTTCTGTTTCTTTTTGCTTGCTTTGGGGCACTTTGCAGAAATAGGATGTTTAAAATAATTTATCTTCAAATGAAATACCTGCATCAGTGGATTTAAAAAGGGTGGGAGGTGCGGCTTTACTTCTGTCCCATGCTACATGGCAGAGCCGGAAGGTTTAGTTTTGTATGAGTGACCTTTGTCGAAACAAGTGCAATGAGTGCTTACGGAAGTGAGGCACCACTTTTAAGGTATTCTGACGCTACTGGAGAGGAGATTCTGTGCAAGCACATTAAGGATCTGAAAAGGCAAGTTGTTAAATGGACTGGCTTTATGGAGTCGAAGGGCACCCTCATTTGTCATAGCCAATGCTTATCTGTATATTTTCTCTTGTTGTCTTCTTCGTACATTGTAGGCGGTCAAGAATGTGTCAAACTGTGCCCATTCTTATTACGAAGAATAATTATTCCACCAGGCACAAACATTGTCCATTTAGACGGGAAAAAAAAATTAAGCTTTCTGAGCTTGATAAAAAACCAAAAATAAGTTCTTAAAGCACACAGTTGCACCACCAAAATAAGCTGTCTGTGTGTACATTCCCTTTCTTATATGTTTATTATTTTTTCTGGATGGTTTTGGCTTGTGCATGCAATGAGGCAAAAAGGCTCGAGGTACACCTAAGCCCTTACGAGTTGTGAATGCGAAAGCATGCACATCACTCTTTCGCTCTCTTGTTTTGTCTGCGGTGTATTTGCCTCAACAGCAGAGCGAGCCCTCTCCTTGAAGCCGCCTCGGTGGCTCCGAGGCGAGAGCGCCGGCCTACGGATCCCCAGGTGGCGGGTTCGAATCCCGACCGAGGTGCCCGCAATATGACGGAGGCTTATTGCGGAGAAGGCGCCGTGTAACCGAGCTTTCGGTTGCACGTCAAAAGATCCCCAGGTGGTCGAAATTAATCCTCAGTCCTCTGCTGGGGCGTGCCAGATGCCCGTCGTAGGTTTGGCACGTAAAACCCCCAAATTTGACTTTGGCCCTCTCCTTGACACTCTGCCCTTGAACGCCTCATGTTACCGGCGCGCTAACAGACATGCAGTGCCATGGGGTGGCGGTTATTGAAACTGACGCGCAGCGGTCAACGGGAGCATTTTTCCTTGAAACTATGATGCGCGCCAGCCAATAGAACCGAAGCCGAAATCCATCAGCCTCACTCCGCTTTTTTGGGATCGAAGAAACTAGGTGCCGTTGTCTAGGCTTTTCGCATGGTTTCATAGCTGGGAGCTGGCTTCACTTGGAGAAAGGAGTTACGGTGTTGTTTGGCACGGCTTCAAAGCTGATGACGTCGGCTTTCGCATTAATAATTGTGTGTGTGCCCAAAAATTGGTCAGCCTAGGTGGGCGCAGGTGTCTCGGCTCGAGGTGAGAAATTTAACTTGTGCAAAACAATCGCTTGCCTGGAGGTTTTAACAAGCATTACGCAGTAGTGATACACGACCCATCCGGATCAAAACGGGCAGGGGGTAGGGATTGGACCCAGGATACCCGAGCTCTGCAGTGCGAGCTTTCGTAAATTAATGCTCAAGCACCTGCTCGTCCAACTAAGAATATAAATGCCGTAAAACGCTGGGCAAGCGCTCACTCAAAATTTAGGGATAATCGCGAAAAAATGTGGGAGGGATGCTTGTCCAGTCATCAAGTTTACATAGCAATGTACTGTGCATATTTTCTCAAATCTTACACATTTGAGAATGGGTGGTTAGTGTGGAATGGGGCAGATGCGCGGTATTCTACGGTAGGCGATAAACAGGAGAGCTGCAGCACCACAGAAAGGCAGCAGCCTGCACCATGAAGATTTGCGGTGCCGTGGGCCTTTATGGTACGACGACGTCCCCGAATGTCACTGTGCAATTGTCCAGTAACAGTAGTATCGGTACTTTCCAAATAACTATACTTCATCCGACTTCCTTCGGTTGTTCACAGCAGTTTTCTCAACTTGATCAATGGCAGAAGAACTTCTGGCCTTGGCACTGATGCAGTAAAACATCGCAGAAGCAATGCCTTGTAAACATTTGTGCACATACTAGGGCATAGAGTAGAGCCCTACGCTGATTAGTTTCATCATCCGCATGCGCAGACTTTGTATCCGCATCCGCAATATTTTTAAATTATCGTGTCTGCATCCGATCCGCATCCGCAAAATTTGTAACTGCATCCGATCTATAATCTGCACATTCGTGTTATTATAATATCAAGCATGAATGAGAGGAAAAAAAAAGCATCTGGACAGTACCTCATACGCAGTTTGCTTATCTTTACATAAAGATCTCTTCGAGTCGGAAGACGGATAAGGTGATTTTATCGTATTCTGCTTTATCGTATTCATAATATAAGTAATCGGCCTTACAGAGACACTTTGCATTGCTGGAAAGATGATCACAGTTATAAGATTGTCCTGAGAGCCTGCGACAATGTCCAGCGGGTGCGCTCAAAAGAAAGGAATGCTTTTTTTTTGTTTTTTTTGCTTTTAACATTTATTTTAGAGACGGACACATACTTTCTAACACATGAAAATGAATAAGGGACCGATTAATATTATAGCGTTGTTTTATTTAGGTCAAATGATGAAAAAGTGGGAAACTGTCACTCACGGTGGCGAAATACTCATACATATGTACTCATCACTGGGAAAATGTCACATTATTCACTAATGGCAACACCTTTTGGCAAGATAAGACTCTTAGGCGATCATTGGTTAGAATCAAGTCTATTGGCACACAAAATAATTTTCTCCCCGATTGGCACCTTTTTTTTTCTAAGAGAATGATTTGCTCCCACAAAACATTAATGTTGCACATAATAGTACCACTCACTAATCCACTCTGTGGTCGCACAGATTTATTGGCCGCTTTGGCACAAATGTAGATCCGAACCCACGTATATCCGCAACCCCTGGCATCCGATCCGCAATCCATAACATCTGAATCATTTTGATCCATATCCACCAGTTGACTGCAGATGTCCGTGGATGATCCGCAGATATGCATGGTTTTACATATAGCCGTGCGTCAGTGGATGGCTCGGGTCTTAAAATAATTCTTCGCTCAAAGAACAATTTACTTAGAGTAGAGGAAAGGAGTGGTTGAGGAAACCTGGCTACAAGCCTAACAAGATTATATTCATTAGAGACTACTACTATGTAGCTTTGGAGCAGGGTGTTCGACAACCTCGTACAAGCAAATTTGTTTTCGAATCGAGCGTAAAAAAGACTCGCTTTTAATCTGCAAGTTTTTGTAAGCAAATGCTCTCTTAGTAGCCTGAATAAAGTTTGTCTGACACGGAGATTCCTTTGAAGTTTGTGCAGGCAGACCTGAAAGGCTGTGTCCTACAAGGCAAAGATAGCGTGCAGTCGACAAAAACCGGCAGGACCTCTTCTATTTCAAAGGCTCTCTTTGTCGAGCATTGCAATGGCGAACCTGCCCCCATGTCTCCCCTCATTCAAGAGAAAGTCAACCTTCACGTGGCCGAAGTAAGTCTGATGCGGAACCTCAGTCAAAAAAAGAATGAATCTATAGTATTTCTCGACAATGCTTTCTAGCAGATCTGAAACTAAGCCGATGGGACGTAACTTCTATCATTTCGTCCTGCTTTCTTGTTCTCAAAAGTGCCTGTTCAGTGTCGCCCCAGCGCTCGAACCTGCTGTTATTTAAATTAGTATCCAATACTATTATGAATATCAAGGCCGGTTCACAGCTGCATCTCGGCACTGAGATTACGCAAAATCGGCACTGCATCACACTCAAACCCGTTTATAACAAACAGCAGGAAACGCTACGATAAGTTTGATATAGCAAGTAGTTCGATATAGCAAAAACCATTTCCAACGAACTTCCACGATGCGCTCGTTGGAAGGCGAGAGCTTCTCTTTTTTCCTCATCTCTTCGCTTCTGCCTTGTAACAACGTGCTGAATTTCCTTTCTTTTTTTTTTTGCAGGCGTGCAGTTTTTTTTTTTTTTTTTTTTTTCTTATTTTCTTTTTCCAATTGGTTCTCTTTGTGGGCAACCGCTTTGGGCTGAAATTTTTTTTTTCTGTGCGTACGTGCAGAGCGTTTTTTTTTTTTTTTTTTAGCTTTCTTTATTTCTGAACTGCTTCACTTCACTCCATTTTGTTCGGGGCTTGAGCTTTTGACATTTTCTTTCCTTCCTTTTTCTGGGGGGGGGGAAGGGGAAGGGGTGGGGGGGGGACAGGCTAGACGACGATTGTTTGCGCGTTCTTGGGAGCCTTCCCGGTGGGAAGAGTTCGATATAGCCAATGTGTTGTTCGTTATGAGAAGTACTTTTTACATTAATTTTTATTTAAATTTTTCGTGAGTTCGATATTGACAATAATTCACTGTACGTGAGTTCGTTCTAAACGGGTTTCACTGTACTTGCTCACCGACAACACTTTCATGGCAACATCGGATACTATTTGCTGTTGCCCTGGTTATGCTGTGGGTGAGCAAGTAATCTTGATTCGATGCCACCTGTAAACTTTGTCGTGACATCTTTTTAATAAGCATTCATAGATTGGGTCTCTAAGTTATTGACTTGAAACATAACTGACAATAAAGGGACTGAGGCTTTGCATGTAAGCACGTTTCCCTCCAGTTTACCAAGAAATGTTTCCTGATTTGTCTCAATCCCTAGATTAAAAGACTGGAGACCGATCGAGCTGTGCCTGAGGATAACCAGGCTCCTAGCACATTGCAAGAGATTCCGAGGGATTTGGTGGCGGCCAGGCAGCAGATGTTCTCAGAGGAGCTGCTCGACGAGACCGACCTCATGAGTCCCGAAGAGACGGCCATATTCGACGAGATGGACGACATTCTCGACGAGTACAGCGATGGCAGCTCCCAGGCAGACCTTGTGTCCCTGAACTCGTGCACCTCTTCTCCTGCCGTGAGTTCTGTGATGTACTTTGCACCTTGCATAGACGTGCTGGTCATGTTCCTGGAGCTTGCATCGTGATAAGGATTAACACTGAGCAACCGGTCTGTAGTCTCGGAGGACGCACCAAAGTGCAGCCGTTGCCATGGGCAAAAAATTTTGAGGACACCTAAGCACTTATGATTTGTGAATGCGAACACATTGATGTCCAATTGGACGCCACCAGAAGTGGCCGCAGTTCCGGCAGGGAGTGCGGCAGTGCGCTGCACAGGCTGCCCTGGATCGCTGGTGACTGCTGCGGTGAGGCAGCGGGGGAGGGTGCGAAGCTTGGCACGGCACTGCACTCTGGCGGTGATATCACGCTCCCCTACTGTGCAGGTGCGGCAATCCCGCCGCATCCACAGCTTCCGTAACAAAGCATCTCCGTTGCTGCACTTTTGGCCAATGGGACTCTGGGTGTGGTTTCGCTCAGCCAATGGGAATTTAACTGCCGTTTTTTGCTGCTGCAGACAGAGTTTAGGTGCCATTTTTCATGGTCACAGACGCCGGCTTCGCTCCATGGGACAGTTAATCCTTTCATATTAATATGCAGGCGACGCTCTTCGAATTTGTGTAAGCATTGCACCAAAAAATTGGGTGCAAAATTTTAAGAAAATGGTGACTGTTACATGAGCATCGTGCGCTGTTCTTATATTTATGGAACATATTACGATCGTAACTTGTATGGTTGGTGCCCGATTGGGGAGGCAGCCAAGCCTGGCGGGTTGTGCCTCGGTAAAGTTACCCGAGATTGGAACTGTCCATGCAAAGCAAACAGTTGACAACGGCTCTCAAGACTGTACTGCACGGACATCCAGTCGCGGTGGCTAGTTCCTACAGAGGACCCGCATAGCTACGCCCGCTCTCGATCGGATCGTCCGGCAGGTTGTGCCTCGGCTTTCCTCTCGAGAGCTGGCTTGCTAGCCGGCCGTTGTCCGAGTAACTTGTGTCTCCTTATACAGCCAAACCCGTTTATATTGAACTCGCAAAAAAAAGTCTACCAGTTCGATATAGCAGACAATTCAATATAAAAGTTTTAATGAATTTGATTCAAAAATCTACTTTCTGCTGACATATTACACAATGAAATAGTCTTGCATCTTCTGCTGCTTTTTCTTCATTGCATCCTTGATAACAATATTTTTGTTGAGGTATCGACGGACTCTAAAGTGCTGAGGTTGCTGCCTTCTATATTTGCGCATTAGCGCCGAACTATGCCGAGAGCAGGGAGCACGTCTGAGCAGGAGCACTTTCTCCTGCAGAGCGTCGTTTTGCTCTGCATGTTGGCTTTCCCCTAAGGCAGGCTGCTGCGTTGGGGGAAAGCCAGCTTGGCTCTTTCAGGCGGCCGTGTGAACCGCCCGGAATAAAAAATAATATTCTCTTTTGCAGATGGAGCAGGGAGAGGGAGCAAAGAGCACCCTCTCCTCGTTCTCTGCGCAAAAGAGATTTAATTTTTTTTTTTTCAAAGCGGTTGACGCGGTCGCCTGGAAAAAAAAACCACCGTGTTTTGCAAGCTGGCTTTCCCCCAGTTCGGCCGTTCGCGTTGGGGGAAAGCCAGCTTGCAGAGCAAAACGGAGCTCTTGGCAGTTAATTATGTCAGTAGCGGCTGCTATTTTCGTTCGATGTAACTATAGTTTTTGCTATATATTATCACCAACATTACTGTGCACAAAAATTGTTTGATATAAGGGATAATTTGATGTAAAAGGGTTTGATATAGTCTGGTTTGACTGTAAAGGCTCTCCCGACCCAAAAGTGCTCTTCCCCACGAGTCACAGCTTGAATATAGATATTCCATTTAGTGCTCTTAGGGCGGCGCCATTTTGTTCGACCACAGCGCCCTCCCCACACATCTGAGGAGTTTGGCGGGGTAAAGCGAGAGAGGGCACGCGCCCAATTTCGCTAGCAGACGACAAACCGGGTGGTTGCCGTCCTTCACCTTTGGGTTGTACCGGCAGGCTGTACTGAACATCGAACTCTTGCTCGTGGCTGCCGGTTATGAAGTGGTTCTCGTTCTTAGAATATTTATGGCTACTCCAAAATCAGCCTATACACGTTTGCAAGTCCGGCTTCAGGGCGCTGCCATGTTGCTGGCTGGGGTGCGCTTGGACGCTTCCTAATCAGATTACGAAGCCTTGCTGAGACGTCATAGTCGAATTATGGCCGCGCCCAAGCGCACCCCACTGGGCAAGATGGTGGCGCCCTGAGACTAAACTTGCGAACGTGTATAGCGCTCTGTCGTTTTATTCCAGTAAACAATCAACTAGGGTATCTTTGTTTCATTTCTTCAATAGCAGTGGAGTCGGCCGGCAGTACTACCCTCAACCACTGCGCTTATTGCATCGGGAGAGCATGTTTTTATTTATTATTCCAGACTTCCACTCATTGTCGCTAAAGGCCTACACCAGTATGAACTTCGTATAGTAAAAAAGGTACAGCGACCGGATTCACTTTTTGCCGGAGAGACCGGCCAGTCTGACAGTTTTTCATATCTTTTTATTTGTTTGCAGGTAACAGGGCGATTGGACCCGGTTAGTCTTTTTTACCGAGCATAGCATTACACAATAACTTGCATATCAAAATCCGCGCATCTGCGCTTGAAATTTCTAAAATTATGTGGTTTTAAACCGAGTTTGATCGCCAGCTGGCTGTTAGGTACAGCCCACTCGGCGGAGCAGACGATGTGCGGGGTGAGAGGGGGACGGCATTTTTTTCCTCTTCCTAGTGCACCGGTCTATAAAAGGTAGCCGAGAGAGGAGTCGCCTGTTACGCCATCAAGTAATTGCTACCTATCTACGCTACGCCCCTTGCGCCGCCAACGCCGCCTGTCAAGGGCCCGTGCAAGTAGCGTTTATTTTCATAACTATGTTTGCCTGCGTAGCAATTTGCATTTATTTACATTTGCAACCACGCCGAACCTCTGTCTGACCTTCGAATTGAAGGTCCTAGAAGTATGCAAGAGCCACATGTCGTCGTCTTTTCTTTCTGTACACACACTGATGAGAGCCGCCACACTTGTGTATATACGAGTGCATGCAATATTGATATAACGATTACCATATCAATATTTGCTATAGTGAGTGGTTTACTGTAGTCACTTGGGAGGTGAGAACGGCGAGGCTTCTTTTTTGAATGCGTGACCTCCAGCCTGCGCCAGTTGCCTTTCGCTGTGCTTTGGGTGCACGGCAAATGTGCCACTCGAGGCGGAACATGAAACTCCTCCCTGTTGTTCTTGTCCTGTCGGGGACCATAGTATCTGATTGCTGAGACGTCTGCTGCATTTAACTTCTGATCAACGACAAAACTGCAGCAGAGAAATGTTTTATGTTGAACCTCTTCCTTGAGCACTTTGGACAGGACCCGTACAAGACTCTGTTAGGATTTGTACGGTATGCTGGATCGAAAAGTGCCCTCTAGATTACGGAGCACCGAAGTTGCTTCTAAACATGCCGTTTGTCGTCTTCCTCCGTCTAGAAATCCGAGAGCCGGTTTCCCCTGACCGACGCCGGCAAGAAGCCAAGCCCCCAGGACGATTCTGCCAAGAGCGACGTGACGCCCAAACGTGAGCTGCATCGCACCATCAGCCTCTTCCGCCGACGGATGGAGCAGTGCGCCACGCCCAAGCGGACCAGCACCGGCTGGGGCTTCAGCCCTAAGCCCTCCACCAGCGACGCTCCAATGCCCGGCCCAGAGGCGCTCATGTCGCTCGGGGACAGGATCAGGGTAGGTTTCTTGTCCGTGCAAGCCTGTGAAATTTAAGTGGAATGCTTTTGAGGGACTAGAGTGGGGGTGACCGGGCAAACTTGCATGGAGAACAATGAAAATGAAACAATTTTAAAGTGGAGAGCCGCCACAAAAAGGGCCATTGCGGTTCTTTTGCTTGATTTAATTTCGGTGGCTGCACCTTTTATTCACAAAGCGATTGCTCCTTGTGTTTCTTTATTGTGTATCCCAATTTTCTAAATGAGCGCATTGAAGTTCGGCTTGAATGACGTCCTTGCAGTCCCGAGCAGCTTGGCTCGGGGTTTACGTGAGGGTGCGTGTAGGTTTTGATTTTTCTGCCTTTATTGTAGAGAAGAGTGCCTCGCAGTAATAGATGTGCTGGCAGAAGGCTGCCACTATGCAAGCGGTTTTTATTTGATAACTTTTTCCCTCTGATGTTCCAAGATGGTGGCACGCTTGAACCTGCAAAGAGTCGAACGCGGCTCGCAAGCTGCAGTTTAGCCAACCCTGGCCTAGTGCGTCACAAAAGGTTGTTAGAAAACCATGACATTCTGGCCAAATGTCTTGCAAAAAAAAAAAAAAAAAAGAAAAAAAACTTTTTCTTGATTTGCAATTGAATTGTAGACCTCTTGCTCAGTACTTTTATGCTCTCCACCTGCATTAACTAAAGTGATTGAATGTGTGTCTTTACAATTGCTATGTACTCGGGAGGGGTCACTGATGTCCCGTAATCACCATTAGCTACGTGATCACGTGAGCTGTATTTACATGATCATAAGACCACTATGGGTGTCGCATGATTCACTAGGGTTGCCTAATTACGTCGTATGGCTTCACATGATGTCATGGTCGCACAAGCACGACGTTACGTCGTGGTCATAGTGCCACGCGTGTCTCCGAGCAACCGCGCCCATGGCCGGATGGTTATCATGTTTGGCTCCCACGCAAAGGGCTGAGGTTCGTCTGCCCTCTCGCGTCGATGTTGGGTGGCGAACGTCTGCTACAACTGGGCCACACAGATTTCCCACGACGTAATCAAAGCTTCGTGGTTCTCGAACCAGTGCCTCGTAGTACCCTCCAGCGAAAAGTAGAGGTTCTGCAGATACTGCTCCGCAGTCCATTCGTTGTGGCGCGCCATACGCTCGTAGCGTTGGTTCCAGCTCTCAACGTCCTCGTGGGTCTCACTGTAAAGGGAGTCGGCGTACGAGGAGTGACGGGCAGGTGAATGACGGAAGGGGTGGCCGGGTTCTGCTTGGACATCGTCCTCATATTTGTCTTTGACTTCTCGAATAGAAGTCCAAACTCAGGGGGCCGTCCTTGGGTGCGGCGGCTGGCTCGGGTTTTGGGAGTTGATGGGGATCAGCTTTCCGGAGCTTAAAAAAGAGGAGCCCCACAGATCTTGCGAAAAATATGTTTCACTGGCATAGAATGCAGTACCCCGCACCTCCACCAAAATGTCACAAATGACAATTGATGTGGCGACGAATGACTGAAGAAATTAAACGTTTAATGGGGCAAACTTGTGCCCAAAACAAAAACCGCTAGCGTCGATGGCGGTGGATCGAGTGCTTGGGCGAGACTGACTCCGACTCGTCACGCAGAGCTCCTTTTGTACACACGTGGAATTCTAGAACAATTGGCGTAGAAGGTTCGGCGCGTAGAACATTGTCCTTGAACAAGCAACAGGGTTCTCGAATTCACCAGAATGTAACATTTACAGAACTAACAAAAGGGTGTGTTCACTTCGAGGCATCGAACCTCTGCAACTTGCGCGGGAGCCAAACGCAATAACCGTTCGTCCACAAGCATGGTTGCTCAGAGACGCGCATTGCAATATGAGCTCATCTTGTAACTTAAAAAGCACTGTCAGGTCAAAATAATTTTTTTTTTTTATTATCCGAAACGATTGAAAATGGATGTCTGGACATTACTTTCAGAATTCGAAGCTTGGGTACTCCGCATTTGTGAAGCAAAAAAATAATTTCCAAAAGACGAATTTGAAATTTTTGCGCGATCCGCACCAGTGCAGTGACAACCAAAGATTGAGTCGTCCTGTAACTTCCGCCTCCAAACTGTCTTGACCGGAGGTGTCGTGTTCTCCTGCGTCCCGCGATCAACCGCTCTTCTCCGTGCATGCCGCCCATCGCTGTGAGCAGACGACGCTTCACTTTTGTGTTTGAAATTCTTTTAGGGTCCTTTTAGCGATTTCAGATTCTTTGAAACGGTGTGAGGTCAAAGTGGTCGCGCAGTGGACTTTCGTGAGGGGCCATGTCGCACCGGTTCTGTGTGAAAGGCTGCCCCGGTGGAGTCGCAACCGAAACTACGGTGCACAGACACCATACACAGTTGTTTTGACCGTTTAACGATTTCCTTTTCGATGTCCGAGAGGTTGTCGGGCATCGAAAAGAGAACTTTGTCTGGTTCCCCCCGACTCCCAATCATCCTCAGTGCTGCATGTACTGAGCGCTGCCATGTTTTCCAAGGGAGGATGAAAAGTCGGGAGACGACATTTCAGGACTCCAATTTTAAATATTTCAAAAGTGCCATTGCGTTAAAAAGCATACTTTACGAATGCCGTTATTAATTATAATAAAAATGTCTCTTACAAAGCTTCTAAATATCATAATCGATTGCGTCGCAAATAAAAAGTGAGGAGGTGAAAAGAGGGAGAGAAATGCGCCAACAATAACATTTACATGCCAAATTTTTTTCCCTCGTTTTTTTTTTGTTTTTTTTTGTATGTTTATGATTGCAGCTTGCATCGTCTTAGACAACAAAAAAATGCAACCCTTGGGGTGTCAATGCCCCTTTGATGTGACGTCGTACTGGCAGCTGCTTATAGAAGCAGGCCCAGAAGCTCTTCACGACTGAAAAGCTAAATGATTTAAGTTGCGAATTAATGTAAACAACAGGCTCTCCAGGAAGAAGTGAAGGCTCAGCAGACCATCATAAGCCAGGCCAGCCAGGCTTTGAACCTCTGCCAGGCGTCGGCGGAGTTTGTCGGTTCCCCGGAGCAGACGGAGGCCGAGAGGTTGCTTCTCATAGCGAGTGAGTTTACGCATTCCAGCACCTTATTTTGGGGCATAGGTAGGTCTCCAGTGAAGTCGATTTATAAAAGCAGCTTGGCAACGTCTGTCTTTGGTATGCATATCGGTATCCACAATTCCTGAGCAGATGTTTCCACCGACCTACCACAAACTTTGCTCTACACTAAAGGGAAGTTGGGATAAGCTTATCGCACAATAGTGCAGGCCCTTGTGTCGTTTGTGTAACGAAAATGCTGATGTAGCATAAGTGGAACAAAGAACTGTCAATATTCTATCCAGGTTTTCTCTAATTAAAAGCGATATGGAGCTTGCAAGGACTGCAAGTATCGGGTGATTGAAATAACCAGGCTCGATCTAAATTAGGCCGTAAAAATCAGTGCCTGCATGTAGCAATCTAAACTTAACGTCAAAGGTGTATTTCACAGGTTGGTTTTATCCTGTAAAATACAATACATGGCTCCCTTTTTGTAAAAAATGGGGCTAAAAGCTTGCCAAGGTTTTGCCAGGGTCAACAATGGACGGCGACTCAGACGACAGAGTCGAGTGGCGGGGTACGTTTGGCACTCGTATTAACAAATGGTGCTACCTCCTTATCGAGACTGCTCGCGACGCCCATGGTCTATTAAAATTAACGCAATCTTTTATGTTATGTACCCTTGGTTTAAAAATAAATGCAAATAAAAGCAAAACTTCAAGTAAAAAAAGAAAATGTGGTTGCATAACGACGGCATTCGTGCTGCCAATGGGTTTCATCAGTGTGTTGTCTGCTTTTTTTTTTTGTTGGTTGGCTGCATCTTCCAATGTAAGGATCTTATTCTGCCGCTGCTTTCAACGCCATCTATCAATACATGTGCCAAACGTGTCCCTCCACTCGGCTCGGTCGTCTGAGTCGCCGTCCGTCGTTGACCCTGGCGAGTTTTTTGGCCTTATTTTTTTTTTTTACAGAAAAGGAGGTAAGCTTTGCAATTTTACAGGATAAAACCAATTTGTGAGATACGCATTTGACGAAAAGTTTAAATTGCTACGTGCAGGTGCCGATTGTGTGAATCTTCACTGTAGAGGTGTTAACACCTTTAAAATTAGTTTTAGAGCTGTTGCATGCTTTGGTTGTGTTCCTTATAGTTTATATAAATCTCTTTTTTTATCTCTGGAAAGATTTTCATTTATGTTTGTAACAATAGAAGCTCGGAGCACTCTTGTTTGCAAATGTTCGTCGTTTAGTTTACTAGCCGAGTTGAGAGCCCTTCCTCTTGTTTCCTTTGCATTGTCCATTGCAGCCCAAAGGAGGCTGGCCTGCATCAACGAGATGCAGAGGCTGAAGGCCAGCGGGGACGTCCTGGAAAGCAACACCCCCAGGGGCACTCTCGTCCTCTCCGAGCTATGGATTCCGGCCAAGCCGGAGATGCTGGCAGCTTCCAAGGAGCTCGAGAAAAGTGAGTGGCACGAATGACCTCTGCCGTTCCGATCCATGTAGTGTGACCAGTTACTTTTTGGGACTGCTCCCTGTGTGGCCATCCAAGTTCTAGCTCAAGGTTACTAGGTGCGTTGCAAATGGCAGCTTCTAGACAATGGTTGTAATAATTGGTGTAGACATAATCGAAGCTTGCGCTTAAGAAGAATGCGTAAAAAAGTGACTCTTATTGAATGTTGAGGAATGCAAATATTGAAGCCATAAATAGTTGAGGAAGGACAAGAACTGTTATTGGCATGTTGAGGGGAGGGGATTTTGCCCCACTCTGTGGCCTCCTTGCATTGTATGTTTATATGAACACAAGTACTTCCTTCAGGCAGGTGAGCATACACACCCAATGAGAGCTAAGAAAAGAAACTGTAACTACTCTAACCAACTGGTTTAAATTTCTCGACGTTTCGCGGCGTGCTCGGTCGCTTGTTCACGGGTGACTTATTTGGCTGGGAAGCACCCAGCCAAATAAGTCGCTCGTGAACAAGGGACCGAACAGGCCGCGAAACGTCGGGAAATTTAAACCAGTTGGTTAGAGTACTTCCAATTTCTTTTCTTAATACTCACCTAACCAGGCAGATTTTGCCGAAATGCAGTGATGTGATTGCTGCGTCAATTGCACCAAACTACGCCAAGGGGCTAACCCTGCTAGATCCTGCTACTTTTCGCCAAAATATGGGTAATCTGCGCCAAGCCTGCGCTAAAGGACCAATTTAGGTCGCCTTTCAAAATCGAAACTAAACTAAGTACTGTAATTGAGCAGGCGTGTGTTATGTGGCACAAGCGGCCGCCTGACACAAAGCACCGTGCATCAGTTGTCCATCTGGTCTTGCATGGTTTTCCCGGCGTTCCGCGCTTTCGTCTTTTGGGTCTCGTCTCTTTTTTTTATATTTTCGGAGATAGACGCGGACGTGTGCAGACGCTCCGACTCTAGCGTGCCGGGTACCAGCCATGCCGTCATGCTGTGAAACAAAACCACGTTTTTGCGCGGCAGGAGTTACTTTGTGAGCTGAAGCAACGGCCATGGGAAAACTATTCGGTCACTGCCTTTCAGTCACCGTGGTCGCGCGACGTCGAATGTTGTTGTCCCCATATCACTGCAGACATGGTACTTTCTAAAATGAAGCTAAGTACTGCCGCATGTTCATCGATATTCCTGTTCTTGTTTAATTCATACGTTCCTACAAAAATCCATCTTTAATTCAAAGACTGCTCTGTCAAAGTATTGATTACCTAGATTCCTATCGGTGGGCCTTTTTTCGAGAGGGACCTCTGTACGTGAAAAATCTGCCGTGAAACAAAGTTGGTAAATGTCTGCACGCTTAACCCGCACAGCGTGCTTGTTTGTCTCGCTCCAAAAACGTTTTGAGGCTGGCTCGCAATATCTTGCATCGATGCACTCAGGTTCTTTATTTTTTGTGTGTTTAGCTTGTCCCTTGTTTGCCGGCCTGGCAAGAACGCACCACTGGACGGCTTTTGTCGCATGCTCGAAAGTTACATTTTGTGTACAATTTTGGGGATAAGTTAGCGACAGAGCTGAGGGGCATGGTTTCGGTTTCGATCGGACAGCCGTTGTCTGCGCTCGGGCGACAAAGCATGCCACACAGCAAGCCTGCCGAAGTTGGCCTCACGTGCTTGCAAATATGATTGCGTGACTGAGGCACCAGCTGGGACGCTTGCAATTCATTGTTTTACATTTGCTTACTTTTGACGAAAATCTGGCACGTCGGGAACCAGTAAAACGGTGGCAAGCGGTTTTTCGAAATTGCTTAACAATGCCTACAGCACTTTACACTTGTAGGATGTCTGAGCAGTCAAAACAGAAGCACCGAGTTCCCTCACATCACATCAGAACACAACACCACACAAAGTGCCCTTCGTTTGTGCAGCGCTTAAAACAAATACTTTTATTTTCCTAAGAATATCTGCCCCAAAACCCACTTTTGCTGCTCCGAAACACTGTCTTTGCTGCTCCAAAAGCCGCTTTTGCTGCTCCAAAACGCGGTTTTGGTTGCTCCAAAGGCTACATTTGCCGCTCCAAAACACTGTTTTGGTTGCTCCAAAACGTGCGCCAAAATGGCTTAGGCCGATCACATCACTGGAAATGTTTGCTTTTCAATCAATGAGAGCTGCAACTTTGTTTAACTTTATATGTCGAAACTCCAAAACAAAATTCCGCCCGTCATTTGATGTATGTGGTGAATAGTTGTGTTGTGACCCTGCGTCCTCTTACGCATACAATGTTTTCTTTTTCAGACAATGAGATCATCTACTTTATGTTCCTGGCCCAGTATCGCTCCAAGGTCTATGCCTCTCCTCTGCTGTCAAACGAGGACCTGACTGAGAAGCAGCAGTCTTTCCTGTTTCGGGAGCCAGTCACCATCTCCAACATGAACGAGGACTTCCAAGTTTCCGTCGAGGTTTATGCCCTCGTGAGTCTATCTGTTTCTATGGCTACCATGTGTAACAGCATAACATAGAAAACACTACCTGCGTTTCAAACTGCGTTTTGCTCGTGCCCCTGGAAGGAATGCTCTTCCTTGCACAAATAGGTGTGCTGCAGGGAAGGTGTGTGAGAAACCCCTGCATTTGTTCTTGATTAATCGCTTCAATTGTTAATTTACTCTGTGGAGGTTGTCGAGACTGGTTATAATTAAGTCAACGGGAATCTGAAATCACTTCGCTATATCCGCTTGTTCGTTAAATCTGGACTTCAACAAAGTAACACGAAAAAAAAAAAAAGGCAGCACTGGTTGTCACGGGCACATGTTTATAGTGCCTGCAAAAGGCTGCCAAGGCTTCCCTGCACGTGCTCTCTGCTAGATCAGAGTCTCTTCTCGCCTACTGCAAGAAGCTCCGATCGAAAGAAACTCCTGCGAGCTACGTACAAACCCCGTCCAGAGAACTATCAATAGCTGCGACGGCCGCCGCGGAGGACGTGGTGGTGGACGGCATTCTTTTTTCATCCATACGCACTTCATCGAGGATGGCGGCCTGCTTTTGTTTCAAGGAGATTGCCTTCGTTTGCCCCGTCAAGGTGCCGGTGGTGCCAACACTCGACATTGTTGAGTCCCGGCACCGTTGAGTCGCCAAATCGGTGCTTGTGCAATGCTAGACTTTCACGCAGAGAGCGACCACATTGACCTGCAAAGCCGACACGTAACACGAAGCAAACAAAGCCCGCACAGCACAGAGTTCACACTCAAGTTTGCGTTTCGTCTGTGTAGAGAGCCTAGATTTAAAAAGGGGGGGGGGGGGGGGGAAACTGCTCAATCGGAGTCACATAGTTTGTGGGCAGCGTTTGCAAAACGAGCTGCTGACCACGAGACAATCAAATGCAGGCGCATTTGAGCTCGTCTGCCCAAGAGGCATCTGCCATCAAATTTCTTCCTCTCCCAAATCTAAGTTCTTTCCATTGTCTCCGTAGGTATGTTGTGGGTACATTGTAGCTAACGCTCTGATCGCCCCTATCGGCACGTTAAGACGGCTTCTCCAGGTGCGATCCGGAAAAGCCGCTTCCCAGGTAAGGAGCAGGGAGCAGACGACGATGCAAAGGCTGCCGCTTGCAGCCTTTGTAGCACGTCTGTGGCTCGTTTGGGGTGGCTGCTCGGTCGTGGCAACGAAGTGCAGCGGTCTACAACTCAATAAACTTTCAAAATTTGATTTTTTTTGATCATCAGAAAATTTGTCTTCTATATCTGTGGGAGCCGCTTGATTTCCTTAGCTAAAACCAAACACAAACACATTGAAAATGTGCAAACGGGAATGGGAAACTGTGATTGCTTTGCTATAGCCTCTATTTCGTTATAAACAATTTCGGTATAAACGGTCATGATGGTACAACCATTAGTTTTTGGTCTGATCTGTCACTCAACATTTGCACTGCTGTTACTCAGTTGAGGCTAGTGAAATGGCTTGTGGGATTGCTGAATATGCTTATAGCTTTCCACATCTTTTCACGAGGCGGTGCATTTTCGTGGTGCTGTGTGGCACGATGGACGACATCTAGAATTCCTCGCATCCTTCCATTACCAACCTTACAAACTCCTTTAAAAGACATCAAAGGACCTGCAAAGTGTCATTTAAGAGCTGCTAATCTAAACTTCTATTAGTACTTTGTTATGTTTCTGTTTTGTCATGCAAGTTCCTTTTTTTGTCTTTACAGAAAACAACGAAGGGAGTCATCCCTCACGATAAGAAGTACCACATCAAGAAGGTGAGTTCTTGCTCGCAAGGGCCAGCAAAAGCTGCCCAAACATACTTCTTTGTATGGTTTCAGGAAAGTCTGAGGATCAAGCTGTCTTCTAAGGGAAAAAAAACCGACAGTGTCTTCCTATCTCCTGGTGAGTGTGCACAAACCATACAATCCCTTCTGCTTTTCTTTCTTTAAATGGCCAACATAATGATACAATTAGGATTTTTTTGCCGACTCATTTTTGGATCTAGCATCAGTACGGTAGATTCTCACTATAGTAAAAACTGACTTTGTAAAGTGCACTTGTAATACCTCGACAGCTTTTGAAGGACTGACAGTGGTGGTGATCATTAATATGAAAGGATTTATGGTTCCTCCAGTGACCTTTTCCCATTTTATGTTGTGCACTTTTATCTCTTTAGTTCAAGTAGTCTAATGTTCTATATGAAATGTAAAAATAGCTAGTACTTGATTATCGGCAATCAAGACTCTGTCAGCAAAAACCATACAGCATTTGTGGCCTTGCTCTTTGGAAAATTGTTTCATGGTTTTATGACATATAAATTTTATGCTGTCACTGAGGCGTCGATCAAACCTATCCTATTTCTCTCTGTCGCTACAGAATCAGAAATGTTAATTGATCCTCTTCTCGTGTAGTCTGATCAAATTGTTTGAATGTGCCAAAATAAGATTTTCTTTTCTTACTGGATATTTTCATCCCTACTTCCAGTCGTCTCTAGTCCCGGTGGGCCCGACGCTGTCCGCACGTCCAGCTTCCAGAAGCTGGGGTCATTCGTCCTCAACTCTCTGACGTGCGGCCAGAAAGTCTTCGCACTCTCTAAGGTATTTGTCGCCAAGCCCTTCGAGGCTCCAGCCAGCACCTCCTACATAACAAGAGTCGCAGCCATGGTGAAAGATCTATATAGGTGTGGACACCGCGTGCGTCGCAGCTGTCATATAAAATCTCCTCTTCACCTTGGTTGCAAATGACGCCACCAGATGGCTCCTTGGTATGCGCTACACGTGTTGCTTAGACACTGCTTCGTCATTGATCCAATGGCGGCAATAAATTTTATGAAGGCGTTGAAGCGGAAATATCTGACACAATGTTTAAGCCAGCGTTAGTAAAGGTCGGAGCAGGCACTCCGAGCAGGAAGAGCGCGTGCTCGGTTGCCATGGGAACGAGAGTTCTTAATGTGGTTTTGTCAGATTTTTTTTCTTAGTTACACCATCTGGACTGAAGAAACGCTGTCAGCGCACGCCTATAAGACTTCGAAGTTAATTGCGTCTCGGCGGTCGCCATGCTGCACGTCTTCATCTGTATATATAATATCTTGCGCTGGGTAGTCACAGCCAAACGCCGACACAACACTCAAGTCCGGTCTGCCATGTGCTGGCCTCGAATGGTGGCAAGGGAAATCAGATCAAATCTTTATTTACTTCACAAAGATGTCTAGCATCATGGCCCTTTTACCTTTGAGGTGTTGCTTCAGCGGAGCTGCTTTCGCTTTGTATCTTGTCGCCGTCGTGGGACGTCATCTGGGAGTCCTTGGTTCATGCAGGTGCCAAACTCCTTCCACCTGGAAGACAAAGTGGCGGTGAAGATTCAACTCCATGCGGAGCACAATGTTGAGCATCATGGATTTCTGGTCAGTGTTCCTTCGTCTTGTCGACGCTGGCGTGTCGCGCATTTTTTTCTTTATAGGCCCGACCACGCACAAGGTCATGTAACACCCATGGCGGAAGTGCTCGTGGTTGAACGCCAACCACGCTCAAGGTCACGTAATGCCCGTGGCTGAAGCAATGGTAGCTGAAGCGTAAGCTCCAGTCATGTGAGCGCCGATTGTGAAAGCGCCGGTAGCTGAAGCTGACGTGTCCCGACGTCTTTGACAACTTCATTGAGGTTGTTCCAGACGTCTTCTTAGATGTCTTCCTCTAGGACGTCGTCCTCGATATGTCTACAGCATATTGCCATTTCATCACCGTACCATTTCCTTTCCTAATTGTTTTCACTGTGTTCCTCCAAAGCTACTGCATTTCATCGCATTCAATCAATTGAACAAACCTGCAACAATTTTTTTATTTGGGTGGTTTTTTACTTTTCTTGAAACATGAAGCTCTAAAAAAAAGTACAGGACAAGAAAACTAAAAACAGCATCAACACGATTTGGACTTTTTTCTTTTTAACTGTGTCCTTTTTTAACATTTTACCGGAGTCCTGGGTTTTAAAGGACACATGCAAAGGAAAAAAACATTTTTCTAAACAGCTTAGATGGACTGTGTCCTTTGCATGTGTCCTTTAAGATGTTTTATTATGCCTGATTTGGTGCACTAACATATTTTGCTCTTTCTTGATTGGGATGCCCACTGACATGGCTAAACAGTACTGCCTGCAGTAGAGACACATAGTGATGTGGCGTGCAAATATGCATACTAGATATATTAAAGCTATAGGAATTAATGTTCTCTATCCTTGGTCTCCTCTAAACAGACCCTGTTTGAGGAAGTTGGAGGTTATGGGGCATGGACGAGGCTCTGGTGCGTCTTGAAAGGAAGCCACATTCTCTGCTGGAGGTACCCCGACGAGGAGACTACAAAGGTGGGCCTGCTTTTATTTGTAGCCTTTTTAGACCTGGCACAGAATATGGACTCGATGTCCAGCAATGTAGCAAGCCTCGTGTCCTAGCCCACTTTTGAATTGGTGTTCGTTGAGCGAGGCTACATACATCGGAACCTTTCAGGGTACTATCATCTTTGTTCTAGACTCTTCTAGGCGTTATACAGTAAACTTTCGTTAATTCGACCTCGACGGGACCTTGAAGTTTGGTCGAATTATCCGAATGATCGAATTAAAAAAAGGACAGAAAAACTGTTAAAATTAAACTTCCTTTTATTGGCCAAAGTACTCGCGGATAGTCTGCTGCCGTCTGCGCTTAAAACCTCCGAAAGCAGTCTTCGGAGAGCAGCGTAACTAAACATCACGTCCCCAAAAATCAAGCACGAAAAAAAAAAGAGAAACAAAAAAAGTAAGTTTTACGAGCAGGCGACAAAAAAAAAAAAAAATTAGCAAAAAAAAAAAAGAGAGAGTTTGCGTTTTTAGACGTGCAGATGGACCGCACAAGATGCGACAGAGAGGCGCTTTGAGAGCGCTCGCTGAGAAAGCTTCGAACCGACTTACGTGCCAAACAGCCAAACCATCGGCGACAAATAAAAAAAAAAAGTTAACAAAAAAGAAAACAGGAAAAGAGAGCTTACGGAGCGCACACGATGCTGCTACAGAAACAACGCTTCAAGAGCGTGCGCTGGCTCGTGCGCGCCCGACCACGTGCTATGTTCTCCGCGTTACTCCACGCCAGATTGGTTGTGCTGGCTCGTGTCGTTTGCTACGGTCCATCTCAACGGCGTAGAGGAGCAGGCGCATATTTGCCCACGTTAGGCTTTGCAGCAAAGGGAAGAAAACCTCGCTTTTGACTGAACCTGCGAAGTCGACACGCACCATACGTTGATGGTTTTCCTGCCGTGGTGCTGAGCAATGTGAGCCTGCGCACATTCATCCGGGACGAATTACCCGATGCGGAGTCTTCCCGAGTTCGAACTATCAAACTTTTTCTCCCATAGAAATGTATGGGCCCTCGCTGGGACTTTTGAATACGATCGAATTAACCGAGGTCGAACTAACGAAAGTTTACTGTACTGCACAAAATCACTGGTCTAATATTTTAATATAATATTATATTTACATTTATTGCCTACTTCCCACTTCTCAAGTGTCCAACCAAATAACCTCGACGACCACATTCAGAGGCAACCCGAGCAAGTTTTTTTATGCAGCTTGCTAGATAACACTCGTCTGATTGTTGAGTGTACATCCAGCAGAATTTACAGTGTAGGAGGTGGAAGCGAGTAGCTGTGGCTGTGTACAGCAAGGAGATTAGAAGTACTAGGAGGGGGCACGTTGCAATATTGGTGAAGCCTAGTCATAAAAAGTTCAAACGATTTTGTGGCCAACGTGAACGTAGATGTCTCTGGCAATTGGTGCGCGTGACATTTCACGTGCGAGATGGATGGTTGATTGTAGAAGGACTCCTTGCAGGCTTGCGCGCGCTCCGTCCGGTAGGCTTTATCAGATCGAAAGCTAGACGAAGGCTAGCTACGGTCACGTGATGTGGTCTCGTCGGCCTGATAAGTGAGGAGAGTAAGGAGAAAAATGAGAAAGAGGCGAGGCGTCAAGGGAGCATGGCTTGTGGAGGCTACGCGGCTGGCGTCATGCCCTCTGCTACCCTTCTATCCTCCTTGGTGCGCAGGCACCCTTGGACTCCATCGACCTGCGGCAGTGCATCAGTGCCGCTCCGGAACGACTCTCCATCGTGGAGTGCGCTCGCCCACACACCTTCAAGCTGGTGGTGGTGCAAGCCCTGGAGGTCTGCAAGGGTGACAGCCTCACCACCACGAGGCACTCCACTCTTGCCACCACCAAGTGAGTGTGCCGTCCAATCAAAACGAAGCTGTACGGCGTGTCCTAGGATAATTACGCACATTTTGACATTCGGCTTGTTTTGTTCGAGGACACGTGGGACGTTTTCACCTTTCTCATATCTTTGTGCTTCGGGCAACCGCCGTCTTGTCGGTTAGCCGAAGCTTAGCTTGTTCTGCTGGAGAGCAAACATATTTTTTGTTGAGACAAGTTGTGGTACCACATGCTGCTTTTTTGATTCTTCAAATGATTTAGGGATTGTTCATTCTGTCGCTGGTTTTGGCCCATGCAACGCTTACGACGACTGTTACGGTAACTCCGTGCTCGGCATCAGTGTAAGATTACAACCTTGCAAAATCGTAATGTGCAAGACGTTTAGTTAATGGTTCCGTCACGTGAGTGCAGACATTTCAGAAGTGGTGAAAAGCCTGAAGCAAAATTTTGGTAGATCCATTCGGCGTTGTATTGCTCTCGTTATGTGGCATTCAGCATTGAAATAAACTGAAGCCCATCGTGTATAGTCCTTCTGTGCTGTCTTCTGACGTCTCTCCCGTTGTCGTCCGTACCCAGGCACCTGTTCTCGGCCGACAGCAAGGAGGAGCTGCAAGAGTGGTGTGCCAAGTTCAGCGCTGCGCTCACCTGCATCCGCAGGTGGAACCCAAAGGCCTACAAGGCCATGGACATTGGGCAGCTCCTCTGATGCAACATTTTCCCAGTTGTCCGATCTTACCGACCTCAATTGTATACAAAAAAATGTTTGTGAGGTGGTCTTCAACGAAGGTCCTTGCACGATGAAGTTTTCCAACATTTTTTTTCCTTCCCAATGCACCCCCTTTTTGGTTTGTGGAGTGTCTACAAGTGTGTGTATGCAGATTTTATGCATTCTTATTTTTCGGAAGATTTTTCTTGTCTACATGTGTGTATACAGGTTTTATGTAATTTTATTTTGCAATAGAGATTTCTATACATATAATTTAGAATAATCTTTTTATAAATAGTGCTTTTACTATTTTGTATAGACGTGCAAGTCAGGTTTGGCTGCATCTCCCGCATTTTTCTGCTGGACCCTAGGAATAAAGCTTCTGCTGTATACAGGCATGGGGTTTCCTCTCACTTTCTGCAACATTCGTTTGTAGTATTTACAAGAAAGATAGAACTAATAAACAGCACACGTTTCTCGACCTGTATTGATGCTGGAAATGGCAAAATTATAAGACACAACAGACCAATGCAGATTTTAGCAAAGTTTTAACAAAAAAAAAATTGATGCTGGGTTTACAAACATAACAAGGACATTTTCCAGATCAGCAGAAAAAAAAAATCTGTTGAAAAATTAGCAAAAATTAAAATGTCAAAATAAAAAATACTCTCAGTATCATTGCGGTTTATGCTGCTCTCCATGCTCCACACGTGTGACCTTGGAACGTTTGCTGTAGAATATGGGAGCCAGAGTTCTCCTTGTTCCGGTTTCCTGGCACTTAGTTTCCTCTTGCCTGAGGTGTGGAAAATGGAGTTGTAATTTTGCCGCTGCCTAGACCACTTCAAGTGTGTGTCAACATGCATTTCCCGACTTGTGTAAAGCACAACCATCGTTTCGAGGCTGGGCGCTTGTCCCTGACTCGTCGTGTGCAGTCAACAAGGCAGCCGCAGGAAAAGAAACTCTAAAAGCAGTCCGCTTGCAAATTCTCAGGAGAGAGCTTGTACACTCGAATCTCGTTAATTCAAACTCTAGGGGAACCGAAAGTTTGTTCGAATAAAGCAAAGACTGAAATGACGGGAGTTTCCTCCCATAGAAACGCATACATGGGTTGCACAGACGTCACATTGCATACTTTTGACCATGTAAGAGGGGGACAGGGAAGCTGCTTTTGTAAGAATTTTGAGTGACGGTTTCATCTTCTATAATTTTCTGGGAGGACAATAGCGACGCCTGTGCAAATCTGGGAGGCACAAAAGAGGGTCCTGATAAGAGGGAAGCTCCTTGCCCTCTTCTTTGTTGGTCATTGGAGTGCTCTTTGAATGACGTCACGTGCAACCCATGTATAGTATGGGATGTATGTTAGTTTGAATTAATGAGTCGGTAAGTGCATTTTTCCTACCAACGACGCAAAACGCTTGGCAGACGAAGCGCTCTCCAACTGCACAGAGGCACTGCACAAGCAAGGAGCCGGTACGAGGTCGGCGTTGAACCAAGCTGCGGGTGATGCCATTCCTTTTAGTTGGTTGATACTTGCGGGGAACATTACATAGGCTTTTTCTGCAGTCGGATGCAATCAAAGCAGAGATAGTAAAGATGATTTTAGCTATCCTGCCGAATTCAGAGTACCACTTACGTTGGTGCCCGGAAGCTCAATTTCTACCACACACTAACTTTGATGATAGCCTCTCTATTTTAGCGAAAGTCAAATTAAAACTAATTCCGGTTTGGCGTCAATTGTGCGACGCCTCGCACATCGACAGCTTTGGTTCGTAATAACAGATTCTAAAGTGTTTGCTTTGTTTCTACGGGCATTCACAAAAAAATTGGATGTTTACAATTCTTTGAAAGGCTGAATTAGAGGGCAGCTCTTAAAGGGAAACTCCGCTTCATTATCGGTTGTTAGTAAACACTGCGACTCTCTTTAGTGTCATCTAGAGAGACCGAATGTCAAATATTATAACGTAATACCGCCTAAAAGATCACTAAACCGGCCGACAAAAACTGAGACGCGCGAAGTCACCAAAATCCGCTAATTTAGCGGGCGACGTGCGGCGCAGCCAACTTTGTATTTCCGTTGTGGCTGACGTCTGTTGCATACGCAGTTTTTTTCTTGGTATTTTCTTTTCCAGGGAGAGCTTACCGGGCGGCGCTACGGACGCGCTCCACGTTTGAGCAAGCAAAGAGGCGAGCCTACTACAATAGAGATCAGTAAGCGAGACAGACAAAAAAAAAAAAAAAAATGAACGAAAACAAGAGAAACAAAAAGAGGAAGAGAGAATTGTACGGGATGAGTTTCGCTGACACACCTGCCAACCGGTGCCAACCGACTAGCCGCTTGGGTTGCCGCCTACATAGCCTGCTTCGTTGCTGCTTGCGTTGCCTGTTCGCCGCCGCGGCTAGGCCCGCCCTCCCTCCTCCCTCCTCGCCCTTCCCCTCGCGTCCGCGTCTTTCTTGGGTTACCGCTGGTAGATCACGTGACACATTGTATTCCACGTGGGTGCGTATGCAACTGACGTTGAGAGTACAATGTTGCCCGGCTGTGCCGAAGTTTCAGTTTCGGTTTGCGATTGTGGTAAATAACAAGATCGCACGAAAAATATTTTACTTTTAATGAGACAAACGGTCTAGGATTGTTTTGAAGTACTTTTTACGTTTATATCACCCACTATCTCAAAATTTCCGAAATCAAGCGGAGTTGCCCTTTAAGGAGGAGAAGGGGGGGTATGCTTCTCCAGGAAAATTTGCCCACTAAATGTGAGGGGAGCTGTAGAGGATACTACAGCTCCCTTCGCATTTGGTGGGCAAATTTTCCTAAATTTTGTGGCAAAAAATTGCCCGCTAAATTTAGTAGAGAAATTTTTACGCTAAATTAAGCAGCAGTTACAGCTAAATGAAGGGGGAATTGTTACTGCTATATTTAGCTAATTTTCCTGCCAAATTTAGCAAAAAATTCTCCATTAAGTTTAGCGGTGAAATTTTCCAGCTAAATTTAGCGATGAAATTTTTCTGCTAAATTCAGCGGGGAAATTTTCCCACTAAATTTAGTGGGAAAATTTTCCCATAATGCAACATGCGCTGCAATGACGACGCTCAAGCCGGGAGCGGTAGTGCAGCAACTGTCCATTTTAACGGAACCTCCAAAGCTTCCAATTAGAAACAGTCTCTCTTTAAAACTCGTTTCAAGCACAGAGGTAGCTCAGTCAAGGGAAACAGTTGCATTCTTCAGATAGTACACTAAATGCAGGCAGAAAATTTAGGCAATCTTCTCTTCGAGCTAGACAATAGGATGGTGAGGAAAGTGCCATGTTAACTTTACTTGACAGCTCTCAATGTTTTTTCAAAAAACGTTTTTGCTCTTTTAGTGTAGCCTGTAAATGTGTTCTTGTAGAACTCTATATTATCCATCAGAAGTTTATTTACTTTCAAGATTAATAAAAATATGTACCATAAATAAAGCCACTGCATCTGGTGTCACCGTTGTATGCACAAAGGGATTGTTGCTGCGCTAAGGGATTGTTGCTGCTAGTCTTAAGCACTCAAAGGCAAAGCAAAACTTTGTGACATTCATGTGCACATTCCAACGGGACATTTCTAGAATGCGTCAATAGGTTTTTACCTGACGGTCACTTTACCGTTGCACTTATACCCGTTTTCACCTCAAGAAAATAGTAAGTTTTGCGCATTGTTCATACGCCGCGCGAAATAGTTCTCGCCAGATTTGGTTGTCAAAGGTACAGGCAATGCTTTTGGCGTTTGAAACGTGTACTCCTTGATAAGATAACGTGTATCCACTCTAAATTGCTAATAAATATATCTTAAATCTCCACCGAAAGGTGAAAAGTAGTAATCATCCGCGAGAAGCCGGACTTTTTTTCCTATGGTTCTTGAGGTGAAAACAGGTACAGACACTGTGTCAACATAGAGGGCAAACATTGTTTGGGAGGTTGGTAAGGAAGGACATCGAAGCACTTTATGACACTGTCGTTGACAAGGCTGTCCAGTTCTGTGGGATGGTTTATTCTCTTTTTTTTATTAAAAGGTCACTCCGAGCACAAATTGATGTTTGTGCTTTAGCACCCAAACATTTGTGAAAAGGTGCGTGATAACTTTACATAAGAAACAAAATCAACCACTGTACAAAAACAAAGTTGAGCATTAATCATAACTCCGTATGGATGTCGTGTGGCGTTCCTGAAAAGAAAAAAAAAAAGGATGTGTTCGCTTTATTATAGCGCAAAGCAGATCAGAGTTGATTACAACAAGCCATCCCATAGTGTTTAACGAGGTTAAAGAAACCATAGAAGGATACCGGGTTTGAACTATTTACTCGCACAATGAACGCACTCGCGTAATGAACGCACCCCCCAAGTCGGCTCACAAAATTTCGACTTTTTTTTTCACCCGCGTAATAAACGCACCCCCAACTCCGACGTCAAAATTTTGACCCCCTCCCCCCACGCGCGCGAAATGAACGCACTTTTTTATCCTGGTGCAGCGAGGTCGCGAATGCATGGGCAGCATGGGCGAACAAAACGCCTTGCAAAAGGCGTTAAAAAAATTAAAAAAGAGCCAACCGAAGCAAAAAAAAAAGAAACATGGAGAGCTTTTTTTTTTTTTTTTTTGCACAGCACAGTCTGGACTTCGGGGTCGCGTGCCGCGCGCAAGGAGGTAAGAGAAGCGGAGAAACCCTCTAAGAAAACGAAACAGCTTGCGAAAGGAGGCAAAAAGAAAAAAAAATAACCACCGAACTAAGAAAAAAAACAAACAAAGCATTTTTTCTTTTTTTTTTTTTTTGCACAGCGCCGTCTGGACTTTGGAGTCGCGCGCCACGCGCAAGGAGGTAAGAAAGAGAAGCGGAGAAGCCCTCTAAGCAAACGAAACAGCTTGCAAAAGGCGGCAAAAGGAAAAAAAAAAAACAACATTCATATTAAAAATAGCGCAAAAGAGACGGGACAAAAAGACGAAGAAGCACACAGGACCAACGCTAACTGGCAACTAAACTTTATTGAAAGCTTCCAACTTTGCTATCGCCATGCACGTGCTTAGTCTCGTTCAACAGACAGGGCGTACCGCCAAATCCGCACAATCATACCGCCCACCGCCCGTTCCAAAAAGTCAGCAAAACAGCTACATCACCCCGCCGCACAATCCGAACGAGAAAAGAATAGGGCGGTATGATTGTGCGGATTTGGCGGTACGCCCTGTCTGTTGAACGAGACTAAGCACGTGCATGGCGATAGCAAAGTTGGAAGCTTTCAATAAAGTTTAGTTGCCAGTTAGCGTTTGTCCTGTGTGCTTCTTCGTCTTTTTGTCCCGTCTCTTTTGCGCTATTTTTAATATGAATGTCCACTACCAACTTGCCCAGCAGACCAAGCTTTTACAAAAAAACAACCCACGGAACTAAAAAAAAAAAAAAAAAAAAAAAAAAAAGCTTTTCTTTTTTTTTTTTTTTGCACAGCGCAGTTTGGTTACGGAGGTGGGGGGGGGGGGGTCGCGAGTCGGGCGCCGCGCGCAAGGAGATAAGGAAGATAAGCGGAAAAGCACTCGCCTAAGCAAACCAAACAGCTTGCGAAAAATAGGCGGCAAACAAAAAAAAAAAAAAAAATTAAAGGAACTGAAAAAAAAACAAGGAGCTTTTTTTTTTCTTTTTTTGCACAGCCCAGTTTGGCTACGGGACGCGCGCAAAGAGATAAGAAGTTGCGTTGATTTTTCGTGATAAAAAGTCCGTTCATTATGCGAGTAAATACGGACGAAAAAATTTTACTTCGCGTAATGAACGCCCCCCCTAACTTTGCATCAATTTTTCGGGAAAAAAAGTGCGTTCATTCTGCGAGTAAATACGGTATTGCTTAGTGAGGCACAATGCTGCTAAGCACATAAGGAAAGGGTACCAAAAATTATTATTTTTGCCGCAAAATTTTAAAAATAAGCGCGGATTGTTTCTTTCTTTATTACATTTGAAAAACGTTTCGAGCTGGCAGATAATCTGGCTGCTCATTCCACCAATGTTCCTTACAGTCTTGCATCTGCACTGGCAACACTATAGCACAATGCACTAAAACAAAAATATATTCCTGCCCTGGTTTCTCTATATACTTCAGAATTCATTGAAGTCAAAATACAGCAAAAGGCTGGAAAATAATTTTGTGGTTCCAAAACGAAAGCAATTGCCAAGAAACAATGACCAAGAACTGAAAAGATTTCGTAGATGTGATCGTGCAATGTCCAGGCCCTCCAACCGACATCGGCCATTGTGGGGACGCCAAAGAAATGGCGGCAGGCTCACCGTCGTCGGGCTTGACTTCGGCCGGCCTGGCGCCTTCGGTGAGCGTCGCCTTGGCAGCTCCCTTCTCGTAACGCTCGATGAACTGCTTCAGCTCCTCGTCATAGTCCTTCCACTCGCTGATGATGCGCGCCGCGCTCACCAGCTTGGGCTCCTTGGTCTTGGGGTTGTTGCACTGTTGGGCAGAGCAGCGTGCCGCCACTTTCGGTCAGACAATCGACCTCTGCGTTAAGAGCTACAGTCACCGACAGAATGAGAAGGGCTTGTCTTTTCAACGCCCGCACGTGCTCTACGTCTTCTGCCACGCTTTTACTAAGGGCGCATGCTGGAGGTGGACGAGATGCTGGAGTGTTGTCAAAGTTGCCCCGTCTCACACCGAAGGCACGATAACTGAAGCTCCCCCCTGCCCTTCTCGCCCTTTCGGTGACTTTGGCCGAGTTGCTAACACGTGATGTGCATGAGTGCAGATGACACTGCGAAACACTGTAAACTAAAACTTTTCCTTTAAAGTAAAATCACATTACAGGAGAAAAGAAGGTGAGAAACAGCCGAAAAATGCATCGAAAGTAACACGAACCTACCAGCAATTGTCAAAATCCATATTAACAGGTTAAAGGCTGGTTCGCTCACTCACGACTGCTTGCGACCGCTGCTCTTGGTGCATCATTCTTTCTTTTTTTGGCTCAGAAAGCATTTGAAATTGTAAGCAGTCGCAAGTGTGTAAACTAGCCTTAAGGGTAATGCATGCAGGACAGTGTGCGCAGTGGACCCACGAGGTCGATTGTCTTGGCCTGCTTTTTGGAGTCATCGTCGCACCACGTCTCGCACCAGAGCCACTCCTGAGGCAGCGACTTGATGGCCACCTGGTGGATCATGTTGTTCGGCAGGTCCTGTGAGGCAACAAGAATGCACGCTGACGTTGCCTTTCAGGAATTACTGGAAATCTACAGGTCAATGCACCGAGCAAACAAACGAGACAGATACTAAAAATGTGAGCAATGTGGTCAGGTAAAATGATGCTTAAACTGCAAGATTACATTTTTCTGAGCCTGCTAGTTTTCTACACATAGCCCGTGTCACTGTCTCCTCTTTGATCGATTTGAAATAGCTAAAAATACCAGCGGGCATTCCTTTAGGACAGGCCAGACACCTGATACATTGCCCCACGATAAACAAGCTCGTAAAGCTAGTACTAACCTTACGATGCGGATACACTTCCTTATAAGGTTCTTAGAAAATCAGAAATTGTTACATGCCTTCCCTATAATGCAAATATACTTCCCATCTTGTGCACTCCAAAAGCATCCCGATTCTCTACACTAGACTAACTTTACAACTAAGGTTTTCCCTGATAATTTCAGATGAATTTCCCTGACCACTCTAGAGGCGGTTTAATATACAAGACCATTATAACACAAGGCACTGAGCATTGAGCACTGTTATGGTGGCTAGAAGGGGAGGTGGGAGCTTCACGGCGGGCAGCGAACGGCAGGACGTGTATCAGTTATTCATACTAGCGGGCGGTTGCCCGGCAAGCCGACCGATCTAAGTGTCGAAAGCAGCACCGCCGCTGCTAGCATGATCCGCCGCTACACTCCGTAGCGGCCAATGCTGCCACCTCGGGGAGGTGGGAGCTTCACGGCGGGCAGCGAACGGCGGGGCGTGTATCAGTTATTCATACTAGCGGGCGGTTGCCCGGCAAGCCGACCGATCTAAGTGTCGAAAGCAGCGCCGCCCCTGCTAGCATGATCCGCCGCTACACTCCGCAGCGGCCAATGCTGCCACCTCGGGGAGGTGGGAGCTTCACGGCGGGCAGCGAACGGCGGGGCGTGTATCAGTTATTCAAGCTAGCGGGCGGTTGCCCGGCAAGCCGACCGACCTAACTGTCGACAGCAGCGCCGCCGCTGCTAGCATGATCCGTCGCTACACTCCGCAGCGGCCAATGCTGCCACCTCCCCTTCTAGCCACCATAGCACTGTGAGAATCATTTTGCACGGGCTTAATCCAACTTCCGTATTCCGAAATATCCGGGTTTGTCCAATCCGGATTAAACAATCACTTTCTTTCTGCCGACATCGTCATTGAAGAGGCCACTTCCGGAAACACGATGAAAACACGACGTTCAACCACGCACATCAATAACCGAATGGCAACATGGCCGCCAGATGCACACTTTCGGATACTTTTGGCTTAAGGCTTTTATTGGACTGGGGTCTGCGGCTTTTCCATTTGTTAGGTACTAAATCTGGTATCTCTAACTGGATCTAGCCTAGTGTCATGCTCTCAATCATATCCAATCCAGTCCAATGCTTGGACTGGATTTGTCGGCCATTCCCTTTGCATCGGGCAGCACACTCTACATCAAGTGAGCAGAGCCCGTGCTCCGCTCCAAGCAGAATTGATTGCCTATTTTTCTGCCCCCAAGTCCTCAAGTCTTTGCTCAGGGCACTCGATGGCGTTTCCGGCTCATTTTTCCTGACTGGGCTTGCCTTTCGACAATATCCCTGACAATTCCCCGATTTTTCCCGGTAACTAAAATTTCCCTGAAAATTCCCGGTTCTCCTGGTCACTTGACAACCTGACAACATACGGCTAGAGCATTGTAACATCTGCGCAAGCAAGAGGGTGCGACAGTATTTTCTGGACCTGTCAATACTTTCCGAAATCTCTTTAGACAGCACATCCCTCCGACGACTGAGGCTCCCTAATGCCAGTCACTACGAGAGAAACAACTGCATAGGAATATGAAAGCTACAACATTAAAAATGCGGGTAGCTATACCTGGTCCAGGTTGGACAAGCTGTTGGGGTCCTGGCTGAGGCCCTGGTACTGCCCCCTGAGACGATCTCCGGCCGCAATCCTCCGGAACCGCTTCAGGTCCACCACGTACAGTGCACTGGGACAATGCGCCAATAACTTGTGGCATAGGTAAGAATCGCTACAGCTACACACTCCAGAACTCTCTAGAACAACAAGAATGTGCCAATAACCTGTGATTCAGGTAAAAACAGCTACAACCACCCACTACAATGCACTCAGATAATGACAAATAAAATATGGCTTAGGTAAGAACGGCTACAACTTCCCACATAGAATGCACTGACATAATGGCAATGTGCCAATAACTTGTGGTGGTGAGAATTGCTACAATGTCTGACACACTATAAAGTGAGACGCATTTGAACTGCAAAAGTGTGAGCTCTGGACGCTATAATAGCAAACCGGTTCACCACCTGTAGCATCCATGCTATGCTCTCTCTGGGTGAACCCTCACAGAGAGTGTTCCAATTCTTGGCATAGAATAAAGCAATTGTGAAGAAATAAAATGTTCGGTTTTGGTGCTGCATGTGGCTACGTGTATGATTGCGCTCACCTGATGTGGTACCTTCGGCCTCCCAGGTGGCTAGCCCAGTAGCCCGACTTCCAGAACCTGCGGGCACAAGATAAACGCAGCAAAATACTTCAATCTGCAGCCAATTTTGCTTTTCAAGGTTCAGCGAGTTAGTTTTAGCACAAATACAACAAAAGGTTAAGGAAAACATACTGGAAATGCAAATTCCACTGGCTCTGCCAAACGATCACCAACTATATTTGATAAAAATGTTAACCATTAGCAACTCCATTAAATCCCACAAAGAAAGCTTTGTCCCTCATGCAAGATGCATAGCAATGCTGAGTGAGCAAAATCGCTTACTGAATTACGATCGTTCATTGCTTTGTCCACACGTACACAGCCCTGTGCTACACTCAAATATCACGGTAGTAATACCGTGACCAAACGGCGTAAGGTCACTCAGATGACAAGAACAGCGGAACGTCCCTTTTAGATGCCCCGCCTCCAGCAAACGTATGTTACCTTCCGTCGGGCTTGGGCTGTGCGTGCACATTCAATGCTCACAAGACACCGAAACGTTGCTGGAGGTGGGAAGCTTGCCCTCGAGGAGGAGACTCGAAGACCTCCCTGCCATTATTATCCTGTCAAAGACTACAGCCTACTCAACATCTTCTCTCTCGCTGCCCCCGACACTCCAAACAAACCATTTCTAACTATTTCAGCTATCCACTTCGGCAAGATAACTGACCTCAACGAACAAAATAATGTGTACAATGTTCCGTCGCTTTGCAGGCAAGGGCCATGCGATGCAAGGTGCGCACCTGTATCCCTCCATGTCCTGCCGGCTGTCGCAGAAGGGGGTGTAGCCGTAGGGGGCACCGCCCAGGTCAAGGTCCCGGAGCTCTTTCATGTCGGCCCGCACAACCTGAACAAAAGTGGTGACGGCGTCATGCCGATGCCACCCCCATCCAATTTCCGACATAGCAAATCATGCTTCTGGCACGTCGTACAGGATGTCTGTTGTAATAAAGTTGTGTCGACACCAAGCAGATGCCAGCGCATTGCGTTTGTCGCATGCCACGATTGGATGTATGTGGTAGTAAACTTGAGCTGATGCCGTGCCAGCAAACTGCCAACCTAGCACACTGTGTATTTGTGGATGTATATTTCAGCTAAGTTACGCCAACGTCATTCCGATAAATTGATGGAATGGAAAATGGCACACCGTCATGCATGGAGCCCGCTGGTACACTACATGGCACAGGACATATTGATGAAAAGTAGCGCAAAAACAAGAACTAAGATAAAGCAGAGACAACGCAGTCATCATCTCAGATACGGACCTGATCAGCATCAACGAAGATAATCTTCTTCACGTCGAGAGGGAACAGCACATCCAGGAAAAGGATCTTGTATCTAGGGCACGACACAAACGACAACTCATGTTACAACTCCGTGACATCACCGTGGTGACAATATCTCCATTGTATCTTTCTTCCCACCCCTCCCTCTGCTGCATAAAGTTACAAGCATAGGGATAAACTTGTGTTTGCTGCTGGTCGCTTGTTGTGTCTTTCACTTTAGCAAATTACACAAAAACATTCAATTATGCATAAACGATTCTAAGCATGCTTCCTAATGCTATATTTTTATGATAACGCAAAAAGCTGGCATGCCTTGAATAGCAAATACCATGTTCTTCCCACATAGTGTATGGGAACATACTATCACGGTCAATACGAGCTGAAACAGTTTTTCATGCTTCTTCGACGTGCCTGCCGATTTTATAAAGAGCAGTGATCCAATCTAGAAATGCAATATAAAGTTGAGGTAAACTTTCTGAAAATTGTATTTATATGCAGAAAATACCTGCAGCACCGAAGCATTATAGCAGATACAGCTTATAGCCTTTAAGAATAAAACAAAACACACAAGTGTGATAGTAATACAATATACAATAAGGGCTGTAAAAAAAAAAAATGATTGTAAAGAACAAAATTTTAAAATTAAGACCATGTTCCGAAAGAAATGTACCCACATCGTTATGCGTATGCATAGACCATTCAAAGAATGGTCTATGCGACTCAAAGGGACACTGACAGGGCATTTATGCTCACCGAGGTTTTTATTTGAACATGACCTATAAGAGCTTAACTACACAGAACACAATAGACCCTTTCCGAAATTCAGTGCCATCTGGTGGTTCGTAAAGCAGTTTAGGTTTTGCCATATCAATGGCAGAAATGAACTTGTATCGGCACCGTCACTTTCGCGAGTCAACAGCACGCGAGAAATTGTTCAGCGTGAGCTCTTTCTCGATCACTTTCAGTTCGATGGTGACCAAGAACCTGCATCAAAACAAAGCTCCAACCCACTCAGATGCCTTTAGAAAATTCTATACACCAAAGTGCTTTAAAGCCGATTGTGTGCCGCCCACAGATTGACTGAATCTGAGTTATTAGAAATAAACGCTTACGTAGCTCTTGTGTTCCATTCTTACATTCCTCGCATCATCCCCTTAGACAGCATCTTCAACGTCTTCCTTTATCAGTCACTAGAAGGCCGCCATTGGTATGGCACAGATGCTGTTCCACAGATGATGATAGTGATCAAAGTGGCCAGACTGAATTTCGGAAAGGGTCTATTCGCGGCTCGAAATTAGTTTTCTTTCCGCCCGAAAACAGCCGGTCGAGAATTGGCCGATTTGAGTCGTGCACACCGTCTTTTCCATGGTCACGTGGCGTTCAAACAGATACATACCAAATATATTCGAAGTCAAGGGTCATTCACTCAATGTTAAAAATATAAAAAACTATGAACCCCATTTTTGCGGCCTCCAAATTGATGCGACTCCGCAGCAAAATATTGATTGGCACCATATTAATACGAAAGCATTAACTGTTCCATGGAGCGAAGCCGTCAGTGTTGTCTGTAGACGTCTGCAGCAGCGAAACACCCCAATCTTTACCGAAAAGCACATACGGGGAGCGCTACGTGCTTTGCATTGTTAGCGGCACTAGTGACGCACTCCCCACTTCGCACTCTGCCGCTGCCGGACAGCTTACGCAACCGCAATCTTTACCAAGAAAGGCATGCGGGAAGCGCTATGTGCTTGTCATCTATCACGTGGCTTTGACACTTGTTTTGTGGTTTTCTTATTAAAAAAAAAGTGTCAAACCACACGATAAGAGATAAGGCACGTGCAAACAGTGATAAGGTGCGCGCTATGGTTTTCTGTCGACGGACACGGAAAAACCCGACCCACGAGTCATATACAACTTCGCTGTAAAACCCCAGACCAGCAGTTTCAGCTCATATTGTCCACGGGGGACGTATTGCAGCTAAGTATGAAAAGTTGGAGACCATGTACTGCACCAACTAAAGAAACTAATGCACAAGGCAAGCAGTCTTCTCACCCCCAGATGATCCTCTGCTTCTCCGTCTGCTGGTTGAGCCAGCGTGGCCACTTGTACTGGACGAGTTCATAGTCAAAGCCATATTCCTTGGCCATGTGGGGCAGGACATCCTGGCAGAGAACAGACACAGATGATTCAACATGCCACAGTCATTGGCAGCAATGTCCCGAGATCCTTCTAGAAGCAGTTCTTTACCCAACTATCACCAGGAGATCAGCTAGCTTCCATCTGAAGACACCTGAGGTTTTCTATGAAGTAGAGCTTATTTCATATGCTTATGCAACAATCATACTTCCGATCTTTAAAAAAAATATTTAAAGAAATAGCCTGCTATTTCTGCTTAGTCTAAACAAAAAGGGACCAGAAGACCACTAGATCTTCCCGAAATGTATTTAAGAGTCCTTTACTTTTTTGTTCAATATTCTCGCACAAGATTCATGCACCAGTACTTGCACTTGATAAAGTGGAGATTTGGGCCAGTTGGTTCACTGCAAACGAAAGACAGTGCCAAAGAAACACAGGGCTGAGTAGATAAGGTTAACAAGGTTTTTGTGGCTATATTAACTTGTCAATTTTCAATAAACTTCAGTTGAGAGTGCACCTTGTCCTGTTTCCCTTCGTCTGTGTCCCTGTGTTTTTTCGGCACTGTCACAATTCCCGTTCCCCTCTCCTCCTTGCAACGTCCCGTCGAGCTGGTGAACCGAAGCGAGGAGGAGAGAAGAGAGGCCGCTTCCCCTCATTCTCAAATTTTCCAGAAGGACAACGATGCCAAAGACTTTGCTTGAACGTGCCCTTCTTTTCCAAAAGTATGGCCATCCGTTTGAGATATCGATGTATGAGTAATGTTCTGGAGTTCGTAGCAGCCCGTTCAATGCTTCTGCGGCCTTATTTCACGAAAGCCAAACTTCGGTTCAGTATCCCTTCAAACTTCTAAGCCAGCATCCTGCTGTCAAGCTTACCTTAAACGTTGGAGACAGGTAGTTCTTCAGGAACCAGAACTTCACGGGGGTCTTTGTGTTCTTCAGCACACTCAGCATCATGATCCTAAACAGTGACAAAAACATCAATTCTGGCTGAGGTGAGGTTTTTGCCCAAACAAGAAAATGCTGTGACAATTTCCAGTAAATGAATAAATTCCATAAGGCCAACTTCATTTCCATAAAAAAAAAAAGAACATAACTTTAGACATAAACAAAAATTAGCCAAGCAGAGCTTAGTCATTAGCTTAATGCACAAAAACATTCTCTAATGAAGAAAGAAAAAAAGTAGTGAATTAAGTATAAAAAGTAGTCACGTGTGAAAAGTAGATTTGGAGTTTGAAGCGAATTCAAAGCAAATAGTTATTTTGGCTGAATATTTTGGTATCGAATATTGAATAGTTGCTGCGCCTTTCTCCACACCTTTCATTACTGTAACACCATGCTTAAACGAAAATTCAGCTGAACTCACAAAGGTTGTTACCAAATTTTAACTGCCCATTTATGAGCTCTGTTAAATGTAATCTAGCTATATTTATAGATTGTGGCCTCAGAAAGTCCAACACCTACATTGAGATGGCAAGTGAATGACAGATTTGACATAAAATTAAACCTATAAGTGAGCTCAGCCATACCTAATTGAAGGGATTTATACATCTTCTTGCTATATAAAAAACATTTCTTCAATTCTGAGTAAAAAAAAACAAGCACAAATAATGAACAGAGGATGTTAGAACTTTGCTGCCTAACATATACCTTTGCATAGTAGCCACAGTTAAATATTGAAGATTTTACTGCAATGTAAAAACCAACAATCACAATTCATTTCCTCTTCTTTTTCTTAATACACAAGGCTTGCACGTGCACTACGCCCCTTTAAAAAGCCCCTGAAAAGAAATTTTTTTTTTTTTTTTAAACAGCCTGGTTGGGATATGCGTGTCAAAAAATAAGTTGTATGCAACATTTTCTTTTTAAAGCAATATTGGCGGCGTGAGATTTATTTGAAATTCTGTGTGCAAAGCCCATGACATCACAGAATGGTCATTCACTCTTTCGACCTCAACGTGAAGGCAAAGCCGATCCACCTCTCCTCTACTCGCCCAAAATGCCCAGAGAAAACCAGTGGAAAGGAGATGACTACTGACTAAATCGCGTCTCACACCGTCAATATTGCTGTAAAACGTTTTCTTTTTGCGTAAAATTCATGTTTTGACACGCGTGTCCCTACCAATGTTAATTTTTTTTCTTTTTAGGGGTTCTTTAAAGGTGTTTTTTGCCTAAGCGCACGGCTGCACTGTGGCCAAGCAAGTTGCGAGATCACGGTGTCAGCCCTGGGGGTATTGCTTTTCCACAGTGCACCGGTGCTTGGAATGAAGCGCACTCAAGGAAGCTAACCTGCCACGATCAACACTTTGAAAGTACAAATATCACAGTTAATTTTGAAGCGAATATTAAATAGCACATTATTTAAAATTATTATTTGAAAATTAAAATATTCGTGCAGCCTTACCCTTCGCACACTAAACCTACGCATCCTAAAAAACAACAATTGTACTTTCTTAATTTTCAATGGCATCGCCAAGAATGCTATGTGCCAGACATTGCAGTTTTTTTTTTCGAGAACCCCTTTTGGCGCAGACATGCGCAAAATCTGCACAAATATAACCTTTGGAGCAGCATGTAGCAGGTTATTTGCTCTGGCACAGTTTGGCACAAATGGTGCCACAGTTCCACCATTGCTGTTTTTACTGAAGTGCTGGGGGTTAGCAATAAAATTAAACCAGTCACTTTGAGGCTCGTTTTTAAAAAGCAGGTTGAACTGGCCTCACCTGAGCAGACGCTCGTACAAATGGCCGGATGCGAGCGAGAAAATGTTGATCCTGTCTTCTTGCTCTTCGTCGTCCGTTTTCGGCCTCTCACCCACGATGGAGCTGAAGAACGAGGGTCGTGGTCACCAAACGTGAGCGGCCAAGCCACAAAACAAAAATCTAGCTACCCCACGGGCATGCAAGGTATACGTTGTCTGCTAACACCGATTGTGCCAACACCAAATAAAAACAAAGTAAAAAGTTTCCTCGCTCCTCCCGAAGACACAAGGGTGGTCCTGACTACGGGCTCACTTCCACAGTGCATGCAGACAATCACAGTGCAATTACAGACAGACTCATGATCTGACTGCCTGCATTTCCACACAAAAGGCGATAACACAAAAGTGCAGAAGCTCATTAGCCAAAGTAAGAAAGTCTCACCCATCAAAAAATCCTCTGCAAATGTGAAAAAGGCAATGCAGCGTCTTAGAACTAAGCAACCAGTTCAAAAAAAGACATTACTGAGAAGTGATAATGACTGACAGCGTGCACTGCAGCCTCATCCGAGTTCATGAGCAGAAGGAACTGGTGACACAAACGGAATGCGTTCCTCAATGAATGCATACTGAAGCAACGTTTTTTTGCGGCACGCAAAATGCAATAGAAAGGAGATTGGCAAAGCAGGACTGGCAGATGACACTGCAGTCATTAAAAAAAAACAGTTGTTAGTGAAAGAAATGACAAAATTCCCATCCCAAGAATTACGGCGGTGGTAATTTGTTACAAACTTAGTTGTTAAGAACACGAAGTGTACGACAAAACGACATGCATTTCTTGTGCGCGTTAACTATTTTTGAGAGGCCACTAAGCGGAAGTCCATTTCTTGATATTGCAAAGGTAATCCTGCAAGAGTCTGTAGCATTCTTTTTCTTAAGAGTCACTGTCTTTTACAACGAAACAAGGGACACAAAACGCACACATAAAGACTCAATAGCACATAATGTCTCAACCCTTATGCGAGCATTTGTGGCTTTGTAACACCAAAGCACAATGTTGAGTGGGCATAGGGTACACTTCATAGCTAAAATATTTAACTTACTTTTACTTCCATTCTGTAGGTTTCTTTAGTTTATCACTAGAAAGATTTTCATCTTTTCCCACTGTTCAGGATTTATCTAAGCGTACAATATCTAAAACTGGTACTATATAAATACTACCACAGTAGGCCTGCAAGAGTACAAACCCTGATATTTCATACTTCTGGTTAATTCAAACGAATTTAAAAATTTTCATTGCCCCGCTATATGTTTAATGTATTCAAAAACTGCTTAATTCGAACGGCGTTTCCGTGTAATTCATACCTTTTGTTCTCGCGGCCCCGTCGAGTGCGCTTCTTTCCGAGCACCAGTGCACTGCAGGGAAACAACACCGACGGAGCTTGCTTCCGCGGGTGTTGCTTCTCTGCAGTGCACCAGTGCACGGCGAGAAGCGTACTCAACGGGCTCAAGCATGGCACATATGAGCTGTGAAAAGGGGCACCACACGGAAATTTCCATAGCGAATTGCGCGGACGCTGTGACGTGGCGACATGGCATAGGCCTACGTCACAGCATCCGCGCAAGTTGCTATGAAAACTGTCGCGCGGTGCTCGTTTTCATCGCTCATGTGTCTGCCTAATAGTCCACCTTAGACAACTTCTTGGCCTGATGAACAAACTTATAATTTTGTTTGAGTTGTCATGTGCTGTCTAAACAGTAACACCATTTTTGAGGGATAAATAAGCTTACATCATACATTTTACAAATGTTTCATGCGTGGCATACCTGCCTATGATCAGTGGGACTTTGTTTGAAGTTTATTTGGTTTCTCACGAGCCAGGCCCGTGAGAAACCAAAGGAAATAATAAAATATCTACTTAGTATCTGTAGCTACTCACATGGCAAATAATAATTTTATCTTACATCAAATTTAGATGAATTTCTGATTATTCAGACTTCTGGTAATTCAAATGAAATTCGTGGCTTCCTGGGTTTGAATTAATGAGTCGACTGCACAACTTGAAAACCAACCAAGCTCACAAAGCGGACAAATTTTTAGTAAAAGCTAGTTTTGTTCTAACCGGGTTCAACTTTACTATGTGCGTCCTAGTGCTAGTAGTGTTATCCTGTACTAGACTTGGCAAAATCACACACAAACAAAACCAATTTAGTCCACTCATTTTTTGCCGACCGGTCTTATCTAATAGGGCATGTCAATCAGTACTGCTACTTTTATCAAGAGCACATGGCCTCGACCAGGCCCATATGAATATACGAGTAAACAAGACACAGCTAGAACTAGAAAGCATGAAAAGAAGAACAAAAGGTAACATATGCAAGGCGCTACATCGCCTAAAACCTACCAGTGGCTCTAGCGTTTGGCGTTAGTCGCAGCGAACAGCCCTTCCAGCTACTGCAACAATCCGTACCCGCAGTGGCAAAAGCTACGCAAAACGCGGAAACAGTCTACAGACCGCCGACGGGAGGAAGTCAGACCGGAGAAGTCAGGACCACCCTGTGTGCATCAGGCCCAAAGATAGATCCCAGCACCAAAGACAGACACTCGATTCCCCCAAGAGTCTACGAGAAGTACTACTAGCGAGAAGGATAGAAAGCCCGCTGACCTGTACACTGCTTTGCCTATCTGCTTCCATTCCGCTAAAATGCCACCGATTATAGGAATTCTGTTTTCGAGGCAAGAGACAAACAGGCAACCTTTAGAAGAGGCTTCTTACGGCAAGCAAATGAGTGCGCTCACGAACAGAGCCACACGCAAGTGCTTTGTTGGTAATTTCGACTGTGCGACAAGCCTGGCAGCAAACTTTGGAAACTTGCCCCGACGATAGTTTATGTGGGGAAAACCACAACTACAAGCTCATAGCTTAGAAATTAACACAATCACAAAAGCATATTAAAAAAAAAAGCTTGTGCTAGCAGTTTTTATTGCAAAATTATGTTTAAAGATGAAATAGAGGCTTTCTAGTTACGGGCAAGTGACATTCCCTCGAAGTAGGAACTTTGGGCTTTGCTGCCGAACTTTCCGAGGGTAGACACGTGGACGTCGGCAAAGCACTTGGGTTTGGCCTGCTAAGTTGTACTACAAGTGAGTTTAGAAGGAAAGCATCAGAGCAGCACAAAGCAGAAGTGGTGCACTGCAGAGAAGGTTCTCTCCCATTCAGTTCAACTAAAATTTTGCTAAAATTTCTTATTTCTTTTAAATTTTTAATTCAAAGGAGAATGCAAAGTGCTAGCAGACAACTTTAGAAAGGAAGTGGTGCGAACCTCAGACATACCGCAGTTGCCTAAGTTGCCCTCCCAGGGCAGTTCAAATTCAAATGTTAGGCATTTAAGGGTGCATTTGAGTGCTGTCTCAGTGCAAAGAGTAGTTCAATTAAAACGCCCAAGAAATGCTGTAAAACGAACGAGCAACTCCAAATTTCAGTCTAAGATTGCAACTCTAGAGCCTACCGCGATTTGGACCGTACAAGAATTCATGGTGCGTGCAACGTGTGCTCAAAGCAGAGAAAAGGTGAATTAGTAAAGCAGCACAGTAAGCAGACATTGAGGAGGCATTCGGTTGTGCGAGATAACGGCTCAGCGGGTGTTTTGCTCAAGTACTACAAACAGAAAATGCGACATCAGAGATTTTGGACTACTGAGTTCTATGCAGTGTTCAGTAACAGCCGGCAAACGTACTGCGTGAAGGAGCTCCAGATGTCATTTGGATCTTCATCGCCGTCGGAGAGCAAGTCTTCGTTTTGCTTTCCAGGTTTCTTGCTCACCTAGATCACATGCAGGAAAACAAAATCCAAGACTAAGATTGTTTGAACGTAGTGTTTAGCACACTAAGTGTGATTCATAAATTCGCTGCGGTGGCGGCTGTACAATTCTTCAGAATTTCCCTGTAGTTGATGACCCATCAGTTGCTCTGCCCTTATTGTCAAAAGAAAGTAAAAATATTCTGGGTGCCTTTCATTTTCACTTACTTTAACCTTGAGGACGTGACTCCGGAAGCTGTTGATCATGACCAGGACTTCGTCGGAGTCCTGGGGAGAGTCGGTGAACTCGTGGCTGTCGGAAAAATGAGACCAGTCTCTTGTGTATAGCTCCACGCATGCTAAGCCAACTCAAAAGGAACACCACTAGCTTTTAAAAGAAGCTTACATAGCAGCCCAACAGTAGTATGAACATTGAAGTTGAATGTCCAGACCCCAAACAAAGCAAAGGAAAAGACACCACCCAAGTTCTGTGCGACTCCTTCCAACATGTTTCAAACTATCACAGCCCACACCCACGCAAGAGATGTAGGCTTTCATACGGTGTTTACAATGTCGCCCATCCACTTTAATAACCAGGCAACTACATTAGGCACGGAATGAAGAAATCGTTTACCATCATACTTTTCCCCGCCCTCACCTTCCGAGAGAAGGATCTGAAAATCACCTGGTGACGTCGTAGAGTTCGCTGGAACGTCCCTGCCTCAGCCGCAATGTCCACAGGCCCGGGTTGGCCTTCAGCTGGAAGTAGCCCTGCAGAAAAGGAGTCGATGGTCACATCGAGCCTCGCTCCGATTTCTTTGCCCGTCTCCAGACCGCAGCCGCTCTGGCGGACTTTGATGCCCGAGGAGGTGGCACCCACCAGGTTTGCCATGACGATGGTGTCTGCCACCACGGTGTTGCTCTGGGTGCCGAGGTTGAACTGTAGCCCCCTCGGAGGGTTGCCACTGGACTGCTCGAAGCAGTGTCCTGTCGGAAAGGGGCCAGAGGTGAGAAGAGGGCGTGGCATTGGAGAGCGTGTGATTGCTGTCGGAATGTTTCTCACCTTCAAGCAGGAGATGTTCCAGTTCAAACTCGGCATGGACGCGACTCTCAACCTGCGAGAAAGGCGTGGTGATCGAGGCACAATCAGACCCATGCATGACAAAGACTAGTGATGGGTCGAATTGGCCCAAGTTTCTATGCAGCAGAGCTTGGCACGTAATGAACCTTAGGAGAAAAATTATTCGCAGATCCGGCAGGCAAAGATTTGGCCAACGCCATCACTAAACCGTCACTAACAGGCACAAAATCTATTCGAAGTTTCTATGCAGCGGAGCTTGGCACATAATGAACCTTTGGAGAAAAATTATTCGCAGATCCGGCAGGCAAAGATTTGGCCAACGCCATCACTAAACCGTCACTAACAGGCACAAAATCTATTCGTTAGAATGAGTCGTGTGTAAGTGGATTAACCCTAGCATACAATCAGTCTTACAAAAGATTCAATCTTTTTTTTTTTTTTTTTATAGAGTTATCATAGAGACGCTACAACTTCAACATATATTAGAGCACTAAAAGTGAACTCCCTTCACAGACGTTGCAGATGTTTTCTCCAATGGAAGTAAACATGCACAACTGAGAATGATATGGAGGGCTTCAGTCCCAGTGTCATACTGTCAACATCTCCTGGTTTGTAATAAAACCAATAGTAAACCAAATTCTATAATGTTCCCACAAAGACCTTCTGTGCATCATTTTAGCTACAATAACTCAATATCCTGTGCACTCTCATATTTTGTATATCAGCCATTTTGTAGGCAAAAAACAATCATCCACAGGAAGAACCTCAGAGTGGCAATCAATATTTTGAAAACACGGCAGAGTCTACGACAAAGAGAGAGTTATGTCGGTAAAGCTTACCCAAAATAAATAGTTATTGAACACTAACACCCAAAAATTAAAGGCCTAAAGGCCTAACGCATGCCTTCAAACTTCACCAAACAGATTAAAAAAACAACCTACTCTCTATTCTTCCATTTTCTCAAGCTTATTTCTACCTTATTCCCAGATGGTCAATCCCTTTGGCCAAATTCATCAAAAAGATGGCTACCGTCGTGAGGATGCCACTTCAAGCACACCAATAGGTGATATTAAGCAAGGTTCCGTGTTTTCAAGCTCAACGTTTTTTTTGGAGGTGTTTTTTTTTAGGGGGGGGGGGGGGGGTATTTTTTCCACAGATTCAGTGTCAATTTTAGAAGTCGGACAAAACATGAGCGGTTATCGGGGTCCGTGCCAAAGCAAACGGGACGCGGGCACGGGTTTCTCCAACCTCCGGGGAATGTGCGCTTGGAAAACGTCCAGCCTCACAGACACTTGAGTGAGAACTGTCTCGTGGGTCAACACAAAAGAGAAACTGTAGACAAACATTTCTTCCCGTAATTCTTTTTTTAAATTTTTTTGTCATTTAAAGATTTTTTTTCCCCCCTATTTTGGCGAGATCAGCACGGGAGTGTTTCTTTGGAGTTTGTCGGTATAGTGGACTGAAAACAAGGAGCCCCAGCGATGAGCGAGGATCCCACCTGCTCCATGTGGATGTTGTCGAGGTCGTAGGGGGACCGCACGGCTTCCACCAGCCAGTTCTCCGGAGTGGCCATACCCAGAGTGAGCAGGGGAGACTGGGGCATGTTGACAAACTTGGCGTACGGCCCCTGCCCAAACTGGCCGTCCAGGCCAAACGAGGGCTCGGACTCCAGCACAAAGCGGTAGTAGCTGCACAGAAGCGAGAGGTCGACGCATTTCACCATCCGAGCAGAGTTACCCAACTTCTGACCGCGCTGTGAACAACACATAGCCTAGCTTAAACGACTTTTGTGTGGTTTGTAGCAGAGTAAAATACACCCTAAAGAAAAGAAAATTTATAATTCTTTTGTGCAAGGTACTTGATTATGTTGTCAGGACAGCACCCAAAACGCTTTTTGTTGCAATCACATACTGTCGAGACCGGTTATAACGAAATCAGCGGGAATTAGAAATCACTTCGCTATATCCGCTATTTCGTTATAACCAACTTCAGTTATAACGAAGTGCAAAAGGGAATGAGAAATCGTGATCACTTCGCTGAAGCCGCTATTTCGTAATAACCGACTTCGTTATAGCCGGTCTCGACAGTATGTGCTGAGCAAAAACAAATTCTATTATTTTTATTAATCACGATGGCTTCCTATTTCTCAAATGTTATAAGTTCTATGTTGTCATCCCACGTGCACAGGAAACCCTGAGTGACCATTCCTTGATCACCAAACTCACTTGAGGAAAAAAATTTTGATTTGATTTTGCAAATATATTTTTTAGTATGTGGGTCTTATAGGCCATGTTTCCGTAATCCAGTCCCGCATAAATGCCTCGTCAGAGGCCCTTTAACCTTGTGCCAACATTCTGCTGATGCCATTCAAGCATGTAACTTGCACAAAGTTCGCACAAACTTGGCATGTAGCTGGCATATAGCTGGCACTAAGTTGGCACGAAGATGGCACGAAGCTATCATTTGAGGATGATGGGGTTACCCACCTCTTGAGGGGCATGTCCGAGTGCTTGTCGACGCAGTTGAAGAAGATCTTGACGTTGGCGTTGATGACGTTCTGCAGCACCAGCAGCAGCTGGGAGACCTTCTGGGCTCCGCGAGACACCGGATCCACAACCGCCACCACCTCGTGGGCCGGCTCCTCTGGCTGCGACGCCGGGATTTTCAGGACGCTGAAAGCATGGGTGTCTGCCTTTAGCTAACATAGAAAATACTGAGATAAGGCTCACAAATCCATGACCTACAGCCAGGACTCTGTAAGGTAATTGAAGAGCATTTCCCATACACTGTTTTCAAACAAGGACTCAAAATAGAGTGTGGTGTGAAAAAATCTAAAAGACTGGTTGCAGTGCGAGAGCAGGTCTTTCTTCTACATGACTGGATCTGCCTCCTTTCCCTGGCACAAAACCCTCCTTCAATGTACCCCCCCCCCCCCACCCCCCCAAATGTTTGCTTGTGCACTTTGTGCATTATCTACTTCGCACAATATACAGAGATCTACATTTTCTGCAAAGCTGCTGCCTGCAGCAAAGAATGAGCTTATGGCATATTCACACCACAGAATTCTTTGCCATAAACAAACCATAATGCCCTAATTGCATAAAAAAACAGATAGATTACATTCGGGTGCAGGAGTGCAGGAGAAATGAATGTTTAAAAGCTCCACCACTAAACCTTGCCAGTATATCTGTGGGTGCTGAATTTATAGAGCAGCACAGAAAATCACAGTTTAGAATTTTTTGTTTTTTTTGATAGGTAGGGGTTTATTTGATGAAGAGAACTGTATGATAGGTTCCAAACTAGTCTGCAGAATCTGAGAGAACAAGAACCTTTCAGCCTTTCCACTCTGGTGAAGAAGGAAGACCAGCGGAGCTGTACTATGGTGGGACGACCTCAAGGACGACGTCTAGGGCGACCTCAAGGACGACTTCTAGGACGACCTCGAGGATGACGTCTCAAACAACCTCGGGGAAACTGTCTCGGTAGACCTAAAGGATGATGCCTGGGACGACCTCAGGGACGACATCTAGGACAATCTCAAGGACGACTTCTAAGACAACCTCGAGGACAATGTCTAGGACGACCTCAAGGACGACTTCTAAAACGACCTCGAGGATGACGTTTAGAACAATCTCAAGAATGACTTCTAGGACGACCTCGAGGACAACCTCTCGGACAAGCTCAAGGACGATGTCTCGGACGACCTCAAGGACAACGTCTAGGACGACCTTAAGGATGACGTCTAGGACGACCTCAAGGATGACTTCTAGGACGACCTTGAGGACAACGCCTAGAGGACGTCGTCCTTTAGGCATCGTCCTCGAGGACGACTTCTATGACGACGCCTAGGGAAATTCAGCCTTTCCACTCTGGTGAAAACAAGAGTGGAAAGGCTGGAAAGGTTGCCGCCATCTATGAGTGACAGCGGCAAGCAGACAACCGGCAAGCGGGTTGTCTGGTTGCCGCTGTCGCTCATTGATGGCAGTAGCTGTCAGAGTTTTGTGTCAAGATTTTTTTTTTTGTCCACGGACACAAAACTAGAAGGACTAGCCCTTAACAGCTCCACGGTAAAAATTGCTGTGCACATTGCCCACATTGAAAATCCCACTGTCCCCGACTCACCTTTTCTCTTCCCCAAATGACAACACAGAGTGCCTGGACTTGGTCTGCATGTGCGACAGCAGAACGCAGGCAGTCTTCATGGCGAGCTCACTGGAATACAAAACAAAGCCGAGGCTTACATTACTTAAAAGCATAGCTTGACATCATCAGGACGACATGACAGGGACTCCAAGGTCAAGCAGGTTTGCAAGCGTTCGAGCAAGGTTAATGGGGGCAGACATCAAATCGCATCTCATCCTGTTTGTTTCGAAGCGTGCAAGTCCACAGCCCTGCTGTTGTAGAAAGTGTCTGCATCTTTCACTCTTGACGACATTGCTCAACCGTTGAACGACTAGGATTCCATGTTTTCCGAGTTTATTACTCGTGAAATTCGGAGGGTGTTTTTCAGGGTTTATTTTTCGCTAAAAATTTGGGGTTTATCGGAGGTAATTTTTGTTAGATTCCCAATTCTTTGAAATTCAGAGTGTACAGTGTTCTTATATTTAAGAAATACAAAAACAAAATAAACAAAGTCAGGGTATCATGAACCATTGTCCTGAAAAAATCTTGACGTGCTAAAAGCAAATCTTTTTTGTCAGTAGTTCTAGACTTCAAAGGAAACTGAAGTGGTATCTCCTCAAGAAAACTGACCTTGTGCTCTTATAAAACTTATACGCAAAACACCCTCCTTTTTGCTTTTTATTTTGTTGTTGTGACCTCAGAATTTGGAGTTTTTCGGATAAATCCGAATTGACAAAAAATTTACTGGCAAGCGTTTTTTTAATTCATTCCCAAAACACGGAACCCTATGGATGACACATCATATAGTAATTCAGCCTATTTGACTCTAGAAAAAAATTGGGCAGATTTACTTGTTTGTACAACACGTGAAGAGCAGATTGGTTATGAACTCGGTATTTCCCGAGTCCCAAGAGTTATAGGGCTTCATCGGTACGTCTCAACGGTTGACTACATGCGTGATCTGCAGAAGGGTAGGCACACGACGTCCTTATGTTGATGTTGCTTTTCTGCACATACCTGTCGAGTTCAGAGGGTTCTGCTCCCTCCTCAGAAATAACTTCCTTGATCTTGGTGCCATAAGTGCTCATGGAGTACCTCTCCATCAGGTTGAAGTCATCAGTGTTGAATTCCTCGCCATCTTCCAATGGACCAATCACCTATGCAGGCGCAGAAAAAAAATCAACAACAACATGATCAGAGCCTGCTGACTTCCAGAACTATGACAAGCACTCCTATGAAATCTACAAACTCGAGATGGTAGCTCGACAAAGAGGCGCCACCGTGTGTACAGTTGCACAGCAGGAGCATCGTAGAAAGAATTAAGCTCATGCACGCAAGTTTTAGATAATTCTTTAGTGGAGTACGATGGACAAGTTGTAAGTGTGGAATTGCTATAAAAATAGTTTGGAGGTTGCACTGTTGTAGTACCTGCATTCCAGGGTACTCTCACTATTCCAAGAAAGTTGACCTGCGGATAGCTTGTTCAATCAGCAAGTGTTCATAAGGTGCTTAGAAAAAGCAGATGGAAGGTGCAGGAGAAAAGAAAAAAGTAAATTTTCTAAAAAAGAAAAGAGACGATTAAAATCTTATATATGGATGGGCGAGTGGGAGGGTCGTCGAGAATAGATTCCTGTGGTCGCAGCACAGATTCAATAACTCATTTAGCATAATATCCATGCAAATCTACCCTTTCCAATAAGCTGCTACTTAGCCTGTTCAAAATTTTACTCTCATAACTTTTTTTTTTTCTAAATGTCCACTCAACAGACCGATCTCGTCAAGCGTTCCACGCACTGAGTCACTGCCATCTCTTTCATTCACAGGAAGCAAGCGGCAGGTCGCCTCATGCTCTGCACGCGCAGACCCTTAGCAGGGTTATCGCGCATGCAGAAAGGTTACAATTTCCACGATGCATGCCAGCAGAGGAGGCATAACAAACTAGCAGGTGAGATCGGTCTATTCCTTCAAAATATTGAAGCAAATGATTTGCTAGTCACACTGTTCGAGGGCGGAATTATGCTGATTTGCGACATACCCGGCCGTTGATGACCACAGCTCGCTCCGTGGGACCGAGCTTGAGGGCCAGCCTGGCGAAAGAGCTGTGCCACCCGAGGAAAGCCCCGTCGCAGTCTTCGAGGGCCTTCTTGAAAGCCTCGGGCTTAGAGTTCTGAAAGTAGGGCAGGTAAACCAGCAATATAGTAGCCGGAAAATTTATTTTAGAAGCACCTCTATTCGTGAGGTCAACTAACGAAAGAGGAACTTTACTGTATCTGCATTTCAGAGTTCACGACAGCACTTCCTAAGCCTTCACAACCAATAAAATACAAGCTTACACCATTCCAGTACTTTGCATTAGCTTAAAAATAAAGTTACATTAAGAAAAAACACAAGAAGTGCTCCGGTTCTTTATTGAACTGAGGACCGCCAGGCCACAAACGCTTCTGTCTCTGTCTCCTCAACAATTAAGGGCATCATTGTTTACTCGTATAAATAGTAGACCCCGTTTAGTCTAAGCACATCTAAATGCTTGCACAGCACGTTCACTTTATATTAAGTATCTCAGATGCTTGTATTACCGGCATACATAAATATTTCTGTACTACTGCGTCCATATCTTCACTACACACTACATGTCTTTCCCATAGAAAGATTCCACTTAACACAAAAACTAATCAGCTCGCATTATAACAACATTCGAGGTACCTACATCATAGAAGCAAACCCAACCAAATTTGATGCGTGTTTAGACAGCGTAAGGACAGTCTGCGTTTGAGGTGCGGCGATGCTGGCTTATGCTGCCGGGAAGAGATTTAGCCAATAGAGTAGGACTGCTAGACTGGGGTCTTTAATGTGCACCATGCAGTAATGATACACAACCACACGCTGGTACGATGCTCGTCCAGATTGAAACGGGCAGGGGTGGAGATCGAGCCCAGGATTACCGGGTTCCGCAGTGCAACCTTTCGCTCCCCGCGCTCCAAGCTGGTGTACATAACATGCACAGCCACCGACACCCCACTGCAAAAGTACTGACGCGGCAGAAGGGTACCCACCGGCGACAGAAGCTCCTCGGCCGCCCTCTTCCTGGCCAGGAAGTCGTCGTAGTTCTTCTCCTTGAGCAACTTGCGGATGAAGCTGGCCGCCTCGTCCGACGGCAGCGATTCCAGCGCCGTCCACACGGCCCTGTTCACAGACCGCTCCTGGCGACCCTCCGCCTCGCTCGGGTTGAAGATCACGCCGACGCGCATCTCGTTGGTCTCCATCTGCGCGGAAACAGTGTTTAGTTGACGGCCCAACTACAATGCCTGGAACGTATCTTCCACGGGTGCACTTCGGCATCCTATGCGGAGCCCAAGCTCGTGAGGCTTCTATTGTAGGGGTTGTGGAGCACGCAGAACACCTAGCTCTGACTGGCTCTGATTGAAGGACAGTGGGTAGACCTCAATGCTAGCTGCCTTGAAGTCTACCCACTATCCTTCAGATCAGAGCCTATCAGAGCTCGACGTTCCGAGGTCACCACAACCCCTGCCAAAAAAGCAAACAAACTTACACTCCGAATTGGCGGTCCCAAAGTGGCAAAGAATGACGTTGCGGCAGCCGGCGCGTCGTGCTGTGGGACGTCGCGACCTTAGCGGTCAGTCGCGGAGCTTTTGCGAAGATTACAAGCGAATGAAAGTGCCGCCATCATCGTTGCGGCGCTTCGACTCGCTCGCTGAAGCTTCTGCGAACCGAAACTGGAGGGCGACCCGCAGCGGAAAGGGCTGCGTCGCCGCCAGGATTCTGGCGGCTGATGGCGGGACTCTCTCGCGACGTCGTTGGGTGGAAACCGAGGAACCACGAACGAAGACGTGGCAAGCAAACCGGTCGCACATGCGTTACGGGCACCATAGTTTCTGGTCGAATAGCGTGGTTTGCACTTCGTAAAATGTAATATGAGTGCGCAATGTCACAAGGGGCACGCGGGGTTCGTCTCGCGACAAAGAGGCTTACGTCCGCCGTTGACTTGCTCGTGGCTGCCTGAAAGAAGCGGACGAGGCGGCACGCTGTTAGACGCAAGATGTACCTCGATCTCTCCACACCGTTACCGTATGCATCATTTTATAGTTCTTCCAAAATGGCAGCGTTCGACGAGTGTAATGTCATGCCCGTTAAAACTGCTTCCTCGGCACAGCTGACCCAAGTGACTGAACTAAGTGAGACAACAATTTGCTAATTACCGTATTTTCCGGTGTATAAGTCATAGCTTTTTTCACATTTTTCTTGGTGAGACTTATAAAACGATGCAACTTATATGCATATTTTCTTTTTATATTCACGTTCAGACGTTATTTTTATAAGTGCCGCTTGCCATCTTTTGCAAAGCACCGCAACTACGTAGCCATAGGTGGTGTTGCCTCCTCCAGGAGCCATTGCTGTTGCCACACTTTTTTACGCACTTTTCAGAACTGACTCAGAAAGCGAGAGATTTTACAGTTTCCCCGAAGAGGCTCGATCTGGATAGGCAAGACAGTGAGAATAATGCTTTGGCAGCATGTGATCAACACTGCCTAATTCAGACATGGTTCTGTATTCTGTTGCCTTAGTTCAGTAACACTGAAAGGTAAGAGGGCTGGTATACACGCATTGCAGAAACTTTTCTCGCGTCTTTCTTAGTTTTCCTTTGATGAGCAGTTATTGCAGCTAGCTGATCTTTTAGCGGTACCGAAAGTGTGTCAAAATTTATATATACGCCTGTATTTTGATGCTTGTGTCGTCTCTGTGACTTGGCCTAGGCTAGGCCTGGTGGTCCAAAGCTTGGTTCACGAATGCCTGGCACGTTAAACTTTCGTTCGCTCAGCATGTGTACACTCGAATGAAGGCGACTATCTGCTCATTTTGCACAGTTTACGTTTTTTTTTTGTTTTTTTTTTGCAAAACATTTGGTTGCTTTTACCAGACAGTGTTGTGCTTTGGGCATTTCACGCAAGTCGAAATGTCGAAGTTGTTGTGCGTCAAACAGTATCTGTGAAGTAGCTACCGATTGTGCAAAACTCTGCTCTCCCTATGCGCGTAAAACGAAAAAAATGAATCGCGTAAACTGTGCAAATAGGTACGACTTACATACCAACTTTTACACAAAAAAGGCTAAATATATGGAAGTGTGACTTATACAAGGGTGCGACTTATAGTACGGAAAATACGGTAAGTTAAAAAAAAGTATGGATCACGTTTCTGATGCTAAGCTTCCTAGCTCGAATGACTAGAATATTAAACGGTGCTCCTGCATAGAATATGCACACCACTGCAACTTGTTGGTGGCAAATAGATGAGCAAGTGAATATGGCAACTTTTACACAGAGAGATGACGGCTGTTTGACTGGCATTTTCCTTGAACAAATGTGCGGCATCAGTGTGACATTAAAAGTCGTAGTGCAAGCATGCAACATACGGGCAGGTACTACTATGCTCTGGTAGTAAGTGAAATGCTCCATACTGTATCGTTATTACTTTCCCTTTCTTGTGAAAGTAGATGACTGCGAAGGTTTCTCCAAAATGAGGCTGCGACAACATGCAGGGAAACAATATGCAAAGATGCGGGACCGGTGCTCACAAAATGCTCCAAGGCGCTGCTCAGGAGGAGGCGGCCCGACGGGGTGTCGAAGTCTCCAACCACCCAGGCGGTCAGCGGATAGTAACGGGTTTTCTCTGGAACACAAGCAGAACGTTGGCCTACAATTAGCTAGCTGCACTAAAAAACCGTTTAGTTCTGCGACTGACTCATGTAGCTCCCAGTGGTTTTGTTTATAAAAATTGTGGCAACCGTATTTACTCGAATACCAGTCGACCATGAATATAGGTCGATGCTTTTATATTAAACTCGCCTAGAGTAAAAAAAAGTAATAGACGATATGCAAAACTGCTTGGTGGTCTGGCAGCACTGTGCACGCGGCCATCTTGGTAGCGTCGAGTATCTTGAGTTTCAGTTTCTCGGCATTTCCAGGGCATGAACACTCTGCCACTAAGTGTGATTCGAAAACTTTATTGTTTTCTGACTTGCGATCTCACAATGCCAAGGACTAGGCCCTCATGCCTTTCATCTCTGAGGAAACATTTAATTCTTTTTTAGATGCAAATGCGCATGAAGTCGGTCTGTTTAACGGTAGACTACTCCACACCAATACATGCGAATAAAGGTTAGTCTTTTTAATGCGAAAGCATTAACTGTCTCATGGAGCGAGCCGACATCATTGGTGTCCGTGTCTCAACTGCTATATAGGTTGCTCGGGACTACCCTAGTCAAGCTGTGTTAAAGCTTTTTTCCCTTTTCACCTTCCAACTGTAAACTGTTGGCAAAATAAAGACATCTATTATTATTGTAATTATCATCAGTTTGAAGTGCAAAAACGGCACCTTAATTCCTTGCTCCAAGTGCAGCCAGCTCCGAGCTATGAAACCACGCAAGAAGCCTATTGGCAACGTGACCGACCGAAAGCGTCGCTGTGGTCGGCCCTCCACGATTGGCCAAATGCTGACTTTGACATCAGCAAAGGATTCCTCATCGACGGAAATAAGAGTAATGTAAGAAATTTGATTTTGACAGTGTTGGTAGCATTGGTCTAAAAGTGCAATGATATCCAGCTTCCAGCATGCTGATTACAAACACCATTGAACTTGTCGTTCATGGGGTAATGACGTCACGAGAGGTAACCATAGGAGGGCGCCACCCAAACATCTCGCCGCTATAGACACGGCACCTAGTTTCCCCGATCCCAAAGGAGCGAAGTAAAGCTTATGAATTTTCGGCTTCGGTCCCATTGCAAAGAGCTCAAATTGGTTTCAGATAGCATTGACCTCAAAAGCACAGTTGACGGATGTTGCACTATTAATGAAGATTTGTTCAACCCTGGCAGAGTAACTGCATTGAGTTTCTCAAAACTACCCCTTGAGCTTTTTAGCACTAAACAAAATTTTTACCTCAACCAAGAAAAAAAAAAGAAAGAAAAAAAAAGAGAAGATTGCGAAATAAAATTGGCATCGCCCGTGTTGCTCCATTCGACGTCCGCAACGCGAGTTTTCGCCGCCGGTGACAACAAATTTTTAGCCACTGTGATGAACCTAAGTCAAACGACACGTTCGACAAAAAGGACAGCAAAATCCCGTCTCTTAGAGCAGGGGTTCTCAAACTGGGTTCCGTGAAACACAGTGGTTCCACGAGCTGGTCTCATGGGTTCTGCGAACACCCAAAATGCAACCCCCCCCCTCTCCCCCTCCCCCCCCTCTCCCCCGCCGCAGGCTGCGCGGCAGGACCATGCGAAGCGCCTTCATCTCACTTTGTACTGACATCACGATTGATATGGTGGGGTATACGGGAAGCAACACAAGCAAAATTGCCTACAATTGTGCATCTGTTGCTTCTCGGTCGGCAAATATGGAGAGGGGGGGGAGTGTTTTGCAGCAGTTTTTGAGGCTTCCTGGGGTTCCACGAGACCAAAAAGTTTGAGAACCCCTGTCTTAAAGTGTTGACACAGTTTTAAGTCCCACATCCAGGCTAAAAACTGGCAACAAGCTTACAATGAAAACATTTAAGTAAACTCACCTTTGGGGTATAGGTAGAGCAGGTGCGATGCAAACGTCGACACCATGTCCGGCATCGTCAAGGCAGCAAAATCCTCGAGGGACAATCCGACAACTGCAATGCCACAAGAAGAACACAGGGATGTTGCATCGACATGCCAGCCAAGTTTCCAAGGTTTCCGAATTCTGGAAGGAGTAGACCTCTTTCGAAACACCATCGATCAACGTTAAAGGAGCTGTGCAACGATTTTAACGTTGAAAGAATTGGCATCTTCTGCTTTTGATATTGTTCACCTTGTCACAAATGACAGAAAACACACCTCCTTTCATCCAAATGTTGCGATTCCGCCGCGTAATAGCGAGGCAAAACTTAGAATATTCCCCGACCTGCAGCCGCGAGCAGCGGCCATGAGAAACACGCGGCGTGACGTCAAAGGGGAATCTTGTAGAAAGATAGCAATTTGTGCGAATACCTGCTCGATAAAAGTAACTTTTCTGTAAATCTTGTCGTTCCAACATATATATATAAATGCGTCAAGAACCTGGTATCATCGACAAAACTTTTATTATACAGAGTTTTAGTGGCGCCATCTATCCCAGGTCCACAAAACCGCCAGCTCTCTCTGCTACCGCGAACACCCGCCAGAAGCCAAAGGGAGAGGGGGACAGGGTTGGACCCGGATGAGACTTTCCTCCTTTCACCATATTGTTCGCGCGGCACCCGCCAGCACGTGGTCACGCGGTCGCGAGCGGATGAGTTCTCGCTGCTCACTGATGGCTCTAAAGAGAGAACTTTTCCGGAACCCCGTGCCTACCCCCTCAACGTCACTGCGCACGTGACCCGGAAGACGACGTACGAGTTGAGAGGCGGCAGAAACCTGGATCTTTAACATTCTTGTAAATAAAAGCCAGGGTATCCAGGCAAAATCTGTTTTCAGTAGTTCACTTCAGAAGTGTCAGGCATCAACTTCCACAATAATTTAATAAGCAAAGCCCTGAAATTGTTGCACAGCTCCTTTAAGAGTCGCCATTCCTCGGGCACGAACCGTGCAATTGGACCAGAGGCCTCGCTGAACATCGACGCAGCACTCATTCTCTACACGAGCAGAGAAGAGTTCACACCGAACGCTAATGTAGCCCTCGTGCCCAATACATGCTCAAAGTATGCAACCAAACGTAATTGGTGGAGCAGCTGGTACATGGCGCACACCTTAGAAAAGGGTTTATGTGGAACCAAGTGACGCATTGACTCTACCGTGTGAAATTCCGGCAAATATAGTTTTCTGAAGCAATCGTAAGTATGTTTCGAAATGCGTGACCATTCGATCGATTACGATAGGTAAACAAGACGCACACATGCAGATACACGCTGCGCGGAGGTATCGTTCTGAATCTATGTACAAAATGCTGGAGTTCTAGCCCGCTTGTCAGTTCCCACTCACGGTGAATCTGCGAGTTGTGCTCGGAAAAGGGAAAACGACGAAGGGCGGCAAAAGGGGGAAGGCGAGAGGGTCACCGACCGACACGGCCGGTCATGTCCAGGTAGTTGGCCCCGGGGGAGAGGATCTTCTGGTTCAGGCGAGGCATGATGTTGGGCTGCTCCATCAGGAAGTCCAGCACGTCCTGGGAGTCGTTCAGGTCTCCCTAGAAGTGGGAAAGAGTGCAGTCGGCCGTCAGAGAAAGCTTGCAAGGAACCAAAGTGCGGCCCCAAGGCTTTAAAGAAGTTTGCCCACTCCTGCTCTAGGGCGCATAACTAACGAGTTATTTTGTAATAAAAGGGACAAAACACAGACAGCATAATAAACCTAAATTACAGTGTGGCAGAGTACCAGTAACAAGGTACTGATATCCTAGTACTGGTGACAGTATCATACAGTACCAACAACTAGGTAATCATACAGCCCTAGCAGCAGTGTGGTAGAGTACCAGTCAAATTTGGGGGTTTTACGTGCCAAACCAACGACGGGCATCTGGCACGCCCCAGCAGAGGACTGGGGATTAATTTCAACCACCTGGGGATCTTTTGACGTGCAACCGAAAGCTCGGTTACACGGCGCCTTCTCCGCAATAAGCCTCCGTCAGATTGCGGGCACCTCGGCCGGGATTCGAACCCGCCACATGGCGATCCGTAGACCAGCGCTCTCGCCTCGGAGCCACCGAGGTGGCTTTGGAAGAGTACCAGGAACAGGGGTGGAACTCATGAAATGTATTTGGGAGCAGCCACGGGAGCAGCTGAAACCGCTGTCTTGGAGCAGGTTGGGAGCAGTTAAAACTCCATTCTGGAGCAGGCTAAGAGCAGCCCAGATCAGTTTGCATTGCACTTCAGCTTGTGTCTTAGACGAGCATGGGAGCAATTTCAATTGTGCTTAGCAGCACAGATGAACATGAGTGGTTAGGAACCTATGTAGATGGGATAACAGTAACAGGTGCAAGACTTGGCCTTAGTGAGAACCAAAAAGCAAGTACCACATGTTTCTGAAGATAGTGTCCTTGATATTTTCTGAGTGGCTTTCAGCTGCTCAAAATGCAAACCAGCACTGTTTATAGCACGACCAACACGTGCTCGACATAGTAATTACATGTGCGAACCACGCGACGTGCGTAAGCAACGGACGTGTAGTTGCACGGAGGAACAGGGCAACAAATTTTGAGTCTATCCTATTGTACAACTCAATATCTAAGCATCAGACTGCGATTAACAAAGTTATCATATTCTAAGCGATGGGCCAGAGCAAGATTAAAGTACGCCGAGCAGATCTACCGCTCGCGTGAGAGCTGCTGGCCGGCAAGGATTCGGATCGGACAGCGTTTCAGTTCAATCAAATCATGACTTGTCTTGCAAGTATGCGGTTCTAACTTCCAACGATGAAGCACTAGAAGGAATCTTTCGCTGATGTGTTTTCAACTGGCTGAAGTCCAGAACCCGGGCCGCACACCCTCAGGCTATCCGACGCTTAACGACTCGATCTCACCTCGGCCGACTTGCTTAACAGCTTATGGTTGAAGAATAACAATCCAGTCGCAGGCGAGTTTTTTTGCGTGCTTCCGACTCGGGATACACAGGGAGAAAAAAGAGAAGAAAGGATTGCAAGTCCGACCAAGCTAAACGCGCTCATTGTTGCCAATTGAGTCGATACATAATCCAAAACCAAGACAAAATACAATTCCTTTTTTTTTTTTTTTGGCGCACGTTGTGCGATTTGGTGCATAATGGCGCAAGGTATTGGCTGTGGCGCAGTTTCCGCAAAATGGCGCAGGATGGCGCAGAAAAATGCGTCTGGCGCAAAATGGCGCAAATGGCGCAGCCGTTCCACCCCTGCAGGAAGTAGGTAATGATTCAGTACCAACAGTAAGGCAGGGTACCAATAACTAGGTAATGCTACAGTACTCATAGAGTGGAAACATGTGGACCTGATTACCAATGTTGCAAAGACCTCAAAGCTCGAGTTAGTCAACCATAAAATTATGAATTTAGGCTACTGTATTCACTCGCATAATGAACACACTTTTTTCTCCCGAAAAATGGACACATATTTGAGGTTCATTACGCGGAGTAAAATTTTTGCATTTACACACTTTGTACAAATGTCATATTAGGTGCCGATATGACACGGCAAGCTACTGTGGCACATCTCCACTGATGGAGGCGCACCCACGGCTGGTTGGGGGCGCGCCACAGTAACCATGCTTTATAAATTGCGAACCTTTTTAGGGCACTTTTGGCATGCCTTTTGCCGAAGGAAAAGCACCCTACGAAGTTCACTCAGCACAGAGAGCAACGCTATCGTTCTTAGGCCTAACCACTTTCACTCGCTATCCGAAAGCAAACCACAGACGACGGCGCGTTTGTTGACATCAATGCCTCCGATAGGCGAAGAATGTCCGGGGCTGGGCAATTCTTCGACCCAAGCTTCGTCAAGTGTGCGCGCCACTCGGTTTCACGGTTGATCACTTCCACAACTACGCACTTGCAGCCGCTTGCAACCGCTTGCAGCCATTACGAGAGCAGCATGGCTTGGCTTGACTTGGCCCGACTGCTTGGCGGCAAAAGAAATTTGGCTTGGTGGCTAGCTAAATTGAATGCAATTTGAGACTCGCGGAGCCGGAAATTGGAAGTGCGTTCATTACGCGAGGGAAAAAGAAGCCCCAATATTGGTACCCGTTTTGGGGAGGGGTTTATTAAGCGAGTGCATTCATTATGACAGTAAATCGGTATTTCTGTCGTTTCAAAGAGCCCAGTTTAATATTATCTCACCTTGTAGATGCTCCTCTGGATGTTGGGAGTCTGTTTCATGATTTCCGTCAAAACTGCCTCCTCAAACATGTCGGCATTGAGCTGAAATAAACCACCCGACACATTTGTAGCCACTGCATCGAGAGTTTGAAAATGGTAAGAACTGCATAAGTTACACTTAAGCACCCTGAATAGATTGTCTCTTCCAATATAAATACAAACAGAAGACCCCACCCAAGCCAAACCAAGAGTCCTTACATGAGACTGCTTGAGTAAAACTCCGTTGAGCAGGGCTTGCGGGCCGGTGCCGATCCCAGTCTTGTTGATGAACTCCCAAGCCAGCTGAGGCACCAAGAGAGACGGGGTTATAAGTATAACACCATGCCACAACTCTGCTCGATACGGGCGCCGGAAAGGGAGTAAAAAAGATGCACCTTTCTCCCGGTGTCGTAGTCGGAATCCTCGCCAAAGACGAGATCCAGGTCTTCGCCCGGGTACTTGGTCTTAAACTGTTTGATCACGATCTCCGCCGTGACACCCTCCCGGCCGGCTGCATACACCTGCGGACGTATTCCTTCTAGTTACAGCCGAGTTAAGGCTGGTTCATGCATTTGATCAACTGCACTACGACCACTCGTGATGGCTTCCGACGAGACAAAACACTGGCAAACTGAAGCAGTCTGTCAGATAGCCCCGTGACCATTTCGATCTGTGTATGACCGGACTGAAGGCTTTGCAGCATTTGCGAAATCAGATTTACACACCATATACGAGAGATGGTCTCTTATAACGATGCCGGAATTATTTTAAGCTCACGGTGAAAGAATGATGCGTAAAAGCCGTGCCAAGATCTAAGCAGAACGAGGCAAGGGGAAGATGCGTAGGGGACTCTAAGGATCCCGGGGTTAGGGAAGTTTGTAGTGATGGAAACAGACAATAGGGGAGAGGGAAGTACCAGTGTGAAGGGGTGGGGAGCGTGCGTGAGTGGATGGGCAAGGCTAGGCCTAACAACTTGCCTGGAGTGTGATGCCTAAACCAAACAACCATCACATGCGGTCGTAGAGGTCACAATCAAAAGCAGAATGTGCGAACCAGACTTTACGGTTGTAACTGGTTGCAACTAACACAATTAAAGAGTGCCCTTCTCAAGAACAGGCGTGCGGCTGGGAAGGAGGAGGAGGGGCGGCCTTCCCCCTTTCTCCAAGGGACGCCACTCACGTCGGTGATGAAGGAGAGTCCCTCGTAGGGCACCCTGTCCTGGCTGATAAAGTTGAAGGCGTTCAGCATGGCCACGCCGGCGTCTTGGTAGCCCGTCACAGACATGTTGGGGTTGACGGCAAACACGATGCCAATTCTGGAAGGAAAGAAAGATGCCTCGCTATGCTTGGGACGGAGACAGTCCCCACGCTAGAAGGAGGCTGGCACATACAAGTGGCTGCAGTAGAACGCTAGGGATGACAGGGCGAGTGAAGAGACAGCAAGTACGCACACAGAGCACTCAATCGTCTATTCATTTCCTGTGTCTTAGCAGGCCGCGAATTAGCAAAAAACATCAGAAAAACGGTGAAATCGGGCCTGATACGAGAGAGGTTAGAGATGCGTAAAATTGAGCCACAAAATAAGAAATAAGCTTGACACAAAACGAATGCAAAAACAAATAAACGACTCGGATGAATGCGGAAGTTGTTGTACCTCAAAGGAGCCCGATGGACGTAAAAGGACTCGGCGAGCTTTAAGATGTCCCTTGCATTGTCCTGCGAAGGGTCTGCAACAACCACCTAGAAATGCAAAAAAAAATAAACAAAATGAATACTCTTTAAATTTTGGAAACGTCCCACCACCACTTTGGCGTGCCAATGCTAGACTCAAATATTCAAACATTTATGCCGAAATCACTGCTGTCGTTAGGCCGATTCTCAACGAAATGCGTTAGCACTTAGTGCGGGAGTTCCGACTTCGCGAAGGATGGGAATTCCGACCTTGCAACGGTCTGCACACTGTTGCATTTGGGAAGCCAGTCTGTTCTCCCGGAAGTTGGCAGTTTCGAATGCAGCAACCACAGCTAACCTCGACCACCGCCTAAAGTCTTTCGTCTCGGGTGTCGGTGGTTTTGCGTAAACGTCATCGTTGCTGCACCTCGGTTTTATGCTGTCGCGTACGTTGTGCCACGGCCACTCGATACCCTCCTCTCCCATGCCAATGACGTGCCATTGGAAACATGTCAAAAGACTCTTTACCTCTTTTAAGGGAGAAAGTGGACGCAGTGATGGAAACAGCATTTCATCTTTTGTAGCATGTTCTGTAGCATTTTCCCCAAAGATGTAACTAAACGCGAGAAAAGACCAAAAACCTCCGACCAGTCGTTAGGTCATAAGAGGATCTTTCGGCCGTCAAGAGCAAGTCGCTCGAGGGCCGCACGTGCAATCGCAAGCTTGCCAGGTCTATTCCTCTGCGCTTGCACCAGTGGTGATGTCTTTTTCTGCCTTTTTTAGAAATAGCAAGAGTGTGCGTGCAAAGCTTTGATAGGCGCTGAAGGTGCAGGAGGGCTGGAGACTCTGAAAACCCCTTCTGTGACGTCACGCCCCGGGAAGGAGGGCTTTCAGCGGTACTTTGAAAATGGCTTTCTGCATCCTCCATGCACCAAATGAAAAAATCATTTCGATATTCGAGATCCTGCAGTCAAATGAAGACGATTTGAGTGTGTTTCCTCAAATACAAAACCGCTTCAGCTTCCCTTTACTATTATGAACTGCAAAAACTATCAGCCCCAATTATTATTAATACATACACTACTGCAAGTGACACTGCTCCTTAGCGGCGATAGAACCAGAGTGAAGTCAAAGTTTGCTGTTCTTTCAATCGACAGCTGCATGGGAACAACCTTGACTACCATATAGTCAAATATAGACCCACATCTTTCTTTTTACGGCCCAGATGTTTTTTAATTGGAGATCAACCTACCACCAAGATAAAAAAAAGTTTACCTGGAATAGTGCTGAGCATAACTACTGAGCCTATAGCGCTAACCCATGCGCTCACCCATGTCAGCCGCTGCACCTAGCGCTCCGGTGCAAAGCGGTGAAGCTCGACATGTGCGCGCTGGTGAGGGGCAATATGGAGGCATGTGGCAGACATGATAATTAAGTGATCTCATCAAGCATACAAGATCCTGATTCTGTTTTATCACAGATAGCTGTCATCCTACAATATTTCAATGTTTTCTCGCAGTTTTTAGCTCCTCATGTCATTGACATCATTTGAAAATTTAGACAATGTCGGCGATCAATCTGCCAGCACATCATCATGCCAGCACGGTTGATCAGCAACATCAATACTTCGTTTCACGTTAACGTAAGGGCGGACACTACCTGCAAATGTCAACTTTTGAACTGCTCACTCAATCCGTGTGATATTTGCAGGAGGTGCTTGTAGCCATATAGACGGAGGGTGTGCGATGTTTCAGGTCTTTGAACCAATTTTATGAGGTACTGTACCTCCACAACGAAGTAAAGCATAGCTCTGCATGTTATCTGCTCAATGAATCTATCGTTGAGAAACGGTGTTGATAACCGCATATTTTTCTGGTGGAATGAATACTGAAATAACTTGCTGGTTACTATGAAAAGAAATTTCAGAAAATATGCATTTTACAGGTGAAAAGAAAAAAATTATGAATTTATATATTTTTACATTTACTAAGTTTTGCAAATTGCAATTTTTCATAATAAAGGAACAAAAAAACTTTCAGCCTTTCCACTCTGGTGAAGAAGGAAGAGCAGCGGAGCTGTAACTTCTGTTCTCGGTGATGGCTTTCCAGGCGAGCGATCTGCTCTTCTTTCGCAAGGGAATCTGAAGCGCTCGACGCAGTGGAACTTTAGGCGACAGCGGCTTCACGGCGGTTGCGGAACCATTCGCGCTGCTGTGCACATCGCCGCTCGTGCCGTTCCCGCTCTTCTTCCTCCGAAAAAATGTTGCCGCCATCTATGAGTGACGGCAGACACCAGTTGTCTGGTTGCCAAGGCTGGAAAGGTTGTCACGATCTATGAGCGACGGCGGCAAGCAGACAGCTGGCAAACACAACACTCTGGACAGCTACCGCCATCTATGAGCGACGGTGGCAGCCAGAGTGTTGTGTCGACATCTGTTTGGTACCGGACATGATCCTGGGGAAACCAGCTTTTAACAGCCCCGCTGGAAAAAAAACAACAAAGGTTAGTAAGTAACTTTTAGAGCCCATAGGAAGCTCCCGAAAGAGTGCTAACACCAAGTGACTATAATGGTCAGTCACATGACTGCTAGCTGCCACTTTTCTGCGGGCTTCCGCAGGCGCCAACTACAAATTCTTGCCGCGCCATAAATATAGCTCTACAAATTTATTTTTCGTTGTAAACTTATTATTTGCCATCCTTTTTTCATCTAAACTGTTCACAAAAAAAAAAGAGATACAATTTTTTTTTCTTTGCATATGGATTTTAAGGCAGTTCTCGTGAGGGTTTTCACACAGATTTAGGTATCTTACCAGATGGTACATGTTCTTGCGGACGTTCCTCAGCATGCCGGGGTAGGTGGGCCGCAGCATGTCCTGGACGCTGGTGGGCCAGCCACGGTAGGACGGGTCGTGCTCTATGTCGTTGATGTACTGCAACAAAAATTGGCAGCAGGAAGAGTGATTTCATCAAAAACTCCATGGTGCAGTTATCTCCTATCTTCTTTTTTAACTTTCACTGTTATATCAAGTAAGTGAAAGAACATGGGCAAGTTGGGGCAAAACATCAGCTTCACAGCGAGCGAGAAGCACCCACCTGAACTGCGGTGTCTCTGATGTCAACGCCATATTCTTGCTTGTTATTGAGGAGATCCATCTTCATGAGGCGTGGAATCGTGTCTTTCTGCCAACAAAACGAGAAAAAGAATTTATGCAAATTCATGTTTGTAACTCTTCCAATAGGATGCCTGACCATACCACGATTGTGAAAGCATTTACAGCAATTTTAGCTAGTGTTTTGGTCGTGATAAAAACCATCCACTGATAATTTTTGTGAGCACCTTGTGGAAACATTGCAGCATACACTGCTCCCACAGTGTGCACCAGAGTATAGTACCTGCAAGCATATATCTTTGTCAAGCTGCGAGTACGCAGCTTTTTTCCAGCCCCCTAGTCCCAAATGTAATTGTTTGTGACTTAATAAACTGATTGATTGATTGATATATAACGAACCAATGCAACACGGACCATTACAAACTAAAGGCAAGTATAGAGAATAGCCTGCTTCTTAAACAAATCAATTGAAGGGATACCTGGGGATGTGAAATTACCTTTCTGCGTGTTTATAGGGCGTTGACCTGACCCATAAAAGGTCAAGTTAAAAAATGACAATGGATGCCTTCATTCTGCTCAGTTTTCACCAAAGCAAACTGGATCAGGTTGAAGCAAAGCCTACAACAATGTAGAACCGTTGCTCCAAAAAATGCATTTCTGAGAAGCGCATTTCTCCGAAATTCTCGTCAAGGCACAGTTTATCAGGCAGAAATAACGTGGGTAAAATTTCACTGAAGTGTGGTTCAACAAAGTAAAATTCCCTAAAGGTAGAGTTCAATAAGGTTGAGTGTACTGGAGCGAAGCAGGCTCAATCACTTTGCCAAACAGGGGTCTGCCAAAGTAAAAATCCCTGAAGCAGAAAATGCACCAAACTACAGCAATCCCTCGTTATAACGAAGTCGACGAGACGGCAAAAAAAGTTTGATATAAGCGGTAATTCAATAAAAGCGATGGAGCGAAAAAGCAGTGCCAGCAGCCTTGAAAGTGGACAAGAACACTGCGGAACACCCTGACCGTATATTTAATCAAACAAACCTTGGTTACGAACATCCCACAGAAGCTTTACCGAGTAAAAGAATAATTAGGTTGAATTTGCCGATAATTTCATCCGGGCATCAGTTCTTCTCTAACTGCTCCAGGCATTGCAAGAACACTGCCGCCGCTGCTGCACTCCACTTTGTTTCGAAGCAGCCGTAGGATGTTTTGCGTCTCCAAAGTCGTTGACGTTTCTTGAGGTGCCTCTCCGACGTCTCTTTGTATTTACCCTGATTGCATGCAAGGTCTACGATCGCAGCATCCATGGCAGGAGCAACAACGGGAACGTACGCATCGACAAGCGCAAACGAATCAAAGTTATCCTCGGTCGCTTTGCCATTATGTTTTCACTCACTCCTGTAGAGATTCTTGCAGCTATGGAAATCGTGCGCCAGCTCGGCAAGGATGCTCACGAGAAAAAATGCGACATGGCAAAGCATTTAACATCATTTAACATCTTTCATCTCCGGGTTGGGGGCACGCTTTCTCTTGCATGAGAAACTTCTCGAACTCGTCCAACATGCCTTGCTTGTTGTGCAAAATGATGGACAGTGTCGAACAGCCGATGCCAGAATGTAGAATTCTTTTGTAATTTCGGACTTGGGCCGGCCACTTTTCTCAACCTTAAAAATGACTTTCGGTAAACACTCCCAGTCTCCCATATGACACACGTGTACGTGTACTATGCCACAGCATGTGTCACGGGGGCTCCCAGAGGGACGATCTCCTCCGGGCTTCATCGGTCCCTTGACCCGAATCCAACAGGAGTTGGGCAGTGTTTGCCACGGGCGCCGTAAGTGGCGTCGGAACGTTGACGCTGCTCCCTGCCCGCGTCGGCGCATCAACATCGGAAGCGGTGCTCTGCCAGCTCTGCGTGCTCTGCCCTCCGTCACCCATTTCCTCCGTTTCCCAAGTTTGCCGTTTGCCTCGGTGGAGAAGGAGGAGGGAACGCAAGGGTCTCCTACGTGCCTTCGAGTAGGCTTGCGTGCTATCACCCCCGCGGCCTTGGTAATAAGCGTGGTCAGCCACCGATACGCTTTGAATAACCCGGTTAAAAATGGATGCATTTCGGTCGGGACCACGTTGAACTTCGATAAAAGAACCATTTGAAAAAAGCGATTTCGTTATAGCGATGGATTACTGTAGTTCACTGAAATGCCGCCCACAAAGATTTAAGTTCAATAAAGCGGACTTCACCAAAGCGAACCTCAATGAATCGAACTGGTTTAATAGCGAGCTATATTATGTACACAGACCACTTCTCCTCTTACAGCTTCCTCCTTTAGAAAACCGCAACCCCAGACAACAACCACTCCCTTCCCGACACAAAAAAAAAAGCAAAAAAAAATGAAAGCCGCTTACAACTCCCTGTAACGCCGAATTAGAGCGCAGCTCTTGAGGAGGAGGGAAGGGCACGGGGGGGGGGGGGGGGGGGTAAACTAACCAGGGGGGGGGGGGGTCACGTGACCCCCAATGCCGATGATGTCATCACTGACGTCACTGATGACGTCATCCGTGACGATGACGATGCGGGTACCGATGACGTCATTAGTGACGTCACTGATGGCTTCACCAGTGATGATGACGATGACGATGCGAATGTCGGTGACGTCATCAGTGACGTCGCTGATGACGTAATCAGTGATGATGACGATGACGATGCGGATGCCGGTGACGACATCAGTGACGTCACTGATGACGTCATCAGTGATGATGACGATGCGGATGCCGGTGACGTCGTCAGTGATGATGACGATGTGGATACCGGTGACGTCATCAGTGATGATGACGATGACAATGTGGATGCCGGTGACGTCATCAGTGATGATGACGATGACGATGTGGATGCCGGTGACATCAGTGATGATGACGATGACGATGGGGATGCCGGTGACGTCATCAGTGATGATGACGATGACGATGCGGATGCCGGTGACGTCATCAGTGATGATGACGATGACGATGTGGATGCCGGTGACGTCATCAGTGATGATGACGATGACGATGTGGATGCCGGTGACGTCATCAGTGATGATGACGATGACGATGGGGATGCCGGTGACGTCATCAGTGATGATGACGATGACGATGTGGATGCCGGTGACGTCATCAGTAATGATGACGATGACGATGCGGATGCCTGTGACGTCATCAGTGATGATGACGATGTGGATGCCGGTGACGTCATCAGTGATGATGACGATGACGATGTGGATGCTGGTGACGTCATCAGTGATGATGACGATGACGATGTGGATGCCAGTGACGTCATCAGTGACGATGACGTCATCGGGGGGTCACGCGACATCGGCGGGGGTCACGTGACCTTGAGGAGGGGGTCACGTGACCTCAGGGGAGTCACGTGACCTCGGGGGGTCACGTGACCCCCCCCACGAGGTCACGTGACCCCGGTGGGGGGGCTCGCGCGGTGCATTATGGGACATTTCCCATGATGCACCGCGCGGTTACGCCGACGGCGACGGCGACGGCGACGCCGCTCAAGCCGGAAACGGGCCCCTAAGAGCTGCGCTCTAAAAAAAAGCAAAGCAGACGACGAAGTGGCTCACCGAGATACCGATGTTGTGCAGTCCCTCGAGGAGCCTCGTCTCCTGCTTGAGCAGCTGAAGCATGGTGAAGACGTCCGTCACCTCCGCGTCGTAGTACAGGCCATTGAAGAAGAGCGCCGCGTCGGACGGCTCCAGGCTCAGGGTCTGCAGGAACATCTGAGGACGCCAGGGGGCAGGCGAGACGCTCGTTACGACCGAGCAATAAGGTGAAGCCGTTCTCACTGACAAGGTGGGAACAGTGAGGAGGTTCTTCAGTTGTCCTGCCTCCAGTGCGCCATTTCCTAGCTTAAATCGAGCTACGGCATGCGTGGCCGTAGCACGATGGAGGGAAAAAAGCATCTGCTGGAGGCCAGGCGTTTGAAAGAGACGCTATTCTCATCCTGTTGGCAACCGCAGATCGTTAGCACTCATTAAGGGGAGACCCTGGTCTTGAAACACAAAAACTAGGAAAAAAAGTTAGTTTTTAAGACATTTTTTTCTTCTTGATCTATATGTCAAAAACAACATGTACTTCACTCATGTGCACTTACAAACAACATGCATTGCAAGTGCGCACTTATATAGTTAAATCTTTTCAAAATTTCATATCCAGGCTGCTTGTTGTAAGCATGTTCTGAAAAGCTTTACCTGTTTCCTCAGAATTAATTTTTTCATCGCAACACAACATTTCTCCCACGATATCTCTGGATCTAGGACTTGAACCTGAATACTTTTCTCAAGGTTTTGTACCTTATAAATCAAGGAGTGCAACAAGACTACAATTTCTGGAAAATGTTAACTACAAAGTTTTCTAATCGGCAAAGACTTTAATGACTCATTTCTGATGATCAACAAAAAAAAGTTTCAACTCGCGATACCTTTTTCTAGAATGATGCTATAATTATAAGAATGGCTTTGTTGCACTCTCTACTGTTTGTAGAACATGCTGACATACTTTGTGACATATACTTTTATAAGGGTACTGTAAAAAAGCTGGGCACAAACATTTAAGATAACACTGACGTTTCCTTGAAAACTATAACAGATTAGAAAAGATTTAGCTTCTGTTTGTGCTTAGCACAATAACTTATAGTAGTATGTGAAAATTTAATATAAATTACATCAGAAATGACAGAGAAATGTTTAAGACCAGGATTTCCACTTAACGACGACGCTCCCATTATGCTTTCCCAGACAAGATTTTTTTAGCGCGGATCCTCGCAAAACAAATCACTTGGGTTCTGCAATAATTTCCACAAGGAATGGACTCTTTTTGATGCTGAAATCATTGTCATTTCGATGATGGCGGTCCATCGCTTGTCACAAGATGACACCCAGAAATTGTGCGTGAATTCAGAAGGGTGCTCTCAATCTGGCTTTAACTCCTTAAAAAAGAAAAAAGACAAGGACAGACGAAGTCGCTCCCAGACCTGTTGGTTCCTCTCCACTTCCTTCTTGAAGCCTGCGTCTACCGCAACGTTGACGAGCGACCGCGCCTGGGACGGGAAGTTCTGCGAGGTGTCCCGCATGATCCGCAGCGCGTCTTCCAGCGGTGCGAGGAGGATCTTCTGTGCCGCCTGCAGGCTCAGCTCTGGGGAAGGAAGAAAAGCAAAAACATAAAAATTGCACGAGTATGAACTGCAACCCATAACAAAAGTTGCAGGTGCAAGATCACGACAACGTTGGGAGGACCGACGCTAGAGAATCAGATCCCAAAACCGTGAGCTTGCACATATAGCCTTTCGTGTGCTTTATTACTAAAGTATGGGCTGTACTCTTGGGCCTAGGAACTGCCGTAATTTGTTAGCAAAAGTGGTATGAACTGAAAAGCATTTGTACACATTGCTCACTGGTTTGCACCGTGTGTCAGGTTGGTCTCGAGGGGAACTGCTCTTAAAGGGAATCGATCCATCTCATGCTAGCTAGGTCGTGGACGTATCCTTCCGAGCCTTCTCTAGAAATGTCTTAACATTTTGCAGTTCGACACTCGATGTTCAACGACCAGGAACCTTTTCATTCTTCTTCCCTCCTAGATTGGGCATTACAGTTATCGAACAAATCTTATCCAGTTCATGCGTCAGTTTTTGCACTTCTCTGTGGAGCTACGAGCATGTAGATAACTTAGGTGCATGCTCTGCCGGTCAACTGCCCCTGTCCTGTTGTGGAATGCCCTCTTGTGTCCCATACTCCCTCCGACACCTGACCCATCCAAACACACCATGCATATGTGCGTAATTAGAGCAATTGTTCCTCGTAGCATGCAATCATTAAAAGGGGTCAGAAAAGAAAAGACCATGAAATAATCAAGATTCATCGGGTCGGTGGCTCAACTGTCAAAAAAAATTCACAGGGTCTCTTTAGGTTATCTTTAAAAAGACACTTGAAGCTGAAAGCCCAAGCGTGGATGCATTAAGGACAGACACATGATTTCCTTCCTTTCCCATTCTATTTTTTCATATCGCCACTTTAATTGGCCAGTTCAATTTGCTGAGTCATCTCTCTTAATGTGCAGAGTCACCCTTCTTTTTGTGCTAAGTCATCCTTCTCAATGTGCTGAGTCATCCTTCTCAATGTACTCAGTCATCATCTTAATTCACTTAGTCATCCACTTAATTTGCTTAGTCATCCACTTAATTCACTTAAATTCCTTTTAATTTACCTAAATTCCTTTTAATTAGCTTTGATTACTCTTACTTCTTTTTAATTCCTCTTAATTCACTTTAATTCCTCTTAATTCGCTTTAATTCCTCTTAATTCACTTTGATTCCTCTTAATTCGCTTTGTCATCCTTCTTAATTTCATTGCCTCTAATTCGCCCGAGTGGTCACGTAAATGTTTTGATACCTTTTGTGTGGCCGCGTGTTTTCGCTCAAGGGCTTTGAAGGTCGACTGAACGATGAGACATATAAGGGCTTCACCTTAATAGCACCCACTCTTGATCAGGCACAGACTTCACTAACTTTAGCTATGGGTGTGTCAGGGATGTGTTGAAAAAAAAACACACCTAACCACTATTGTCACACAGCCCCAGCAAAGAGGCTGTGTTTTTGCAGTCTACTGCCAACTATAGACACGTAAATGAGATGAGTCAACAAGGGTAATGGAATAGTAGATTATTTTTTGTTTCATGGGAATAATCAGATATGGGTCATAAAAGACTAGAATGTCGTGTAAGCGATCTATAACAGGAATCCTCATATCATCCACCGAATCAATAGTGCAAACAACTCAGTGACTCCTTGGCCGATAACATACGCCTCTGCACAAGCACGCTTTTACAACAATTCGAGCTTGAAATGATGTTGAACAAAGGCACTCCAAACCCCTATTCCCGCTCAGAAAGAGAGTTATTTGGAGCCTGTTGCACATTATACGAGTAACTGTGGAGCACCGGAATGGCTATCTAGAACGGGATCTGTCGTATCATTCACCAGGACAATAGTATGATCAATTGAGCAAATTTGTCGGCCGATAAAACACACTCGTGACAATCTAGGCCAGGATCATATTTAGCTTGGAGATATCGACTTGGAGATATCGTGGCACAGCAGAAGAGCACACTCAGCCGCTAATCTTACAATGATTTCCTAAGGAGAACTTATCTCGCTAGTTGCAATTACAAATCCAGATTGCGTCATCTCAACCCCCTTGGGTGCAGCACCAGGTCTGGAGTCTGATATCAGCTTGCGATGAAACAATGTGTGCAGCAGGCATCAAGCGGTGTAATTGGGCTTCATGGAGGGTCTGTTTTGGAAAGTTCTGTTTACTAGGGCTACCAGCTTTCGGAGGTGCAAGAAGTGAAAATCACACAATCCTAACCTGCCTTGAAGTTTGCAGAGATTGAGGGGTGCAAGATCATTGCCAGAGTCCATGAGCGCTCGTTTAGCTTGTCCTTCTTATCAGGGTACAACTCCCCAAATGCCTCAGGAAGCAAGAATCAGCTTCCTGAGGCATTTCTGAGCTCACAATTCATTCATTTCTTGTAAGCAAACAGCAGCGTATGGGAAGTCTACTGTTTGCCTAAGTGTGGTATCAATGACAATATGATCTTATCCTATATCATTGTGTGAACCTCAATTCGAATTTTAGAAACATGTGATAGCACGAAGAATGTTTTATCGCATTTTGTTGTGCGAACCCCAATGCAAATGTTTTACATATCTGTTCCATTCATTGTGTAAACTTCATTATCAGACTTTATGACACTGGGCAATGTTAGTCAGAAAGATGGACAGAGGAAGTTTCACGTTTGGTTTAGGTATGAGAGAGAGGGCGACGAAGGACCAGACCTTGAAGTTCCCAGACTTTGAGGGGTACAAGATCATTGCCGGAGTCCATGAGGTGAGCCTTGAGCTCGTTCAGCTTGTCCTTCTTCTCAGGGTACAACTCCCTGAAAAATAAAGCATCCGTTGATGTCCAGCAGCAATCAAGAATGAAGCAATTGGCTGTATCTACTGCAAACACTAAAATACTTATTTTTAACTCCTTCCGACAACGAAGAAGGTTTTGTTGGGGACCAGGTTTATGTTAGCATATGCGAATCACTATTAGAATTGAGTATGCACTTAGATGAACACTTAGTGCAGAGTTGAATAAAAATGAATGAATGAATCAGTAAAAAGCAGTTTATTTTGTAATGTAGGCTATGTTGAGTTTTATACGCTGCTGCTGTGTACAATTTGATGTTATATAAAACTACAAGGAAGCAAGGGGCTCCCTCAAGCTGTTAAGACAGCTTTATTTTCTTTACTTTTGCCATTCACATACCAGACTTAATAGTAATAAAGTTATTCTATATTTCGTAGCTGTAACAGAATCCTCCAAACACTGGCAGAACCCCAGTAGTATTGACATGGCACAAGCTTCTAAGCAGGCAAATCTGCATGCCTTTAGGACAGTGTCCTACTTGCAGGTTTGGAACCGGTTTTCTTTTGAATACAACAAATTATTGAATGTCTGGATGCCCACTATACCACATCATACAAAGTAATCAAAGTAATCCTAAAATGTACCAGTATATTGAATGCAAAACGATTCCCCCAGATCTGGACTTAACAGAAATACTTTCCTCACAGAAGACAACAAAAGAAAGCAGTGTTTCCTCTCAATTTTGTTACATTACCACATGCTAGTACACAGTGAGAGCAGTATACGAGAATAACAGACCTAAGATTATCACGACATGCAAAAAGAAGGGAGCATACTTGAGCTTCTTGAAGTCAAAGCCTGCAATGTTCTCTGCCTTCTCCGTTTCTTCAGAGTCCACCACACTCTTTTCCTCTGGAAGAAAGAATCATTCCATTGCCAAGAGAATTCTCATTAAACCCACCAGCATAATCACAACGAAGGTGAGCACAGATGTTGTATGTGTGCCATCGCACCGAACCCACCTTTAACTTTGGTGTCGTCCTGTGCCTTGTACTCCGTGCTCTTGATGGCCAACTCAACTCCGTACCCGGAGAGGCGCACTTTGCGTGCGCTTGGGGTCTGTCAAAAAGAAACAAGTTTACCGTGACAGTAACTGTACTAGTAATCGCTACTAGGTATTATATTGGGTCGGGGGGGACCTCCAGAGTCACGGAAGAGAGAGACGACCCTTAATTAAAGTTCGTCGAAAACCTAACTTGCATGGACTTGTTGGCTGTCATTAGCAGATGAAAAGCTAGTCCAAACTCTAACCCCTGGCAAAATACTAAACACAGACCAGTTACACATCCGAGCAACTCTACCGTGTGTTGCAACAGAACTGCAGAAGACACTCCGCCCATAAACTCCCAGAAAGAAATGGCATCATAAAGACACTCAGTTCAAAACCACCACTTTTCCGGACGTCGCGGAAAGCGGGGATCGTTTGTTAGCACACCTCTTCCAAGACTGGCGTCCACAAAAACAATGCTCTGTCTAATGCCCAATGTGCAAAAAGGCCAATGTGCACGAAGTCCGATATGCACAATGCCCCATGTTCCACTCTGCCCATCATACACCATGCCCACCGTGTACCATTCCCAATGTGTGACACGTCCAATGTATGCCGTGCCCAATATACACAGCCTAACACTGTTTGCCCAAATTCACAATCACCGGTTTTTACTGTTTTTATCTCAAAACTGAACAGCTGCCGTAAAAATTGCCAGTGTGGCCGAAAGTCCTCTTTCAGGGCGATAACCTAATCAGCAAAATTTGATGCACAAAGACACTTCAAGTACTATACAAAAAAGTGCCGATGTCGTGTTCGCGCTAAGAGTGACCGCAGAGTACACCGGTGCACCTTGAGCATTGCATTAGGCGCGGTGGTGCGACTCGCCTTGACAAAGTGCCTGAGAATGTAGCTGATCTGCTTGTCCTGGGCTCTCTTCTGGAGGGCCTCGTGGAAACGCCTGAAGCCCTTGGCAGCCAGGTCCCCGTACAGAATGACGAGGGGCAGCTGGGGGTTGGGGGACCCCGCGTAGAAGTGGTCCATCTTGTAAGTGTAGAGCCGGGCCCTGCGTACACCGCAGGCATCGGGCACAAGCGCTCGGCAGCCACAATTTGACGATAACTAAGGTGCTTCAAAAGCGTCTTTGACTGGTGCATTTAGCGTCCTATGCCATCCATGCATCAAAAGTGGTCTTGCAAATCGAGGGACCAGATTTGAGGACGTGGTAAACAATGCAGCCGGAGACGCATTCCAGGCACCATTCCAAGCAGCACAGATCTGGCCAATCATCAGCCAGTGCCTGGCAACGGTCATTTGGTCAGTGGTTAGGCAATGGCCAGCCATTGGCCGATAAAAGGCCTTTACCTGGATATTGGCCATCAGCCATCGGCTTAGGATTGGCCGATGAATGGCCGCTCTTTGGCCATTAACCAAAAGACCATCACAAGTTAATGGCCAATGCTTGGCCAAAATCCGTGCCGCTTGGGATGACGACGACGAAGCCGGTGCGCCAGCCCACCACGGCTCCGAGCACGCTGGGCGAAAGCTCAATACAACGAGTTCAGTGCTGGTTTCAACAGGGACAAGCACTTCTCCAGCATCATTTAGAGCAATTGTCACTGCCAATACAAGCTAAGGACACCAAATTGGTCAATGCACTCTATACTGTGCTGACCAAACTGTTCCACATCAGCAATGAAACAAGGTGTTCACCCCAGTTGCACGAATGCAACTTCAAGGCCCATTCGCACAATAGCATTTGCGAAAGTTGTCACAAGCCGCATCGTGATGCGACCACAAGTCGCCGGGACGCAACGCAACGCAAGCAAATGGTGCTAAGCGCATGGGCCTTTATTGTTCGGCCACACGTCCGACATGGGATAAGGTGGAAACCAAGTTTGCTTCAAACTTACGAGTCATCGAGATTTTGCAGGACTTGGTCCAACTTGTCCAAATCGCAGAAGTGCCCACCACCCCGAACTTCGAGGACAAAGTCACAGTCTGCCGGGAAGCCTTTGTCCCGTGCAGCCTACAAAAAGACAATGACAATATAATTCAATGGCAGTGTAGCCCGGTTTGGTTGTTGATGGGACAGCAGGTGCAGGCTGTCCATCGTCTGCACTGTACATCCATTCTTTTTTTGTTTATGCATCAGGTGTATACATATTTACTGGCACTTATGCACTGCTTGGGCACAATTGAAGGTACACTGCGGGTGTAACTAATAGAACAGTGGTACTGCATCGCTTATTTTCTCAGTCACAAAGTGATAAAAAAACTGACAAAATTACTTTAGTAGCAAACAATCAAATGTCATGTGTGAAAAGAGGACCTGCAGTACCAGCTAATTTTAAATTCTGATAAGAATGTTAGCAGAAAAAAACCCTCCAGTATTATATATTAAAAAACAAATATTTGAAATAACAAATTAAAAAAAAAGTTAGTGATGAAATTAATGCCTGTCAACCAATCGGAAGCCTCACATATAACTTCAAAACATAAAATAAAAGCTCTATAATTATACACATATGTGATTACTCAAGAAATTCGACAAGTTTATCTACGGTAGACAAACTAAAAAAGCTAACAGCATTAAGGGGGGACACCACCTTGAGATTGCAATTTTTGAGAAAAGAACAAATATTCCTATTTTTGTGTAATGTGGTTCCACAACTAATAGTGTATACTCCTGCAAATATTTGTTGCAATAGCTGAAGCATTTACGGAGCAATAAAACATTTTCAGTCAGCCAACGATGCAAAATCACGTGTTTTTGAAATGTAAAACTTCTGTTTCCTATTTTCAAACAGCTGTAGCTTTGCACCGGTATGCCCTAGAATGATGATCATACACTCGTTGGAAAGAGCATTTCTTCACTGTTTCAGTACATTAGATATCTTTGCTCGTGAGTAAACTCTATACAAGCAAGAACACCATAGAAGTCAAGCTTTCACGTAAAAGAGGCTATGCATATGGCCAAGAATCGAAATGCCCACCTTGATTGAACACATAACTGACTAAAACCGGCATTCATTTATAAAACTTCACGTGGCTTTGTGTGCTTCGTATTTCCATGATGCTTGCCCCGCCCATACTAGCTGATGTTGGTTCGTGTATTGCAAACGTACCCAATTCCTCACTCATTTCACAATCAATGTCCACATGCCAACAACAAAATGAGACTCAAGAAAGCATTTTAAGCTCGGACTCACTCAGCAAAGCCATGCTGGAGATTGGGTGTAAGCAGAAGGCACCAGCTACGCTCTTGGTGCCTTTTAGTTGCCACCACCACCAGTAAAAGCAAATGTAGTAGTGTGGAAACTTTAAACAGTTTTTTCTCAGTTTTACTTTTTTGCAGTAACTTTCGTTTTAGGAAATCTATCATTTCAATGAATTGCTGAAAGTATTCTTTGCTGTGGATGTTTCTGAACTGAAATGTAAGGGGGCTAGGTATTTATTTTTCTATTTAAATAAAGTTCTTATTGCCAAAAAGTAGAGTTTCGATGAGGAGAACATGCCCCATTATGTGGGATGCTTTTGAAATTGACATTTTGCATAGAAAAAAACACAGATTTTAAGGTAAAAAACAGATAGCCCCCCCCACCATATGTTCTAGTTAAGGCTAAAGCTTAGAAATGCTCAATATTCTCCAGCAATTTTATACGATAGATTTCCTTGCCAAGTGAGGCGACTTACATCAATAGCTGTGTACCTCCGTCTGTCCTACAGAGATGAAATTTCATAAAATGCATTTAGGCACCGAGACGAATAGACCCTCCAAATTTCATCAATATTGAGCAACTAGTTTAAAAGTCGACACTTGAAGGTGGTGTCACCCCTTAAGCTTCAGATTTATAGAACCCCAGCACCATGGCAGTGCATTAGGCTCTGGGTAGTTCACAAAACAAAGAAGTAAAAGCTAAATCTGATGCAGATGTTTCCTACGGCTGTAGTATACCTCTTTCCTGTCCGATTACATGGTCGACAATTCTTAGACACTGGCAAAGCTCACATTTAGTGTGATAGGACACTTTGAACCGTCTCATGGATAGCTGAGGAACTAAATTTTTGTTTTTGATGTAGTGTTTCGTTTCCTCACAATGTGGTGAGCATTCCGGAACAAGCTAAGGTGCACCGGTGACACTTATCAACCATTTCACAGTGGTTACGTCTTTTAAGTGTGGCTAGTTTGTTTATGTTATTGTTTTCCGCAGGTGGCGGCGGGCTGGCAGACGCTCTGAAATAAGGGTTCTAACCTATCTGTCCAGCCTCGCACACCACCATGTGCGCCCTTTTAAGTGCAAATAAAATTATTATTACTATTATTATTATTATTATTCTGGTTCAGACAGCAGTCCTCAAATATTTTTGGAGCGATATATATAAGACACCTCATGTGGCTACTAGATCACTTAGGCACACAGAATGATTTAAGGTACCTTCTGTCACAACAAAATACGGGAAGAAGGTTCGGGACTTCTATGTACCAACGATTTTCAACAGCCTACCAGACAACGTTTATGGTGCGGATTCCCTGAAGAGACTGAAACGAGCACTCCAAGATCTGAGCAAAACATCATGAATTTATGTGTCTGTGTGTGTGCGTGACCCTGTGTGTGTTTTGCATGAACGCTAACAAACACGATTTTTTTTTTTCACTTCTTTTTTTAATCATCATCGTCAGTGTCATAGCATGGTAACAGTTGCTTGAGTCGGGAATTACAAATCAGGAGGACACTTTGTACTCATGAAGTGAAGGGTGCTGTCCCACAAGTCATCCAACTGGCTGTGACAGACCCGTATTTCTACCAAGTATGATACATGCAAAATATAAACATTATTATTATTATTATTATTGTTGTGTCCTACTCTCGTTGGCCACCACAACACAAACAGCACCAATTCTGCAATCCGACTGTCTGTTGATTAACTTTTGATTCACAGCAGCTCTGAAGACTGTAGATAATGTTGGATAATCTCATTAAAGCTTGGACAGCGACGGTTATTTCTGAAGCCCGGAACAGTAAGCAGCTGCTCGTCAGTCAGCATCGCTCTAGTTTATCAGGCTGTTCAGAGCGGGAGCACGTATTTTATTATGTGTGCTGCAAGCTGCAAGCAATGCAGAAGAGAGGAAACTATGTGCACTGCTACGAGGTAATTAAGGACTAGCAAAAAACAAATGGGTTCTGCGGGACGTGCGGCACGTTTCTTTTTGCCTACACCTACAAAACAACGGTATCAGCTAGAGTTTTTTTGTATATTTTTAGCTTACTAGAAAAATAGCTGTGGATACTATGTGGCACACTTCGTATATTCAGGCTTTTGTTAAATTCAAAGCATGTTTTCATATAAATGTAAATGTTTGAATTTTTCTCTTTTTTTTTCTTTTCAAATAAATTTCAAGTTTGACGATTAAATTTGCAAAACACAACGCATTAATCAAATTTTTTTTTTTTCTTCATCCGAAAGAGCAGTGTCCCAACTAAATTTTGATGCATCATTAATAAGCCACATATTGACTAGTTGTTAAAATTAGGAGCGGGCGAATATTCGAAATTTCAAATATGAATCGAATATTTGACATTTAATATTCATATTCGATTCGTAAACTAAGTCTTTGGTATTTTTCGAATACAGTCGAACCTCGATATAACGAACTTCAATGTAACGAAATCCTCGATTTAACGAAATGTTTTATTTTTCATAATTTCTTGCCCATAGACCCCATGTATTTTTAGTCTCTATATAACGAAGTCTATTTTGCTGCTATTTCAATATAACGAAGCGCCATTGCCATAGAAGGCAATAAATAAATAGACTCTAAAAAACAACTTCGCAAAGAAATTGTGGTTAAAAAAAAAATTATGCGCAAACGCGAGCGCTTGATAGGTTACTTCACGGGGACAGGCCTTCCAACGTTCCTAGGCTGCCCGAGGATGCGGCGCCGGTAGCGCCGGCGAGGCATGCAGCAAAGCGGATTCCGCGGGGCTGGCCAGAAAATGCCGAGCAAAAAGTTTACACGGCATAACAGCATCACCACTGACATTCACTGATCATCATAGTCCACTGTACCGCGGGTAGCGCGGGAGCCAACTTCAGCGGGGGAGCGACGTGATGGCGCGACCGCACGGGCAGTGCCATCTAGGAGAAGACCGAGAAGACCGATTATCGTCTTGCGAGCGTGATGTAAAGCAAAGGCGCAAGCACACTGTGGGCGCAAAGGGGCAAGTAAACTGTGCGGGCAAGAGTGCTGTGTCGGTTGGAAACATTGGCACTGCCTAAACTAAACAGCTTTATTTTTCAACCGGGCGGTTCACTCACGTGCTTGCTGCCATAAGAAAACGTAAAGTTCTTTCTTTGGATGAGAAAGCAAACGTTTTGGATGCCATCCTGAAGAAACTGCCGAGATCACCAGCACTCGGGAAGTGCTCGACGCAATGGACGTAGTGAGGAGATACACGGCGTCGCATGGGCAGCAAGATGCCCTGTAAGCGCTTTGGGCGCTCGAACGCCGTATGACGCCGCTGCTACTGTCGGACAAGGCGCAAGCAAAACTCGCGGACTACTTTGCCCCTAAATAAATGTCATTTTCGGTGAGTTTTCATACCCGTAAAATGCTTCGGAATTTTTTTTTCATGCTAGCGCCAAATTTCAATTTAGCGAAATTTCAATGTAACGAAGTAAATTGCGAATTTTACCGACTTCGTTACGTTGAGGTCTAACTGTATTCGTCGTAACACGAATATTCGAAGTTAATCGAATATTCGAGAACGTATTCGCAAGCATAAGTTTCGCTTTTGGCTTCGGTTTCAATAAGTAAGGCCCACTGACGGCGAAATAGCTGCATGGAGGCTTCAACCTAAGCTGGTGGGGTCGGTGATGGTAGCGGTAATCTGCGAGTTTCTGTTCCCTTGTTACTCCTGACTTTTTAAACGGCGCATTTTCGCGTTCGCCCACACGTGTTATGGCAGATGGAGGTGTTTGCGGGGAACCATCTGCGAAGCAGAGAAACGAAAGGGAAATGGCACCAAAACGAAGAGAGAGGAGCGCTATTTGAAAATATATAACATAAATCTCAAAGTACATCCGGCGTTGTTGCAAGAGTATCGTGGAATTACCGCTGGTACGCGAGGAAGATCAACCGACACTGACGGACTTTGTGCGCCGCACGGAGCCCCTGCCAGAAAAGAGGGTGCGAGCGCTAAACAACAAGGTGGCTGCCACGATAGCGATTAATTTACAGCCTTACAGCATTGTGGAAGACTGCGGCTTCAAAGAACTTCTGACAGAAGCCATTCCCAACTATCACCTACCATCCCACTCTACATTCTCGTGCAAGCTTGTGCCACGCATGTACGACGACACCTAAAAGAAGGTTTAAGCAGAGTTCAACAGTGCTTTTGAAGGCGGCACTACCGCTGTTGCCTTCACAAGCGACATATGGACATTGCGCGCTAACGAAAGTTACCTTCACCTGCCATCTTCTCACTCCAAAATTCATGATGAAGCGGTTCACATTGAACACTCGGCACATGGCTGCCGGTCACAGTGCTCTGAACATTGCAACAACGCTGAATGAAATGTGCCGTGACCCAATGAATGTGCGAAGTTCTTCGAAATGAATAACGGGCGCAACATCCGTGCTGCGGTAAGGAGACTTCCATAGACTGAAAGAGCGTGCTTCGCGCATACGCTTCAACTGGCGATAAATGACGCGAGATCCCGTTTGCCGGCCATTGATCGCCTGTGCAAGAAAGTGAGGCATGTTGTGGGACATTACAAGCACAATTCATCAGCTCAGAAAAGGCTTGAGGAGTGCCAAAAGCAGATGGGAAAGGACACACTACGTCCGGTGCAAAACATGGAAACGAGATGGACTAGCCAGTATCTAATGTTATCTCGCCTTCTGGAACTCAAAGAAGCAGTCACTGTGGAGCTTGTTACCTCAAACTTTGAGATCGATGGATTTGGTGCATCAGAGTGGAAAAATGCATCTGAATATGTACAAGCATTGAAGCCACTGTTTGATGCCACTGTTATTGCCAGTGCTGAGAAGTATCCGTCTTCGTCCTCCCAAGTTCCTGTGATTTTTGGTATGCTTTACTGTCTAGGTAACTGTTCTGGGGCATCAGAATTTCCCGCAAAATTGATACGATCCCTCAAGGCAAGGTTCGCTCTGCATAAGGAGGACAAGGAAGCATGCCTTGCTATGTGCTTGGACCCACGCTTCAAGTCCACTATTTTTAAAGCTGAAAAGGAAAAATGCCTCGTGAGATGCTACTGAAGAAACCAGCTGCAACACAGTCACAAGAGCAAGGCTCAATGCCGTCAGTAATGTTTGGCAAGAATTTGACCACTTAGCCAAAAGTGCAGTGAAAAGCAAAGAGGTTTAGCTTCAGAATGAGAAGTTGTAGCGTGTGCGGAGGAGGCACTGCTAAAGAGAGAGAGTGATCCGTGTGAGTGGTGGCGAACTGTCGGGTGCTTAAGATATCCTAGTCTGGCGGAGCTTTGCATCAAATACCTGGCAATACCTGCTACTTCAGTGCCGAGTGAGGGAGTTTTTTCTGTGGCTAGAGGTGGTAGTTTCCGCTCGAAGGGAGTGCCTCCTACCTGACAATGTGCAGGAGTTGATTTTTCTGCATGACAACTTGTGATCTTCCCTACAACTAGAATGTTCGTTTTTTTATATTTTTATTCTCAATAACACCAGTGCCTCACTGGTGTTAATGAGAATAAAAACACAAAAACGAAAATTCTAGTTGTAGGGAAGATCACAAGTTGTCATGCAGAAATATCAACTGCAGTTCCGCAGTTCAAAAATAAAAAAAAAACTCAAAAATTAAAAGAAAAATCAAACGCAGTTCTGACATGTGAAAATAAAAATGCTGCAAAGAAATGCACCTGCCTTCGACTATTCAATATTCTAAGATAACTATTCATACATATTCAATTTGTATTCGAAAATATTAATATTTGCACACCCATACTTAAAATAAGAGAATGTTGCATTAACTTCTTTGAAAGTCGTAACATTTTGCCAGGTTAAAGAGTTTCGAAGCTTATAAAATGCGGTAGTAGTATCTTAATTTTATCTTCTCAGTGCTAGTGCATGTAGATCACGGTCACAGTTATAAAGAGCTGTATGATTACAACTTTTTACTACCATGTTAACTGGAAGCCCTCTGTAAGAACTCAAACCCAGAATCATATAGCTTGTAGCTGACATGTACTTTACGAGGCTCCACAGGTGGTGCCAACATATGTTGCTCTCAACAGCCTGTAACCTGATTTCGCCAATTGCAAGTAACTGCGGCAACACCTGTGACAGATTCGTTGCCGCGACAAAAATTTGTTTTTTATCTACCCGGAGTTCTAATGTCATGCATTGGCAAAACTTTAAAAAAAACACCGCATGTTAAAAAAAAAAAAAACCTTTTTTTTTAAAACTACGTAGATAGACACCATCATCATAATTTTTTTTTTTTCCTATCTGGCTCAAGTGGGAATCGAAAAAACATAAGCAAACACTGCCACTGAACGCACTTCCACCTCCCTCCCTCCCCTTCTACCCTCTGAAAAAGATTAACACAAATATTACATTAATTAATGCAATTGAAAAAAATTTCTTAAAAAAAGAAACCATGTACACTCATGTGGAGCAAAACATCCCCAATATCACATTTCCCCGTGCTGGTTTTCATATTTTGCTTTGACCGTTGTTATTTACCCCCCCCCCCCCCCCCCCCCCGCCACGCCACAGGCTGCGCGGCAGGACCATGCAAACTGCCTTCATCTCACTTTGTAATGACATCGCGATTGATATGGGGGGGGGTATATAGGAAGCAATACAAACAAAATTGCCCTCAATTGTGCATCTGTTGCTTCTCGGTCGGCAAATATGGAGGGGGGGGGGGGGGGGGGAGGGGGGTGTTCTGCAGCAGTTTTTGAGCCTTCTTGGGATTCCATGAGACCAAAAAGTTTCAGAACCCCTGATCTAGAACATTCTTTGGCACAAATCTACACAGGCCCCAGCACACTAGATGACTTTATCAGGGGCTCCTCTTATCAGAAACCAAAGATAGGTGGACCCTAGTGAAAACAGAGTACATCCAAGTTGCTCCTGTTATCTGAAAAGTCTTCCTAAAAAGGCAACTTAAAAAATAAAATAAAAAAAATGGCCTTAAAACTGCCAAAAGATGAAGAAATTATGATTTTATTAAAGTTATGCTCTTGACATGTTTAGACTGTCAAGCACATATCCAAAAAGTGTCAGCATCAAATCGAATTGGGAAATGTATAAATATATGTTTCATAGGTGCTCTACCCCAAGTGAAAGCATGCAAAACTGAAATCTCAAGTTTTTTTCTTCTTCCCAGTTTGGTATTTTGGGACAAAATGCACTGCCTCACCGAGGGTTTGGGAATGTCATCTTTATTTTAGCAACCATAAACTTCATGTTGCTGAATTTCTGCCAGACAGATCTACCATCTGATGCTACTTGTTTTGACCTATTTTCACTCGCTGGAATGTAATTTGCATAGGTCAAGCAACGGCAGAGTGGCCAAGGGGTTTTGCACCTGACCTGCTGGAAGGTCTCGACAGCTGGTGAGTGAGACCTCAGGGACAGGGAAAGTTTCAGCAGGGCGAGCTTGGCAGGCGACAAGTGCTTGCTGGCCACTTCGAGCACTGTCTCGTACTGCGCCTTGGGTGTGCCTGAAACAGAAGGCAACCTCTTGAGCGATACAAAACCGAACACGCGTCGCTAATAATAGAATTACTACGGCCGCGCCGCAAGCTATCTCCGTGGACGACACTTATCGCGCCGAAATGGGGCGCGGCGAGGTGTACAATAAGCGAGATAAGATGAACGCACTCCAAGACACTAAGATGGACGTCCAAGGTAAAAGCCTCAAAGTCCGAGACCTCGCAATCAGCTGAGAAGATTTTTCTTCGCCGTGTTCCCTACACTCGGGGCTTTCTCCTCCCCCTGTTCTTCGACTCAAGTGGTCTCGAGACTTGACTCTAAAGCAGATGAGGACGTTTATTTAGGGTGTGAGATGCACTTCGAGGCGTGTGGCAAACAATTGCGTAGAAGGAAAGCTTTTTTTTTTTTTTTTTTTCTCCTATTTGTTTTAAAAGACACTGATGCAGATTATCGACTCTTTGTCAACAGTGAGAGGAGCAAAGTTCTCAGTTACTTAATTTTTTTCTATATTTTCTGTTTCTAAGACAAGTACTGCACTGGTGTTCCAAAATTCAAGGAATCGACAAGTTTTCCAACATTATTTTGGTAAACGTCATCGATAGCAGGGAGAAAATCTGTGCGGTGCTTTCATATTTCTGGTTAGAAAATTTCTACTCGCACACACAATTGTAAATCAGAATTCTGTAAACCATAAACCAAAAAAGGCGAACGGGCATTTTTAAATTTTCTTTCTTATTCTCATGACTTATTCAAATACAGTATGTAGATGAATTTCCAAATGCTAATTTTGAATATGCAATCAAATTTAAGAATCTTCTCTAGCATAAAAGATATGGTAAAATGTAACATCCCGACACTCTAAAGGTAAAAGTGTGTTAAAAAGAGTGCACTTTTTATATTAAAACAAAAACTACAGAAGAGAAAAAACAAGAACACAACTTCCCCAAATGGTAACAGGTTAGTTTTTATTTCTTCAGTTTGAGGCAAAAAAAAAAAAAAAAAGCTTTAGGATGCAATTAAGTTATTGCAGGAAACAACGCCACCGAGTCTGCTGAAATCTGTTCATGAGGAGATTGTCAAAACCTCTTCAATGCAATCTCACTTAACCAAGAAAAAAAAAATCAAGCCGAGAGAGAAAGTTGTTTTTAAATAAAGCTTTGGTTGGGGCTAGTTTGTTCATATCGACTAAACAGTAAAAAGGTGCGAACAAAACAAGACGAAAAAAGACACATACGACATGGACAGGCGCCTGTCCGTATCGTACGTATGTCTTTTTTTGTCCTGTTTTGTTCGCGCCTTTTAACCTTTTAGTTGTTTTTAAAGTTGTGTTTTCTTTTTTTTTTTCCAATCCATTAAATCAATCACTTTGACATCATAATTTGTTTTTTATTGACTAGCTGGGAAATGACTTCAGCAGTCACATTTTGTGAGCGAGTACCCTCTGAACAGTAAAAAAAACTACTGCAACTAAAAAAAAAGTCAACAGTTTTGCAGTTGCAAGTTATTAAAAAAATGCAGTCTTTTCTGCAACCCCCAACGAGTAACGAATTCCCCCTCCTGAAAATAAACAAAAAGCATAAAGCTAAACAAACACCCCCTCCCTCCCCCTCCAACCTCAGCCTTTTTGCAACCCTGTGAAACTTGCAGGTGTTATTTGATGCGACCGACACTTCCATTGATGCTGACAGCCCCGCTCATCCTCAAGAACAATCAACATCCCTCAGCAGTAACAACGACAGAGTGACAAGACAGCAAGTCAAGTGTGCTGCCGTCGCACTGACGCACTTGCTCGCAGCTACACTGTTGTTTACACGGAAGGGAAGGCACCCCCAAAGAAACAACAGTCGGCATTTCTGAGGCTGTGCCCGTCACATTGTTACCTGCACTGTCGTCCGACCCGACAAAGCTCTTTGCCGTGGGTATGTTTGAACCGGCTCCGACGTATGGCGTCTGGTGCCGCAAGAAAAACTTGGCACATTGGCTCGAATGAAGGAACAAATAGTTTTGGGGTGCCTATACTTCGATTCACAGTATGTCTATCTAATGAAGTGATTAATGATTGATAAGATATATAAAGGAATAAATATGCAGTCGTTTCTCTACCTTAAAGGCAAATAATTACAAAAGCCCGCCATAAATTCACAATAAATTAGCATTACCCAATTTTTCTTTTACAGAAAAAAGATTGAAAAAGACTGTTTCCAGAGGCACTAGATTAGCACCCTATCTTCCTAGGCATAAGATAAAAAAATAAATAAACACATAGTATTACAAAATAAACAAAAGTAACCTGCCATATTTTGACTAAATTTCCCCCTTTAACGATCATCCATTTTTATTAAAACGACACAACCCCATTTTTTCACGTTCGATTTCACCTCCTCATATTCCCCTTCCACTCAAGTTCGAGGCCCCGCAATTTTCGACACAAAAGACCCCGTACAAACCACAACACTACAATAAACACACGTGTGAAAGAACCCAACTCCGTGCACTTTTAGGCAGATAAACAATCTCTCTTCTTCACCAAGCAGAAGCCTGAAATAGCGAGGCAGTCGGTGGGTCGGGGTCGTGGCTAAAGATAGAAGCACACGTGCCTGCCGCACAGACACTACAACCACCTTCCAAAGCCAATGTCTCTGGAACAAGAGAAACGGAAACTCCTTCTTTCAGCGTTTTCATTCGCAGCAACGTAACTCTCTAAGTGGCATTTCTTCCACGGTTCACCTAAACAACATGGAAATTTATGTCCACCAACGAGGTGAGAACAGCAGGAAGAAGTTTCGGTTGCCCCGCCTCCAGCGCAAGCTTCCAACCCTTGACAACAGTTTGGCGCAGGAGGCCGGACGTTCCAAAGACACAGCAGCTAAGTGGGGTTCAGTGGTGCGAAAAGTCTGTTCCGCGTCCGACGCTTTTGAACGACTCCGGAATTAATGGCGGCTAGGCTCACCTCCCTCAATCTATTTTCCTCAGAACGGAACTCGGAATATCTAACAAGCGCCGAGCCGCCCGCGGCGCGTCAATGAAAATAATCGAACTCGCAAAACGTAATTTTGATGACGACCGAAACGCAGGAAATGCGTCGATTAAAAGAGACCTCGAATGCACAGTCGCGGGAGACTGCCGGACTATCTGGTGTCACATATTTCTATGCCGGTTTCCTGGGTTCGGGTAAGCGTTCAATTTTCTTAGCGAATTATGCGACTCTACAACGAAAAGCAACTTTATGCAACATACTCTAAGGCTTTGTACAAAAATATTTATATTATTTTTTGGGGCTGTCAGTGTCCCTTTAAAGGCCAGTTCACACACACAGCTCGGCATTAGCTCGGCGCTAAATCAGCCCTGGAAGCAGTGCCAATGCAGAGCTGGAACGTCACAGTGTCGTGATAAAGAGCACGAAAATGGTGTTGCATCGGCGAAAGGACAGCGCTATTTTCAGCCCTCTGAAGTGATAACTCCAACAAGATGACACAACAGGTAAGCAGCTCAGTCTTCCTTCAACCTTCAAACATAATATGAGGAGTCCCATTCAGTTTCTCTTCTCAGAAAATCCTTCACAGCCAGTGATACTGAACAATGTCGGGCTGTACAGATAAGGGCTACACGGCATGTTAACGTGCAACTCGACAGGTAGGTCAAGTGCATTGTGGAACATGATAAGGCGGGGGCCGAGTCCTCTGTCTCCTTTTCAGCAGTGTCACTTGCAGAGTGAAAACAGCATCGGCAGATGTTGGGCCAAATACCCCTTCTTTTATTAAAAATCAAAGTATATTTGTATAAAGTAGTTTACCTCTGTAATAACAACTAAAACTAAGTGGTGATGTTTCCTGTTACTGTGCAAACCAGGATGACCATGTTTTGAATATTTCCATACTTTCTTAATGTGATTGCAAAAAAAAGAAAAGAATTAAGCTATTTTAATTTGACTATAGAGTTACCTGCACTAAACACTGTTCAAATAAGCATAGATATGTTAAAGATATTACTACAGGCCCCACTGTTCTCGATATAAACCTCTCCAAAAATACCTACATATTAACAAAAAGCTGTCTCTAAAGGTTTTTAATGGCATCACCAATATCTAACTACCATAAAAAATACTGAGCAAGAGTTTGCCCAAAAGTAGGAGACAGTCTTGAAAAACTGAGTGATGGGTGCTCCTTAGATACAAGAAACCAAAGCGGAAAAGGGGCAGAAGGTAAAGTGGGCTTCACCACTCAGCATTGGTGCATTCGCGTCAAGCTTCACTGCATTGCACCGGAGCGTTCGGGGAAGCGGCTGATCCGGAAGCGAATTTCAGTTAGCCATACTCGTGTCCGCCTCAAGAACACAAGTAAAAAAATTACAGGAGGAGACTTAAGACTGCTTATGGAGTAGGAAGGCGAAAGCATTATAGTACTGCAGGAGAAATGTTTTTGAGTAATGTGAGAAATTGTTTTGAGTTTCTACATGTATTAAAAGTTTAGGACAACAACCTAGAGATCAACCTCAAGGACAATGTTTAGGACGACTTCTAAGACGCCCTGAACAACGTTTAAAACGACCTCAAGGACGATGTCTAGAGGACGTCTAGGACAGTGGTTCGCAGCCATTGATATTTCGCGGACCCCTTGGGGATTGGCGGAGAAGATGGAGGACCCCGCTCTGTATGTAAAATTGATGACCGGACAAGCGCCCATTCCCCATTTTTTCGCGATTATCTCTAAATTTTGAGAGGGCGCTTGCCCAGTATGTTACGGCATACACGAGAAAATTCACCCGAAAATTGGAACGTTCCTTCTCAATCTGAGAAAAAAAAAACTTTTATTTCGGGGCTTGACTGATGAGGCTCGGTGTCGCGGACCCTTAGATTGCCCTCACGGACCCCTGGTCCGCGGACCCCCATTTGAGAACCACTGGTCTAGGACAACATCAAGGATGACGCCAAGGACGGCGTCATCCTTGAGCATACGACTGAGCAGCGGGCGCTTGACGACATATCTTTATGGCCATCTTTTGGGCACAATGACGCCACCTTTTCGCTCAATGGGACAACTAAGGGTTTTGCCTTAGAACGTCCAGCTCCTCGCAGAATATTACCAATTTCCTCCTTCCTGCATTGAATCAAGATATATGTAGGTGCATTGGTTCCACATTATTTTATCAAGACACACATCTGTCGAACGTTAAAGCATTGCTTCTTCCTTTGACAACCAAATCCTCTGAGAACTACTTCGCACACCGCGTAAATAATGTGCAAAAGTTTTTTTGTTTTTTTTTTAATGAGACAATGAGAGGTTTGGGGTGGGTGCATCATATGTCCTTTGCTTGTATTTCAAATGTTTTTCAAAAGCAGCAGGTGGGACTTAGTGTGAGGTGGGCTCATGCTCGGTATTTTATGGTAAGCGAACAAAAAATAGTGCAAGGGGGTAGATTTGTATACAGTGCAATCCACTTATAACGATACCACTATAACGATATGCCGCTTATGACGATCAGTTTATAGGGTTTCTAGTCTACAAACAATCTTTTTCTAGTCCAGGTACATTGACAATCGGTTATAACGATTAAATTTTCGAGTTTTCTGATCATTGTAATAAGTGGATTGCACTGTATGTGCACTTCAAATGAGAGCATCATGACATAGTTCAATTTTACTTATTAACTTATATTATGTTCATAAATTCTTAAGAGAATCCTCGCGAGAAATTTATAATTTCCTGTGGCCTCGTGTAGCTCAGATCAAAATTCTGAAGAGCAGTTCTGTCGTTCAGAGACAGTACACGAGCTCGTAAAAATGCACGAAAAGAAAAACTTACAGTTTGAGAAGGTCGTGAGGTCTACATTTTGAAAGTCACTGACAAAACGCCAGAAGTGATCGTTGCTTTCTTCGGCAAAGAATTCACTGAAAGAAAACACCGAGACAAACGAGAAAAAGTTAGCAAATAAATTATACATGAAATCACCAGCCCTTTAGTTCAATTCACCGCAAGAGCCAACAAGTAGCAGAACTCTACAGTGGTGTAGCTACTCTGACCGCCTTCAATGCAAGCACCGCAGCAGGGATGGGCAGTATTTCAAACACAAGTATTTAAAATATGTGTTTCAAATACTTTGTGTATTTTGCATTTGCATTTAATTACAAATTGGGTAATGTATCTGACGTGTGCATTTAAATACTAAAATGTGGGTATTTCAAATACAATTGTAATTAAATACAATTTTGTGGGCAAAAATACATCCCTCAAACTTATTGTCACGACTCATTTTGCTCATCCTAAGACGTGTCCAAAGCTGCTCTGTCTTCATCTCAACGCCAACAGCAACAACAAACCAAGAAACTCTTCATCTCTTCATACACCAGTCCTGCGGCAGTTCGCGTCTCGCTCCCCGCGGGCGCCCGGGCGCGCCGTGCACCCGCGGCACTTGCGTTTATTACGTTAAATAAATGTTATTGCCAAAGTTACAATTCTTGTTTTCATGCATGTGATTGTAAGATATAGTCTTCATCTTTTATTCGGCCATGGCGTTTCTTTTTCTCCTCCGGCTTTATTTTAAAGGCACTGTCCAGAGCAGGAAGAAAACTACATTCTGCACCGAATGCAGTGTCTCTCAATCAAGCACAAGCGTTTAATGACTTTGTGATTACGGTGCTACTCCAGGGCAAGAATAGTGACAAAATCGACGTTCACAGGCAGATTGGCTAAATAAGAGCCTTCTAAATGCGCGGGTCATCCAGATTTTTGTAACTGGCGCGAGTTGCAACAAGAAACAATTCTCTAGCTAGTGCTGCGCGTCTTGGTCGTTTTGGTTCTTTGTTGGTCTATACCAAAATGTAATCGACAAAAAAAACTGCTTGCAGCTCTGTACTTTTCTCACCTATTACGTCCAAGCTGATTACATTTTTTTGTGATTATATTTCTATTAGTTACTAGAGCCTCGCACACTACCTCCCGGGTGTGCAATGCAAAATTAAAATGAGATACCCAGAAACCCGTTGCAGGTGCCCTGAAGCTGCTGACGCAAATTTTGAGGAATGTATTTGGAAAAGTATTTGGAGGAGACCAAATACATTTGGCTGTATTTGTATCTTGTACTTAAGGGGGGACACTACCCAGAAAAAAAATTTTTGCAAAAAAAGTTGATTTTGAAAAATGCCATATTTACAGCCACCAATATCTAGAGAATATTCTCAGAAAGTTTCATTAGTTTACACCATGTAGTTAATTTTTTATAAATTATTTTCGGTTCACCGAAGCTGAAAAAAAGGTAGGGTTTGGAGCACTTTGAACGCATTTTTCTCTGTTCCACTTTTTGGCATAAATTTCTCTTCAGGAAAACTATTGTTTGCTAATGGGACAACAGAAAAGACTCACTTATTGTTTTTCCTAACTGGAAGTTTATGGGCAATGCAACTGTGGACATGTTTTCTGACTTTGTGGATGTGATTTATAAAAGATATAAAAATTTTGTCAACAACATAAAGGCAAAAAATTTATTTCATTTTTTTGCTGCAATGATAGCATAAAATAAATTACTTTTTGGAAATTTTGTTTTTACAGTTGCACTCTCCAGGCATTCTGCTACAGATCTAGAGTAGAAAAATGTTTTGTATTACATTAGTTTTCTAACGATAGTTTTATTAAACAAAGTCAGTGTGTTGCTGATAAAAACAGTTATAATTTATTTTACAATTTATGTACACAGATGAAACTTTGCACTGCATTCTACATTGCAATTGCCAGTATATACTGTAAACTTCATTCGTATGAAGCCATAGGTTAAAAAGTTGATGCTCTTGGGTAGTGTCCCCCGTTAAATGCTTTTTTGGAAATGTAATTAGATTTGTAATTAAATACATTTTTGACGAAGTATTTGGTATTTGTATTTCGATACATATTTGCATATATTTTGCCCATCCCTGCACCGCAGACATGTAACCGTGACTGAAACATCTGTCCCAAGTCCATTAAGTTATGCTTACTTTCCTCCAATTGCCCAAAATGCTGAAAGTACTGTTATCCACCAACAAACGTATTACTTTAAACGTAACTTCTAATTTTTGAGCCATTACTCAATAATTAGGTCAGGAATAGACCTATATGAAGAAACTTTAGAGCTATTTTGGAAGCATGAAAGACTGCATGTTGGAGTGGAATACCACCAACAGTCTGAAATACATAAAGTACACGAGGCTCAAATTAATATTGTGACTTTGGGAATAACAAAGGCACTATGTATTTGTTACTGGTGACATTCTTCTTTGTTCATGCATTTCTAAAAAAAAACTAAAACATTTTAAATTTCTAACTTAAAAAAAATCCTCTTTTTACAAAAAGCTGACAGTAATTTAATTGTAACCAATTTTAACCGTCAACATAGAATGGCTCTATATCAGATTTGTTTTGATTCTTTCTCGCATAAAGTTGGCATGTTTGAAGTAATTTAGAGTATAACGAGAAAATTAGAGCAGAAATTCCACCACTGGGGTTCAAAATCTTAGAACCAAAGGTGCTCACTGAAGACAAAAAGGGAATACTAGTCAGTTCAACCAGTGAACAAGACTTGAGGTATTTATAATGACAATGCTTTGAAACGCCAGCTGAAGTACATGCGGCATGAGCACACAAAAGTGACACTCACCTAGCTTCTAGGTGCAAGGGAGTGCTGCTCCACTTTGAGTCCAAAGTGACCGAGATAACTTTTTGTGGGGCACACTGCACCCCGAGGACTAGACCCAATGTTGTTAGCACAACAAATGTCGCCTGCATGGTCTGAAAAAAAAAAAAAAGGAATAACCTTAGATGCGAGGTACAGGTTCCTAGGGCACCGCAATATCTGGCAGATTATTGCTAGTCTTTTAAGGAAAATCGACGCCTCTTGCTGGATATTTTGCTGATCGTTTTGATGCCTGACAGAATTTAAACAGCACTCATCCATCTCCAGTGCTGAATGATAAAAGATACAAATGAGATGACCTGTTCGAGAGTGCCTGGAGAGCAAAAAAGAAAAGCACACATAATGACTAGTGTATGATGCCACTGCATTCACAATGAGTAGATTGTATAATTCCATAATAGATCTAATTCATTTTTGTTGCTGCCTATCAGAACTCTACAGGGACATCCCAGGATGCAACACTAAAAAATAGCAACATGTGTGCAGAAACTTGGTGTTCTTATAATGGGTTGGATTGACAGTGTAAAGCCAACAAGGCAAACAACTAAAAACTCCAGTATGTACCTGAGCTATTTCTGTTGCACCATTGAATGCTGCCTTTCGAAAAACTAATGATAAGTAAAGGATGTGCCACCATCTTTGAGAACTTACATTTTCTATAGGTGACACGTCCGCATTGCTTTTATTTGATTTCGGTCTGCCAGATTAGCGCGAAACTGATAATAAAGCTGTTTCGGGCTTTAAACTAATCTTTGTTAGCCGCAATCAAATACTACATTATATAGGCCTTCATATTACACCTCTAAAACTGTTGCTACCAAATTATCATCAAAGTACTAAGGTGGCAATGAAGGCCAGTTGCCTCATGACCAGAAAAATAAACACAGACTGGATAGTTCTCTCTTGAGTCCCGTCTTTCTGTGCGCTGTATTTCGTATTTTTCCATCATCAAAGCTGCACCTAAGATGATAGTCGGCACATAACGTGACAAGATTTTACCTTTGATTTTATTCTTTTTGATGAAAGAACAGAGCTATTTATTCACTAGTAATGTTAGTCTTCCCACACTCCTTCCCTTGAAATTCGTACCGGAAGAATAATGTACTATAACAAGTATGTTTAAGGTCAGGTGAAGCGTATTTGTCCCCAACGTTTGCTGTGTCAATAGTCTCCTAACCTTTTCTCTCCCATTCTATTTTTTTTTTCTCTCACTACAGAGCACCATGCCAACTCGAGAGGTCCTTCAAGATGCGTACAGCAAAAGCTGACGGACAGGACTGGCCATCCGTCGGAAGGCCAGTCCTGTCCGTCAACAATCTGCACTTACGCGGAGTGAGCACTTTCCCCTTTTCGCTGCTATAAAAAGACGGCCAATGTGTGCAAATCCTCTCTAAGCCGCCGACCCCTCCCCCCCATCGGCAAGGTGAGGCGAGACGAGAAATTACAGAACAATGAGACTGTTACACAAAAACATTGTTACAGGCAGTGGAGAGTACCGGTGATAAGGCGCCCGACGTCGTCGGGAGCGCGAAACTTTGGACCTGTGTTCTCGTCTGTCAAGAGGCACTGCAAGGTCCCATGCAAGGTCCACTGAAAGGAGTACTACACTTCAGATGATTTGGGAAGGCGGTCAGTATGGCTCCTGTACAAGTGAGTCAAAGCCACCTAGCTCAAAAGAATAAGTCGGGACTGGACCCAAGTGGCACATATATATTAGGTATAGTTGTGTCAAGATAGAATTCACACAGAAACCCAGGCCTTGAAAAGAAAGATAACAAGCACATATCAAAAGCCAAGCCGAAACCAGTAAAAAAATTTTAACATCTACATACAGGTTTAAAGAAAAGTAAAACTAAAGGGGGAAGAAACTAGCACAACATTTTTTCCCACACTTATTTGTCCCCACTAATCTAACCAGGGCTCTGTGAAAGTTATGGTGCTCGTCTCAAAGAAAAGTTTCACAGCTAGTGAGTATTTACACACAGCTCTGTGCCAGTTTGAAATTGCATGAACGAAGAATCATATTTTAGCAACAAACTCAAAACTGCCAGATAGTGCAGGTAGCAGGTGCAGCTTGCTTATATATGCAAATGCACTTAATTTAGAAGATTGCCAGTGGTAATAAGTGTCAGAGTTCACTATAATTTACAAACTTCACAAGCCACAGATTCATTTACCTAGCCTACTATGAGGATCATTATCGCCGTAAAAGAGGCCTCAAGTCCATTGCGAGCACAGCACCCCCCTTCCTTAGAGGCCCTAAGCAAACACACCTGCTTTGGACTGACAAGTACTTCGCAAATCATGCACTTTCTCTTGTACTTCCACAAGGTCAGCGCACAATAAATCAAGCTTGGCAGGCTAAGAGCAAACATAGAGATTAGAATTCAGCTTATTTATGGACCAAGCTCTGGGGAGTTTGTTCGTAGATTCTCGGGGACTTGCAATACATACATTACTCACTACATAAATAATTCCAGGTAAGTAGATATAGCCAACTAAGTGTTCCAGACAAATTCCCAAGCCTGCTAGGATAATGCAATCTGTCTGCCAAAGGAAGCTCCACAAACAGTCAACACAAAGGCGAGATATGAGTAAGAGGTGGGAAATCCACAATGATGTACAAAAGTAGTCCCGACGAAGGATGTCGCAAACTTTTGTCCAACCTCCAGGTTCGAATGGTTCGGTGAAACTTTTAGCTTTTGGTAAAATTCTACTACTAAGTTCGACATCTTAAACAGGGTTGCTCGACTTTTACAAACAAATTTTTAATTCCGGAAAACACTGGCATATAAATAGCCTTTCTTTATATCTTAGAGAACAATTACCATTGTTTACACAATATAAGAGCCAACTAGAAAGATAAGAGCAAACATATAGGCTTCCAATAATTTAGCTAGTTCGTTTAAATGTTGCACTCTTCCTCTGCCAGGTGGTGCCAGCTCGCTTATAAATTACTCGCACGTGCATATTAGTTTAACTTCTGTTCAAATTTTGTACAGCCTAGAGTTTAAAGGTTGAAAAAGTCGAACCTGGCCAAACCCAAACCTCAGCAAGTTTACGACGTCCCTAGTCTTTACCACAAACGCAATTTCTGAGGAAATGGTACCAGCGATAGGCTCCATTTCACATTTACTCAGGGCTAAGAGGGGAAACATCGGTGAACTAACTAATAAACAAACGATTTAAATTCACCGCTTCCAGCTTTTTATTTTGTACTCGGCCCAATTTCGTCCCTCATATAAAATCGAAGGTACTCAATATCCATTCAAGCTGCCCGTTCAAACCAAAGTCTCGCGCCTGCAGTTGAAAACCACAATTTTCCTCTTCATCATGCTTTGCTCACACTCAGAAATATAGAATGTCAACAACTTCACATTTCAGCCTTTACTGAGACAACCCAGCTCTAATAGATTCTGATCAGAGTACCTAGCGTAATTAAATTTCCAAGTTTCCCGACTTTTGCATGTTTCCAACATCAATATTGCCTACAATAATAATAGCAATAAGGTGCCATTTCAGACTGTGAGCTACGCAAGTATACAAGAGCCACATTTGAAGTTTTCATCAATATTTGTGCTCTCATTATCGATTATTACTGATAGCTCATAGTTATGCACTTTCTAAGGCATCCTCCAATGCACCAAACATTTATGTTCAGGCCATGAGAACATACAAGACAACAAAACCATGCTACCAAGTCAACTTTACTCACAAATTTCCCAGACTCCCACAATGTAGAGCCCAAATTTCCTGGCATTTCCCCAACGATTCGACGCTGACTAGATTCTACGACCGCTTCAGACCATATACCCTACAGATCTATTCTTAACATCGCGGGACTCTTGACGCGAGCATGAAATAGGCGAAAGATAAGCAAAACGGTTCATCGCACAGCCAGAACAAAGGAATTGGTATCGGGTCACCAGAAAAGAAAGAGGGACACAAAGTCCAAAAGGAAATTTTAGATAAATATGTCTCTAATAAAAACAGAGTTTCGAGATTCTCAAGTTCTTCAAGGTGAAATCAAAACTCATTGGACGACACCAGGGTGAAGGTAAGTTATATGACTAGAGTCAAAGGTAATTCTTTTTCGGCTTGTCTGTCAGGAGAGAACTATGCAGACAGGCACGAGCATAACTAAGGCTGCTATTTTTAATGCGAAAGCATTAACTGTCTCATGGAGTGAGCCGACGTCATCAGTCTCATGTGCGAAAATGGCACCTTAAATCCTTTCTCCAAGTGTAGCCAACTCCCAGCTATGGAACCACATGAAAAGCCCAGACATGGCACCTAGTTTCCCCGATCCCAAAGGAGCAAAGTAAAACTGATGAATTTTGGGCTTCGTTTCCATTGGCTGGAGCGTGTCGACGAGGCTCCCCATTGACCACTGCACGTCAGTTTGAACGATTGCTCACTCGATGGCGCTGCGTGTCCGCGAGGCGGCGGCTCCACCGTTTTACACCCAAAGTCAGCGCGTTGTACGCCGCAGACAAAAGAAGGGAGCGAAGAGCGGCGTGCGTGCTTTCGCATTCACAACTCATAGGAAGTGCTTAGGTGTACATTGCGCCTTTTTTAGAGTGCACCTCTTAGGTGCCTGTTTCCGCGTATAATGGCGTCACCGTCGGCGTGATTGTGCATGTTGCATAAGCGGACGTCACAGACCTATACACCAACTCAATTTCTCACTAAATTTAGCGAAAAAAACTGAATTGGTGTGTAGATGTGTGACATCCCATAATGTGACACTGTGAATTCAGTTTCCCCGCCAAATTTAGCAGCAAAACTGACGTCACATGACCTCGAAACCAATTCAGTGTTCCCGCTAAATTTAGTGGGGAAACTGAATTGGTGTTGAGGTCACGTGGCGTCAATTTTTCAGCTAAATTTTGTGGGGAGAATGTGGGAGGAGTGGAAGGTATAAAGGAGGAGGACGGGAGAAGAGGAGGGGGAAAGAGGTGGAGGGGAGGTGGAAAGGCAGAGGAGGGGTGGGAGGAGTAGGAGGGGAGAGGTGGAGGAGCAAAGGAGGAGGGGCCCATACCCTCCCCTCCTTGTTCTCAAGAGCTGTGCTCTAATTTCACACGACCGAGATTTGTAAATGTCTCATTTTTTTCCATTTCTTTTTCTTTCCTCTGTGCAAGGTGATTGATGGTGCTAACCAGTATGTGGAGAATACTTAGAAATTTTTAATGAATGACAGTAATAGAAAATAATCATGATAATGATAATTACTTTGGAGCATGTGACCAGAAATTTATAGCGAGGCACATTTCTAAGGCTGCCAAATTTGGGAGCTTCATGTGCCAAACAACGAAGGGAGTCTGGCACGGCCTAGCAGAGGACTGGGGATTAATTCTGACCACCTGGAGCAGTTGGCCGACCAACTTTACATGCTGCTCTTAAAGTGCACAAATGCGGTTTCTTTCACATACATTTCAAGTTTCTTCACCCTTTTTCTGTGTGCAAAATAGAATTTTAATATTCGAAGCGAGGACAGCCTTACCACAGGTTGGCTCAAACACTACTGTAGGTACCTTCAATTTCTTATTTCCATGGAACCGGTCATGTAACCTCAAAATCTCTCTTGCAAGCGAGTTAACTGCTGGGAGAGATACCCACACTGATCGGCAAACTGCCCCTGGCGACCTTTCGAAATGCAAATAAAATCTCGGTTGCACGAATAAGCCTCCGTCAGATTACGCACACTTCGGCAGGGATTCGAGCCCGCTCTCGGGGTTCTGTGGGCATGCACTTTGCCTCGGAGCCACTAAGGCAGCTTTTCTAAGGCTGTGGAGGCTTACGACACAGGAAGTTTTATACCTCGAATGCACACATCACCACTAATCCTGAGGCTCTACTCCTGTGCTTTCTGCTCTCTCACAGATAGCATTAGAGGCATACAGCGCAAATTTCTAGACAAAAAAAAAAAAAAAGAAGTCCTACAATGACCCCTATGAGAATCACATATCTAGCCCAGCTAGCAGCTTAGTCTACAGCTCAAGAAAGCGAATATGGGAATTTAATTTCCGATCATTCTGCTGATGTGCAACGCATTTTGTTCCAAACCGTACCTAAATACAATTTTTTTAAAAAAAGAACTCTAATTGAGGTGCAGTTTTGTACGATATACTAGCATACTAGTCAGCCTTTACCAACAAGCTACATTTTTAATTTGGAGCTGTCAAAATTGTGGGCTGTTGTTTTTTCAGGCAAAACTGTGGACTTGTAGGGTTTACTTCTGGATTGAGGTTTACCCAGGCATCAGTTCACTACAAACAGGAACTAACAGATGAACTTGATAAATTGCAAATCCTAAAATCCTGCCCTGAACCAATTGGAACTTGCTAGTGTACACAGGGATTGTTACGATAGAAAGCTGTGGCAGGATGTGCATATAGTAAAATGATTATATTTCTTTAACTCCAAAGTGGGACATTGCCATGGTCATGGGGCGGTAATCGGGTGGAGGTGGAAGAGTTAGCATTGCAGTAGACTCTTAGGGCTACCTGCGAGCATTTGTAGCACAAACCATTGATCTTCATTTAATTAGCTTAATTAAAGAGGATTTGCACTTAAAAGGTGTCTGCTTTGGCTACAGAGATTGCGCGGCTCCACTGCTTCGCTGAAGAATAAATATCTTCCTATTCGCCTTTGTTTCTAACGACTTAAGATGCAATCGTCAAGTTAGAGTGACTGTAGACATGCTTGAGGACAAACCTCCGAGGCAATGAATCATAACTATGGATGTGAATTAGTTATTTCTCGACTGCCACAGAAAGTTGCAAACGAGTATAGCAGTGGGCCGCTAGGACGCCACTGTGGTGTCATCACTGGTGCTGCAGGCTGCGAGTCTTTAGAATGCAACCTGGTGTTTCACGGGAGATTAGGTGGGTTCGGCGAAAATGGAACAAAGCCAGTTTCTAAAGACTATACTCCCATTTTACCTTATGATAGACCGCAAAGGATGCTACGAGCCATCAAAAGTGACTGTGAATGTGTAGTTTATTCGTAGTCCTCACACTTTCGACACTGGGAACGGCCTATATTAAGCTACCACTTTTCGGACTGTTTTACTGTCTTTGGTGTCAGTCAGAGGTGGAGTTCTATGACGAATCGGTTACTAAAATAATTTTGGGTGTCTGCAAGCATTTACGTCCACAAGAGAAACATAGGGACCGCCTACACAGCAAGCAGCTCTCGCCCGCACCAGGCACTGTTGATCAGGCTGTGAGCATACCGACCGAAGTTTCTCAAAAGCCGCTTCGGTGGCTTTGAGGCTAAGTGCCAGCCTACGGATTCCGAGTTGGCAGGTTCGGTGAAAGTGAGACAAAACAGTATCTCAGGGACTACAGCGACCACACCGCAGTTCACCCTACGACGAACCGCAAGGGGTGCTACGAGCCACTAAAAACACTTCAATGCCTCGAGCATCATGTGACCTCTAAGAGGGGTGCAGTCAAGACGTATAGTGACGTAATATGTTTGTGGTGTTAGATTGGCTGGGATGGCTCGTAGCATTCACTATGGTCCATCGTAAGGTGCAACGGAGTATAGCCAATGCGACAGCAAGGCCGAAGCCGTAAGAAAGGGACTGTCCAGCTAGGTTGGGACAGCTGGTCACCCTGGTATACCGTAATGCTTGCCTTTCTCAGGCTAAATTCGGGTTTTTTTGCGTGGCATCGCAGCAAAAGACATCTGGCACGCCCCAGCAAAGGACTAATTTGGACCACTTGGGGACTCTTCGATGTGCGAACAAAATCTGTTATGTGGCGTCTTCTCCGCCACAAGCCTCTGGCAGATTGCAGGCCCCTCGGCCAGGATTTGAACCCGGCAACTGGGTATCCGTTGGTCGGCACTTCGGCTCGGAGCAACCGAGGCGTCTCTTTGGGAAGTAGGGAGCGAAGCACGCACGAGTGCAATTTGCTTCGGTCTACACACTCAATCCGATGGATGCTGCCAGTGGTGTAAGCGAGAAGTGCTCGCTGTAGTCTCCATATTTTCCTTGCAGACATAGGTGTCTGCAGACATTCGAAATGACAATAGTAACCAATTCGTCATAGAGCTTCACTCCCAACTGCAAACAACAATGGTAAAACAGCCCGACACATAGTGGCCTATGCTGAGAGCAAGTTCGTCTGCTTCTTGCACAAGGGTTGCAATTATGTCAGGCTGCTGAGCTCTCACTGGGTAGACCTCAAGGCATCTAGCATTTTGAAGTCTATCCATTGTCCTTTTAATCAAAGCTAATAAAAACTTGGTGTCATTCTGACGTAACCGCAAGTCCTGTGCAAGAAGCAGACGAATTGCTCTCAGCATAGGGGTCGTTCCCAGTGTCGACGGTGAAAGGGCTGTAATCTACAAATTCAAAAAACATAAAATTCTGGCAACCCGTGGGTCTACAATCGCGGGTAAAATAGTGCAATGTGGGTGAGATAGCTGAGATTGTCTGCAAATTGCACTGATCTTGAGAATGGTCTACTGGCATTACAACGGTAAGTTCGTCCTAGATCACATTTATGTTGAAATTAGCCCACACTGGCTATGGATGGCCTGCTCAAGGGTGACAAATATGTGATGAAAGGTTAACTTTACGTCCGTGCCTTTCTACCCCAATGAAGAATACGATGTTCGATTAAAAACGGCGAAAGGTGTTGTCCCTTAAATTTAAACTCAAAGATAAGCGAACTGCACTTGGAGGGAGGTTTTTTAGTGTCAATATGCGACGATCACCTACAAACACGTTCGCGCGATGACCACTGACCAACGGTCAGTGGTATGATGTGAAGACCGCCGCTTTCCGTTGCCGAAACTGCAAACACAATACTCCGCGCGTTGCACGCAAACACAGTGCACCCCAGAATAAAAATCGGTACCGAAGAATACCATATTGTGCAGTGGTTTTGAATATAACAACGTAGTATCTGCGGTTAGCCGCAAATGCCCGGGAAACACACGTAAGCATTAGCTTTTCGAGGTGCACACAAGACCGCACGCTTACCACTGATTTCACCGGGCACGAATGCTTGTTTGTCGAACACACGGCCGCTACAGTGTCTTTAGCACCAGATGTGGCACTAATTTGCGTTGAAAACAAGATTAAAAGACGTCACTTGAATCCTAATTGAGCGAACATGAGCCCGAAATGCCCCAGCGCCGGCGACCCCACGAAACCTGCATGCGTGTCGCCATGACACGAAACAAGTGTTGTGATGAGAAACACCGGAAAGGTGCAAACAAATGCGAGAAAAACACTTCGGATCGACAATTTTTATTGAGTAAAAAGAATACGCCGCTTCTAAGGCCGTCAATAGTATTTTCGGCAATTTTCGGGGCGCCCCACCAATCAAGCAGTGACAAGACGGCTCACGTGACCCCACGGCAACTTTCGACGCGCCCCGATGTCTCCTGGGATCGAGGGTACGCGATCACGCCACTCGAAATCCCGCGTACCGAAGCAAGGTAGGCCGGTGTGGGCTGTTATTCATCAGTGACTCAAAGCTTGTCGTTGGTGCGGCATGAGTTTGTGAACTCTCCCCGGTTCCACCGACTACCTGTTCCAGTACCGGAAGAAGAGTCAACCTGTCTCAATCTCTCCTAGGATCAGCTTAAACGGTGAGCCTACGTTAAGGGGCATTCTCGACTTCCATTGACCCATTCATTCGTTCATTCATATTTTGCGAAATTACGGCCTGAAATGAGGCGCGTTCGTCATCCTGTACGAACCGAACGGCATCCCTGGAACGCTCTTAGGTTTGAAGTGCCAGGGTGGGCGCGCTAACGGAAGCTTTTTGGGGGTGTTTCTTCGTCATCCGGAGAGGACCTCGGGCGATGTTATGCGGGAAAGCCAGCGACGCACTTGTCAGCCTCCTTCTTGCGCCATTCGCAAGCGCTCTGATTCGAACTCGAGGGAAGCTCCACGTTGTAGTCATAGCGAAATAGAGCCGCAATCGCGAGCACCGCCCTTCTCCGTATTTCTAGCAAACTTTTCATAATGGTGAGACTTTTCCCGCATGTGTTTTGGGCGCGTCTCAACCGCCGCGATATCCGACTTCGCTACGTCGGCGGCTTTTCTTGTTTATATATATATATTAAGAATTTTTTTGCCGTGTTCGTTTTCGATCTGTTTTCCCTAATACCTTTTCCTATCGCATATTCTTTTTAATCTTTTTTTTGGTGGTTCAAACCGCGGCGCAGGGGGGTGTGTCTTCCGACCATAACATGTGACGTCACTGCATGGGGTGATCTCCTTCCTATTTTACTGCAGCGTTCCCTCTCTCTTTTTCGGCTCTCCTGACGTGTGCGGCTTTGATTTACGTTTGAGGGGGTCACTCCACCGTAGGGCGTGGGCTTTGGGTCGTCTCGCGACGCGACCTCGATATTTAAATACGGTGGGCACCTGCTCGGATGTCTGTGCATGTTTTGAGTTATTCGTAGCGTCGTGGCGTGGTCCTGGAGGGATCGGTGAAAGTGGGGTGGGTGCAGCGGCGACAGGGTGGGAGGGGATGATGCGGTCGGTGGCGCGATGCGATGTGCCGTTTTGGGTACGGAGAGGGAGGCTGCTGGCTTCTCTTCGCCCTGTCGGCGTCGTGCCAAGCGACGAGAGGGAATTTTGGTTGTCGCCACCGGGTGCTGGATTCCCGTGTGGTGTTCCCGAATGAGCAGCAACAGTGTCGTTTTCGTTTCGTAGCGATGGAGATCAGTACGAGGGCCTGGCATCTTGCAACCCCTGTCAAGGCGCGCGCGCGCGTCTCCGAGGTCGTGGCTCTGCTAAATTTTTTTCACGATTTCTGTCGCTTATCAACTTTGCAGGCGATATCGCTGTCAGGTCCGCTAAAATTTTCAGAAAAATTGTGTTGCTGACTGCTGGGATCGCAGCTATGTGAATAAGAGAACTTGAGGCGCGAACGAAAACTCGTGCCTTCATACAGTCGTCGTCCTTTTGAAATCGTATGTTTGTAGATCGTTCGATGCGAACAGTAGTCAAGAAAGACCAAAAAAATGTTTAAGAAATGTTTTTTTTTTGTTTAATTTCTGGTTTTTGCCACGCACGTTGATGTTCTAGTACCATATTTGGTGGGCGGATATGGTCTTCAAAACAGATATTGTTCAAGACCCGTTTCCTGGTGTTACACACGAGAGGGTTATGTATATATTTGGACAATTTTATGAAAGCGTAACGCAAACGGTAAAAACGAAGCATGCTACGCGCATACAATGGAGACAAGAGTACTTTCTGTGGTTAATTAAGGGCACTGGGCGTTTTATGAAATTTAGTAGTATTAGTTTCTGTGACAATGTCATTTGGCAGTGAATTCCATTCGGCGATTGGAAGCGTCTGAAAAACGAGCATGAAGCCTGAACAGATAAATAATTTTATTAAGTGCCTGCCAACAGCAAGTGGCCTGAGCGAAGGTGCGCTCTCAATGAGTGAATACATAAGATAAATGCATGTTTTTTTGAAGTAATAAAATCGTACAGTAATATCATCGCGTAAAAACAAGGCATTATAGGTGTGTTGCAATCGTGTCATCGCACAGATTGATCGCACGTGAGGATAAAAAGTCTCGGCAGCTGGATAACTGCCCAGAGGGCACACGGAATCTCAAGGCCACCAATCTCTGAACACAACCTGATGTAAAAAGTGCACATCTCTAGCAATTCTTCTCTCGTGTAGAGTTAAGATTGGAATATAAAATTTTACGCATAATTTCAGCTCTTTCCAAAAAAATTTCAGTCGAGGGTGTTCAGAAAGCTCTTTTCATGAGGCTTGTGATGATAAATCTTACGAAGAAGGAACAGTCTGAAGAGCATACGACGTACGCAAAGTGTTCGGAGGCCCGCACGACCCGCTTTGGATGCTGTCTTCCATAAAGAACCCTAAAAAAACCTTTAAAAAATACGTAAAAAGCAACAAAAAAAAGAAGATAATTATCTATTTCGTTTCTTGTGAAAGATGACGTAATCACTGACGCTTCTCAGAAGGAGGCAGAATGATTTTACTCTTACTTTAGTTGTGTGTTTTCAGCAGGCATTACAAATAACACCACCAGCTGCTGTATTGTCCATGGAGAATACATTGTTCGAAGGCTGCTGGCCCTGGTTGCCTGCCGACAGCATTGCTAAAATCTTGTGCTCGTTCAGTGTCCTCATATGTGGAAATTATTTTTGAAAAGTCGCGGAGTGATTGCTTTCTGCCAGATGATTGGAACATAGCCTCTGTCGTGCCAGCTCATAAATCTGGGTATCGTAACAACGTCTTAATTTACCGTCCTATTTCATTGACTCAAATCTCTTGTAAAATTCTAGAACACATCTTGTTACACGTCTATTGTTAAACATATGGATGCTCATTCATTGTTGAATCCGAAACATGGCCTCCGGAGAGGGTTATCCTGCGTCACGCAGTTTACAGAGTGGACTCGGGATTTGTCTGAGGCAATGGATAACCGTAAAACTCTCAGACTCCAGTAAAGCGTTTGATGTCGTACCTCATAAGTTATTGCTAGAAAAGTTGGCGCATTATAATATTAATTGTCAAGTTATCTCCTGGATGTTCGAATATTAGCACGAAAGGTGCCAGTATGTAAGTAATCGGAAACTGCAGAAGCAACATCAGGGGTCGGTTTTAAGGCGTTTATTTTTAATCTATGTAAATGAGTCCGTCACTTCATGCATAAGAATGTTCGCAGACGATTGCGTATTATATAGAGAAGTAACACGTGATGGTGACAATTTCATCATTCACGGGGGTCTAGATACTACAAATACATGCGCGAAAAATGGAGAATGAAGTTCAACCTAGATGAAACCGTCTGCGTGACACTTTTCTAGAAAAGTGACCTCCGCCAGTTTCTAAGATGTCAACAACATAAGGACTGTTTCAGATTACAAGTATTTAGGTGTTTACCTTGCATCCTCGTTGAGCTGGTATCGGCATATTTTGGGTTCCTTGCGCCGTAACACTCGTAACCTAACTTCCCACAGGTTACGCGGCAATTATTCCATAAAGCAAGCGTGATGCTTATATTAGAATATGCCTGCTCTGTGTAGGACCCTCCAGCTAGCCTAGATAAAATAGAGAAGTTCAAAACCTAGAGGCTGGGTACGTTTTAGAACAATTTTTAAAAGATGGAGTTTAGTGCAATGCGCTCAAGACAAATGTTAAAATGGAATACGCTGGAATGCCGCAGAGAATGGCTTCCGTTTATTTTCTCCACCTTATATTTCCTTCCCAGACTGGCGACCGACGTGAGATCTATACCTGTTTCCTCGATATTACCTATCCGCGCGTGGGGATCATATTCATGAAGCGCCTGGATATAGCGCTAGACTTTGGCTTTTAAAGGGACACTGACGGGGTATTTATGCTCGCCAAGGTTTTTAGTTGCACATGACATAGGAGAGCCACACTACCCCGAACACAATTCGAGGCTCCCGAAATTCGTTTTCTTCCCTCTCGAAAACCGCCGATCGAGAACTGGTGCGGTTTGAGTCGCGCTCACTCTCTTCTCCGTGGTCACGTGCAGTTTTCTATGGTTTAGACACTACCATCAAATTTAATCGAAGTCGTGGGTCAAAAATAGACAAATACCTATTTATTGTGGCTTGTAAAAAGCTGCAAATGCGTTGATGGAAAAAAAAAAAAAAAAAAAAAAAAAGTTGCACAGTTACGTGATTTCCGGTAACTTTCACCTCCCCCATATTTTTTCTTCCTCCCCAGTCAAATTTCAATTTTGAGCAGTTGCGTTTTCTTTTTCTTTTTACTTTGTTAAAAATATATGTGAGGCTGTAGCAAAATACTGGTTGGGTAATCTAACGAATTGGGGGGTGCCAAAAACGGTGTGCCAGTGGAAGAAATTGCCTTCTACTGTTGTCTCAGTTTCATCAAGCGATGCCTATTATGATTCTAATCTGAGTACTGAACAAAAGCGGAAATGAATGAATCGTAAAATATTTCTAAGCATTCGTTTATTGAATAAAAATGTTGCCATATATTTTCATTCACACTTGAGACTTGCTCACCGGCTGCAAGTTCTGACTGCTGCACTTGAGTATTTTTGTTTCCGTCGTATCACATCTCTGACCCAATTTTTGCCCCCCCCCCCCCCCCTCTCTCTCTCTTTTTTTTTGGAGGGGGGGGGGGGGCGGGGGGCGGTTATCAATTGCGAGGTGATTGTTGGAGCCTCCTTTAT